CGCCGAGCTCTGCCGCGGCGCCCGGGAGATCGGCCCCCAGCCGTGCCGGGGAGGGCGGCAGCGCCTTTTTCAGGTGTCTTCGGGTTTAGGGGGCTCCTTCAAGGGCTCTTTAAGGGTGCCTTTAAAAGGATCTGTAAGGGATCTATAGGGTTTAGGGGTAGGTTTAGCGTTGCAGGGCTTTGGGTTTAGGGGTTAGGGTGCTCGGGTTTCGATTTGGGGTTTAGGATATAGGGTTTAATGTTTGGGGTTTAGGATTTAAGGCTAAGGGTTTACTTTCCCAGGGAGAGGAAACTAACAGTATGTTGTTGCCCAGCTTTCGCGCGCCAGTTTGTCTATGAGGGTTCTGCAAGAATTTCGGAAAGACTGCATAAGGGCATTATCAGGGTTGGGCTTGTCAGGCATTTCGGATTTGGGGAGGTGGGTGGTCCAGGGTGTGGGCTAAGGGATTTGGGTTTCGGGATTTTCAACACTCGGTGACAGTTGAGGGCTCGCGACGTGGAGCATCAGGGTACGTAAAGTTAATTCATAAGTACCCTCTGCTTTCTGAAGGGAGTAACCAGCAAGTATAGCCTTACTTTTAAAAACCCCGGACCCTAGAACCCTTGACCCGAAAACTGCAGTATCTATAACCTTAGCTACTATGTCCCCTGATCCTTTATTCCCCCTATATAACCCTAAACCTGAACCCCTACGATCCAAGCCCTGACACCCTGGCATCTGTAATCCTACTTACGTTGTCACATGATCCTTAAACCCTAAACCCTAGTCGCTGAACCCTCTAAACCCTCCCTCATTCGAACCCTGTCAGGGCTAAACCCCATGATCATGTAAGTAGATCGGGAGTTGGACCATGTGGAAGGCTTGAGGTGGGTAACATGCTTCCTGGAAAACAGAAAAGGTTTTGAGGTTTAAGGTTTAGGGTAAAATGGTTCCTTAATGACGGAACAGGGTTCAGGGTAACACACTTCCTCTACACCTAAGACTAACCTAGGGCTTGTGAGAGAACCTGAACCCCATAAAAAGGGAATAAGGGCCTACTCTAGGTCCTAGTCCCCCTAAACCCTAAACCCCTAAACCCTAGTCCTTAATAAAGGACTAGGCCTTCGGGCTTAGGGCAACATAGTTCCTTGACCGCTCCACGACTTCACCCTCGAGCAGATTCAGTGGGTTTCCTATGGACGGTACATGTAATAGGTCCGGTTTAGGGTTTAGGGTGTGGGGTATAGGGTTTAGCGCTTCGGGTTTTATGGGTTTTTCAACCTAGGTAGGTCCTTGATAATCGAACACTTGGAGGATCAGGGGACTTAGTGAGGGTTCTTAAAGGGATCTATAGGGTTCCTTTAAGGGATCTATAAGGTTTAGGGTTTAGGGTCTATTTGGAGGATCAGGGGACTTAGTAAGTAAGGTTATAAGTACCCTAATTGGGGTTATAAGTACTTAACCCTAGTTACTAAGTCCCATGATCCTTTAAGTAGGGTTTAGGGTTTTTCAACGTAGGTCTTCAACAATGGATTGAAGCCTTGGGGCATATTTCAGAATGAATAGCATAGCTGTAACAACGAACTTGAGTTTCCGTTGCTACGCCTGGACGTTATAGACACGAACAGGTGTCATTCCTGTTGTGCACATGGGTAGTTCAGGCACCTATCACTGAATAATTATATATTGCTGTTATGGTCATTGTCACAGACACGATTATTGTCATTAAAGTTTTCCCCCTTCAGACACGCGATGCTAACATTCAGGATCTTATACAATATACTTTGCTTTCAGAGGATCGAAATGCCACACAATAGCACCAGCGTTCGGCTTTAACCCATTGCAAATCACTGTGGTTTCGAAACCTCGCATGCTTGCCATTCGGCAAGAATGCATTGAGAGACAGATTGCTGTACAATATAATATAGGGGTCTTCAGACATCGAAACAGGTCTGGGGTGTATCATCCTAGAAATACTAGAACTATGTACCGGAACTGTGACTGTCTACTGCACTATACTATACTGTACTATGCTACAACTTGTATACCTCTACATGTATATCAGTAGATATACAGGGGCTATACATTCCTCATGACTCGTCGTACTGCTCAGGCCCCTATATTCGGGTCACAACTCCTCGTCTGCCCGACTCCCCAGAGAGCCCAATACCCCTTAATTAAGGAATATACCTTAAATTACAAGGGGATTCATATTATGATTTAAGCTAGATTCCTTAATTAAGGGGTACTAAAATCCCCTAAGCCCTATACATCCCTTACAGACTCCTTTAAGGAACCTTAAGCTATATTCCTTAATTAAGGGGTATTGGGCTCTCTGGGTCTTCGAAGCTGTGAGACTGCCGAGTCCAAGTTGTTCACAGAAACTCGCTGGTTCGTAGGGGAATATTTGGAGGATCAGGGGACTTAGTGAGGGTTCTTAAAGGGCTCCTTAAAGGGATCTATAGGGTTCCTTTAAGGGATCTATAGGGTTTAGGGTTTGGGGAAATTTTGAAGGATCAGGGGACTTAGTAAGCAAGGATATCAGTACCCTAATTGGGGTTATAAGTAATTATAAGTACAGTTACCTCATGTACAAACCCTAGTTACAAAGTCCCATGATCCTTTAAGTAGATTTAGGGCCTTGGGGATAAGGTACAGCGGAGTATAGCGTATAGGGGATGGAGTCTGGTGGATCGGTTTTTGCGGCTTAGGGTTTAGGGTACAGGGCTTACGGGTTTAGGGTGTGGGGTTCAGGGTTTCGGGGACTGCAACCCAAAACTACCTTGTTCTTAGTAGGGAATTTTGTCCCGTGTAGTAGTCCCCGTTCCCTACTCTGTACCCCCCTTAGAACGATCATAAACATACTATGTTTAATATTCTCTTGGGTTTTAGATGAACAAAAGCAAAAAGTAGTCCTAAGGAGACTACAGTCCCTACTAAGAACCAGGGAGAGAGAAGCTAGGAAAAGGGCTCCAACAACTGATTGGTGAACGTCTAGGCTGCAACCCTAAACCCTAAGTCCCTCATCTCTAGCCTAAACCCTAAACGTGTCTAATATAGCGGCCTTAAGAATTAGAACAGGGTGAGTAGGGTCTTGTGGTTCATTGCACTATAAGTATAAGAAGGAACCCCCCAAAGGTAATTATCTATAGGCCCCCATATTACCCAGCCCAAACCGTACACCCTGAACCACAAAAACCGAAACCCTAAACCCATAAATACCCAAGACAACCCTCTTCGGCCACTAAAGCTGTGCTGCACCTCCATGATACCCCCTTATACTTATCCTTATATAGACCCCGCTTTAAAAGGAACCCTTAAAGGATCCAGGGGTTTGGGGTTTAAGGGTTTCGCTGGGCTGCGGAGCCCCCTTCTTTGCCCTAAACCCTAAGCCCCTAAACCCTAAACCCCTAAACCCTAAACCCCTAAACCCTAAACCCTAAACCCCTAAACCCCTAAACCCCCAAACCCTAAACCCTAAACCCTAAACCCCTAAACCCCTAAAGGAGCCCCCTTCTTCGCTGTCTATGCACAGAGCGCAACGGCTGAGAGACCCTCCGGCTTCAGTCGAGGCTAAGGTGCCAAGACGAATCTGTAGACAGGGAGACCCGGTTTAGGGTTTTAGGGGTTTAGGGTTCAGGGGTTTAGGGTTTAGGTTTCAGGGTTTAGGGATTTAGGGGTTTGGGGGTTTAGGGGTTTGGGGGTTTAGGGGTTTAGGGGTTTAGGGGTTTAGGGGTTTAGGGGTTTAGGGGTTTAGGGTTTAGGGTATAGGGTTTAGGGTTTAAGGCTTACGGGCAAGTCGGCATTGCAAGCGGGAGCATCGACATTCCGAATGCACCATAGCGCGTGCGAAAGCAAGGATCAGAAGATTGCCCCAACTACCGTCATCGACATCACCATCGTCAAAATCATCACCGACATCGCTATGATCATCGTGAACATCTCCGTCATAATCATATGGCCGTCGCCAGCATCAACAGCATTGCCACACCCTAAAGGGCTATACTGGAGCATCTTCAGATATGTGGTGGAAACGGCCATAGCTTAGTCTAATTAGTGTATGTCTACAAGGCCGAGCACGGACATACATAAGTACATACATAAGTACATACATACAAACAGACACACACACACACACCCGCACGCACACACACACACACATATATATATATATATATATATATATATATATATATATATATATATATATATATATATTATATATATATACATACTTGCATCTGCAGCACCTTGTAATGGAAACTTTACCATGTGTATGTATCTGCATGTGTCTGTATATAGGTAAGTAAGTATGTATGCAAGTAAGTAAAGCTTTGCCTTATACCTGTACCTATATCTCACTCTAAATCTTACTTAAAGGGTCATGGGACAACTAGGGTTAACTATACTTATAGGTACTTAAAGCCCTTATTAAGGTGCTGATAACCTTACTTACTAAGTCCCCTGATCCTCCCTCTAATTTTGGATCTAATTACACCCGGAGCTATTTACACAGATACCCGGCTGTGCCTCTCATTATCTGTCTGCCATTCCATCCCACCCACCTATTTGCGGATGCGTGTGTTTGTGCATGTATGTATGCATGTGTTTTATGTATGTAAGCATGTGTGTCTGTACGTATGCATGCTGTGTGTTCTTGCGAGCTCCAAGAATCTGTGCCCGTGCAGGTGTGCTGCTTGCCAGCTATAAACTCATTCAAGCACTATATGCAAGTAGGTGTAGTCCAAACACTGGCAATCTAACCATCATCGGACTTCGTAAGTAGGGTTGAGAAAGAAGGCAACCAAAACTGTAGCAAGCCCTATAGACCCCTTTGAAAGGAACGCTTCAAGGAACCCTTAGGTCCTTAGGTGCTTTATATAGGAGTGTCCGAAAATAGCGGACCCTAATCTAGTACCCTGAATAGTAGGATCCTTATGATAAGGACCCCAAAATACAGTACCCCAAATTTCCGGAAACTCTCATATAGGCCCGAGTAATACCTCTCTTGAAGCTTTGTCTCATCGATCGAAGGCCAGACCTTAGATCTCCCACGTCACTGACACTGACAAATGAGAGCTTCCGAAGATTAGGGGGGTGCCGTGTTTTGGGGTCCTTATTATAAGCTTCCTACTGTTTGGGGTGCTATGTTAGGGTCCCCCTACTTTCGGAAACTCCCAAATTAGGGTTCAATGTAGGGGCCTGAAAATAGTAGAAAAGGTTCCTTTAACGGGCTCTTATAAGGGGATCTATACGGGCTACTATAAGGACTTAATGTAGGGGCCTTAATAATTAGAATAGGGTTTGGGGCCCCTTTAGACTGTACTTATAATAAGGAGATTTCTGCAACACTATTGGTATGTATTTATTTAGGGTTCTATATCAAGGCGGCTGTGTAGTTCTCTGTGCCAGGGTCCCGTTTACGGTACTTCTTATAAGAGTGCCGACCTTTTTGGACGACGAAAAAGGGACCTTATTTCGAGAGCTACCCTCTTGAAAATTTGTGTGTTGGATGTCTTAGGGTTCATGCCATGGGGGTTGAATAGGTTTGTAGGTGTAGAGGCTTAAGGTTTAGGGTGTAGGGTTGCTTACAGAGTTTCGCACAGGGTTTTGTTGCCAATTAGGGTTCGTGCTTTAGGGTCTGGTCTTTCGCAGACACTGTTTCAAACGGAGCAGAAGGCTGCAAAGCACCAGGGTTCAGGCTTTAGTGACTTTAGTGCCCAGTCGCAGCCCTCCTTTTGCCAAGCTGCTGGTTTTGCTCTTGTGCCAGTCACCGTAGCGTACTGGAGGCATATCGTTGCCGGTGCAGAAAGGCCGCAATGGCCGCACCAGCGTATTCCCTTGCGTTTGCCGAGCATGACTCAACAAGGCACGACGCAGAGGACTTCGCGCGACACTGATGGAACTCTATACGCAGAGTAGTAAATGCTAGTATTTCCACCAACTCCGCAAATAAACCCTTACTATCCCAAAGCCTTCTGTGCCCAGTTGCTGTCTGGCTGGAGGAACAAGATATGCGACTGCCGCACGGCGCTCGGTTCAGAAACACTCGCAGCGCTCGGATCCAAACACACGCGGTGCACCAATGCCCGGACCTGCTGTCAGCACAACGACACAAGCGAAGAAACAAAGGAAATCCAGTCTGAACAGCAACATTTCCCTAAACCCTTGAACCCTAATTAAACCCAAAACCCTAAACCCTAAGCCCCTAAGCCCTAAACCTTATGATGCCCCTAAACCCTAAGCCGCTAAACCCTAAGCCCCTAAACCCTAAACCATAAGCCAAATTTGCCTGCCCATTCGTCATCCGCTCCAGCATGTCGCCAGCGAAGAGAAGGCCCCCTGATGTGCACAGGGAGCTTGGGTAATGTACGGTTGATGATATGAATCCTGGGGTTCCTTTTAAAGGGATCTATAAGGGTACCTTTAAGGGGCTCCTTTAAGGGATCTATAGGGTTTAGGGTTTAGGGTTGATATAGATCCTGCATTACCCATAATAAGGACTATACCATACTTCCCATAGTTTAGGGTCCTTAAAGCCTTGATTAGGGTTCCTTTAAAGGGGTCTATACGGGATACCATAAGGGATCTATAAGGGGTACTATAGTAATGTAGGGACCTGATGAAGAAACCTTGGGCCTATACTAGGGTTCCTTGTATGAACCCCACTATTTTGGGGTTACAGGCCCGGGGTTTCTTAATTACATTAGTTTGGCACATGGCCGGCTCGGGTGGTAAAATTGACCCGAGGTTTCAACTCGGACTTCCGGGGCCACGACTTAGGTGGTCGTCAGCAGCCTTGGCAACTATGGTGCGTTGATAGTGGGGTAGCAACAGTAGTGCTGAGACGGTCCAGGTGCCAGTTGTGCAGATGATGGTGGCGAAGTTGGTATGAAGCTACCGTTGAGAATGTAGTGATTGTAGTGATAATAGTAGTTTGGTAGCAGTCATCGCCATCACAGTACTGCAGTATATATCAACAGTAGTTAAGTGGTAGTCGTCGTAGTGATAGTGTTAGTGCGAGGCGTCAAAGCTGAAAACGGACCAGGAGCATGAGTAGTAGAAGGGGGCAGCAGCACCACCTCCCGGCACCACCACACCACCACCATCATGAGCAGCAATCTCCCTTCAATTTGGACCCATTATCATCTTGTCACTCGTCTTCACCGTCCCCGTCGTCCGCAGCAGCATTCCATCGTCTGCATCACCAGCTATCGTGGTCCGCATCAGCAAAGCTTCTGCCTTGAGTGTTAAATCAGCTGAAACTCTTGCTTCTCCCCTAAACCTATTCCCGAAAATACCAAAAAGCCCTTTAGGCCCTAAACCCTTAAGTCCTAAATCCTGAACCCTGAAAGACGTAAACCCTAAACCATAAGCCCTAAACCCTAAAAGCCCTAAAAGCCTTAAAAGCCCTAAAAGCCCTAAGCCCTTAAACCCGAAACCCTTAAACCCTAAACCCTATTCCCTAAAAGCCCTAAAAGCCCAAACCCTTAAACCCTAAACCTTGAAACTTCAAAACCTTAAACCCTAGTCCCTAAAAGCCTTAAAAGCCCTAAGCCCTATTCCCTGAACGCCTCAAAAAGCCCTAAACCCTATTCCCTAAAAGCCCTAAACCCTATGCCCTAAAAGAGCTAAAAACCCGAAAAGCCCGTAAACCCAAAAAACCCTAAACCCTTAAACCCCAAACCTTATCCCCTAAAAGCCCTGAAAGCCTCAAAAAAAACCCAAACGACTGGAGCCTGTGTCTGGCGGCTGCAAGGGAAGCCACTGTCCGTTTGGCAGCTGCGCCTACTTAGAGGATCATGGGACTTAGTAACTAGGGCTCCTTAGAGGGATCTACAGGGTTCCTTAAAGGGATGTATGGGGTTCAGGGTTTAGGGTCTACTTAAAGGATCATGGGACTTAGTAACTAGGGTTATAAAGAAGGTAACTATACTTATAATTACATATAACCCCAATTAGGGTACTTTTCACCTTACTTACTAAGTCCCATGATCCTTCAAGTAAGGGTGGTTCAGCGCTCAATATGGGTGGTTGTCAACATTAAAGTCCCCTTTGGGGTACCCTAAATATTAGGTGCCGTATGGTATTAAGGACCCAAAAAGGGACCCTAATATTGACAATCACCCATATTGGGCCCTTAATAAGTAGAATAGGGTTTGGGGGTATCTTTCTTTCGTGAGGTCCAGTGTTCGATTTGAACGCAAAACGAATTCAAAGGGTGAAACAGAATGACAAAGAAGGAGTTTGGGGGTATATGACACTATAACTATGCTGAGGGGGTTTAGGGTTTAGGTGGTTTAGCGCTTCTTAGGGCTGCTTTCAGGCTTTCTTTCAGGGATCGTTGCAGGGCTCCTTTTAAAGGATCGATAAGGGTTTTGAAAAAGTTTCTTTCAGGGATCGTTGAAGGGCTCCTTTTAAGGGACCTCAAAGGTTTTTGAAAGGGTTTGAGTTTAGGGTTTTGGGGTCTTGGGGCTTCGGGTTTAGGCTGCGCAAGAAACCTGGGACCGAACCCCTGACCTACTTGTCGGGTATCATGGGGAAGTATGAAGGTTAAACCGCTTTGGTTATATAGGGGTTATATAGGGGCTATACTACACAGAAACGCTTAAAGGTTACCTACTCTACTACTAAGCTGAAGCCCACAAAGCAAGGCAGTGGAAGATTCTTGAGCTACATCTTAGAAGGTATAAATCGTCGCCGTAACCGTGCACACGGCAAGAAGACTGCGTTGGAGGGTTTAGGAATTGGAGTGTGCATGCTGGTCGAATATCGGTATAACGTTTGGCATCGTACTATGGTACGATATCATTCTACCTAGACTTCTTCCAAAGAGCATGGTAGCACTTTGGAGCTCTTGCCTTAAGAGTAGATATAGAAAAGTTCCTCCGGGGATGGACCGACAAATAAGCCCTGCACCCAAACCCGACACTGAAATCCCATACCCTACACCTCAAACCACAGAACTCTGTAGGTCTCTGCAAGTATTCATATTGTAAGAATTATAATATAGAAACCCTTATAGTAACCCAACAGTGCCCCTTTGCCTGAAGGCCGGCTGCCGTGCTTTGCCTGTGCAAAGCTTTAGGGCTTTAGGGCTTTGGGGTCTTTATGGCTTTACTCGCTTTCGCTTCTGCGTTTTAGGGATTGGGGCTTTAAGTTTAAGGTGCAGGCTTCAGGGAGTCATGTTCCGTTTCGGAAGCTCCTTGAGACACAGAGGTCTCAACACAGTTAGGATATGGTTTTGGAGGTTTTTGTTACGATAGCCTTTGAGAAGAAATTCGAAGGAATAGTGTTGGCACTTATTGAGGTTTATATAATAGGGCTTTGCCGGGTTCTTGATGTTTTCTCATTTGTTTAGGGGTCTCGTGAGTCAAGTGTGTAGGGCTCGAGATTCACCCCAGCACTCTGTGGTCTATTTTGCTCAGATGTTTACGACAAGGCAACACAGGGGCCTTACACTCGTTGGACTAAAGCATCGTTGGTATGTGCATGTGGAGAACCTGTACAGTAACAGCCCAAAGACGAAGGGACCATACTTCTGAGTCTTCCCGTCCCTATATGAATTAGATGGAGGAGGTCTTGAACCACGCAATTACTTTCTCTTGACGTTGCGCATCACCCGAACTCGCACCCTTGCTTTAGAAAAGCCTATGATGTACCCGCTGTCCTCCTCGGGACTGGACATCAACTTTAAACAGGGGCTGCGGGGCACAGTAGTAGAGCTGAAAGAGTCAACTCGAGCATGACAACAGACTGCGAAAGTGCCATACTACCGGGAGAAGTGCCGTCAAAGATAGTGACAATCCCCAAACCCTACATAAACTCCAAAATCCAGAACTGCAATCTAAGATAGCTCTGAGAAACCCTGCCCCTCGGCCCTATGTCAACAGCGAGGAAATTAAGAAGTAAGAGAGAGTACTGCACCGAGCCACTGGAAAGTGACCACCCCGTAGTCCGTGTGCTCGGTGCAGGAACCATTGCACGGATAGATGGAGTGGCGCCTTAGGAGTCGTTCTTGTCGGGTATCATGCGGAACTAAAGGTTATATAACCTTTTTGGTGATATAGGGATTATATGGGGACTATACTACCCAAAAAAGGTTAAAGGTTACCTACTCTACCACTAGGGAGTCGTCATTTCATTGCTCTTGCGGCCTTTCGGAGTACCATCGCAAGGGCTTATGGTCGTTTAGGGGCAACACTGTGGACCTGAGCATCCAAGTGATCGATGCAAACATAGGGAATGGGGGAATGGATCCCTCTAGCAGTCCCTATATAATCCCTCATGATAGTCCCCATAATCCATTCCCCCATTCCTGACTAAGAACCAGACAGAAAATCAAGAACGAATCCGGACAAGCTGAACTAGCGCCTGCAGCAGGTGACAATGCTGGAATGGCTCTGTGCCGACCCTGTCCAGAAACTCCAAAACCCCTTATATAGACCTGAAATTATGGTGGGATCCCTCACGTGATTTAAGGCATATTCCTTTATTAGGGGGGTTTTGGAGTCTCTGACAGCCCTGGCTTGGGCTACTTACTTTATGGTTTCGGGTTTAATTAGGGTTTAGGGCGTTCTGATTTAAGGGGTTTTGGAGTCTCTGGGATAAACCTTGAAGCCCAAGCCCTCTACTGGAACCCTGTTACAACGCCTACATATTCCTTATTCAAGTTTTAAAAGTTGGGTCTCTGGGATAAACCAAGCAGATGCCGCGGAGGCTCATCCGGCTGCCGGCAAATTGCTCCACGCCCTGGTATAGAAGAGAGCCTGCCAACTCTTCGAACACCGTATAACTATAGGGTTTCGGTTTGTTTTTTTTAACAAATTATAAGGTTCTTCTTTAACAAAACAGGGTTTAGGGTTTAAGGGTGATTTAAGGCCTGCCAAGTCTTGTAACACCACATAATCACATAAACCACTAAGTGTAACACTTTCCCAAAGGCTCCATGTACCTATATACGATTTAGGCCTAAAAGGGGTTCCTATAAAAGTAACAAAAGGCCTAAGTATATGTCATACGGATCCTCAGGCTTCTCTATGAAACATCTGTCACCTTCGGCGACCCCAGGCCTAGGGTTTTCGGCGGCTCGTCTGCCAAAGGCACCGCGCTTGTCAGCTCATGGAAGATGAGCCTGGAAATGACCTCGTTTTATGGCTTTAGGGTTTAGGGTTGACCAGAACCCCCCAAGGACCCTTTAACTTGAGGTTCTAACCATATGCACTCATAAATTTTGTTTCTGTCGAGCGCAGAAGAGGGACACTTCGACGGTGAGGGTTTTTTCTTCACAGAACACAGAGACCACCAGTTCTCCCCTTCTCCCGTGGTAGCAAGATAAAGCCTGAAACTTACACCCTTCACTCTGAACCCCAAACCCGAAGACACCCTACAGCCTAAGCTCCTAAAGCCTCAACTGAATAAACCCTACTTGGAGGGGCAGGGGACTTAGTAAGTAGGTTATAAGTAGGGTTATAATTGGGGTAACTCCATTAAGGCTACTTATAACTCTACATATACACGACTTACTAAGTCCCCTGCCCCTCCAAGTAAGCCTTTCACCCTCAGACACTTGAACCTTACTTGCAGACAGCGTGCTGCGAAGGAGTTGCACAGCTCGTCGCAAACCCACTGCAGGTCACCTGAGCATCAGAGGGCTCCAAAGGCGTGATGAATAGCTGGGATGCTGAAAAAATCGAAACCCTAAGCTCCAAAATGCACATGGGTGGTGTCGTATTATAATAGGCATAAAGGGACCACAAGTTTGACAACTACCTACATAAAGCCTTTAACACTTAAAGGCCGTAAGCGAGCCGTGATCTCCAGATAAGAGCCTTTTTATAAACGGGATCCTTCATCCTGCTTACTTTTAGGGTTTAGGGGTTAAGGGGTTAAGGGGTTTAGGGGTTTAGGGGTTTAGGGTTTAGGGGTTTAGGGGTTTAGGGGTTTAGGGTTTAGGGTGCAGATGCCATTAATGATGAGATTCGGGGCTGTTCATTTTCGGGTTAAGGGTTCAAGGCACCTAACACTTCAAGTCCTTGCCAATAAATCCCGAGAACACTATAAAAGAAACACAGCCCCTTTCCAGTACCCTTACGAAACACCAGGAATATACTGGGCTTTTAAGTAACCAGGGACACAAGTACTAAAGTATGGTACTCCAAAGCCCAGTATACCCCTGTTACCCCAAGCCTTCAACCCTTAAGCTGCTTGAAAACCGGATCACAGTCCTTGCGGCCAAGGGGCCCCAGTTACACCTGTGGAGGGACTCCACCCCGAGCCCGAAGTTGTATCCTTGGATTTCTGACGAAATTTGGGGGGGGGGTTCAGGAATCTTGTTTCTTTGTTTAAACGGGGTTTAGGTATCCTTGGATTTTTGAGGAATCAGCGGGGTTAAGGAATTTTGTTTCTTTGTAGCAACGGGGTTTAGTCGCTTAGGGCACTCGGATGTTTTGGGGTTTGGTGCATTAGGGGTTCCAGGCTCAGGACGCAGGGGTGGGGAATACCGGAGTCAGGCTTCGGCATTTGGTTTTGGGCTTTTGAGTTCCAGTGGACAATGAGAATACCATCATAGATCGAAAATGCACCCATACCTTAGGTACGCCCCCATACAGTAAGAGTCTATAATGGGGCTATGATTAAGGTCCTACTATATCTATATTATGAATATTATTCAACTATTACTGAGTGGGGGCCGTACCCAACCCATACCCTACACGAATGACTCCGAAGCTTAAGAGTCAAGGTCGTAGATGTTTCCCCCTGCTGCTTCCCGATTTGCAAATCCCCAAACCCCCCCAACCCAAAAACCCAACAACCCTAAACCCTAACACTCTGAACCCAAAAACCCTAAACCCCAACACTCTGAACCCAACAAACCCTAAAAGCCCTAAACCTTACAGCTCCGAACCGGAAGCCTCAAACCGAAGGGGCCTGAACTCTACAACCTTCCCCCTGGAACCCCAAGAGCTCTGAACCCCTAAACCCCTCTATAAGGATCCCCTATAGACCCCTATAAAGGAACCCTTCAAGGATCCCTTAAAGCCTTAAAGCATCGCTGCTTAAGCCGAGGCACGCACATCTGGTGTGTGCGACTTCTCCGTGCCCTTTAGGGTCCGAAGAAGATCTTCCCCCTGAGAGAAGCGAAGCTGCCAGGCCCTTGTCGCCTGCTTCCTGGGCTGAAGGCTCTTAGCGTAGAACGGGCTTAGGGATCATGGGAGTTAGTAACTAAGGGTTCCTCAAAGAAGGGCTCTATAAGGGGTTTTAAGGGTATTTAAAGTATCATGGGACTTAGTAATTCGGGTTATGAATAACGTAACTATACTTACCTGGACCCTAAGGAACCCACCTTTTTGGGGTTCCCTAATATGATTTCTATAAGTCTGAAAAGGTAGGTTACTTGGGGTTGAGGTATAAGTACTTATAACCCCAATTCGAGGACTTATAAGGGCTTATACTACAAGAGTTTAGGGTTCAGGGTTTACTATACGGGCCTAATATCTACAAACACTATTTCAGTGGCTCCTAATTATATGTATATTGAAACCTGAGCTCAAGGCTTTAGGGTCTGGGGTGTTTGAGGGTTTAGGGGCTGGGTTTCGGTGTTTTTGCTGCTTTTCAGGATTTAGGGTTTAGGGTTGAAGGCGCTTAGAGTTTTAGGACCTATAGTTGACACTTCGGGCTCTCAGCGATGTAGAGTTTGAGATGGTTTAGGGCTGCTGAAACCTACAATGTTGGATCTTGAATGTACGGACTGTATACGAGTTAGATCCAAATCCTAATCCTTATCTTGAGCTGACTGGCCAACTCTCAACCCCAACCCCTTAAACGCCTTAAACCCTAGAACCTAAAACCGCTACAACCCGAACACCTTTCAAACCCGAATAGATTCCTTAACGGATCCCATTAGAAACGGATCCTCTAAAACGACCCCTTAAAACACCCTAGACTAGAAAAAATACAAAACAAACAACCCTGCCTCGTAAAAGCCGTAAAGAATCCCTTAAACTTAGGGGATCCGCTAAAACAGCCCTGAAAAACCCAAAGCCCTGGCCTCTTGTAAGCCTAAAAACCTAGCACTAAAACGACCCCTCAAAAATCCCTAAACCCTAAACCACAACAAAACACCCGGGCCTCCTAAAAGCCTAAAGCCCTAATATCCCTTAAGGGATTCGTGAAAAAACCCTGCCGCCTCCTGTAAGCCGCCGGGTAGAACAGCGCTTCGTACCACAAGTCTCGCCAGCGCCCGAAGCTTTGCCTTGGAAGGCCTTGGGGAAAAGGAATTCTGCCACTTGGGGCTTCTTTAAGGGTGTCTCTAAAGGGCTCCGTCCAGGGACCTATATATAATGGTTCTAGCTTCTTTAAACGCATCCCTTCAGGGACCCAGGAGGGTTCTATTAAGGTTTGGGGAGGAGGAATTCTGCCGTTTGGAGTTCCTTTCAAGATTTCTGAAAGGGATCTATAAGTCTATAAGGGTTCTACTGAGGTTTGGGGCTCGGCTTTAGGGTTGAGGCTTTTGGGGCAAGCTTTCGAGGTCTATATTATGGATTGCTGATTTCCTGAAGCTCCGTGCGATGTCGCTTGGATATTCCTGCGTCAGTCCGAGACACAACCCAGGCCGTCGTCCGTGATGTAAACGGCGCCCATCTGTCGAAGAGCTGCCAACTGCCGGTCAAGGCTTGGGGTTTGGGGTTTAGAATTTAGGGTTTAAAGTTTAGGGTTCAGAGCTTAAGGCTTAGAGTTTGAGGTTTAAACTTGTGCAGTTCACGACAAATCATACTCCCGAGACCTTACACCACTAAACCCAAAACACGGAGCCAACGAAAACCGGAACGAGGGCAGCAAAAACATGACTTCTGCTTATTAACGCCTATAAACCCTAAACTCTAGAACCCAAAACCCCAAAACCGGCCACCAAGGAACCAGCTTTCCAGCATCGTGAGTCCAGGGATTCAGTGTTGGCACCATCCTTCATTGCTTTCGGGTTTAGGAGGTTTAAGGAGAGCTTAAAAGTTATTCAGGACCAAACGGTTCGGCGTCTTGTGACAAAGGTAATGCTAAATACAAGGATTCAAGACTGGTGCGTATCGTTCGCGAATCCAACAACAACAACAACCACCGCCACCACCACAAACAACAACGAACACATACAACAACCACGCAGTCCGCTGAAGACCAATGTAGGAGCTTCAAGCAAAGCTTCCCGCAACATGTTTTGTATGAACTATGCGTTGGTCAGGATAACCGAGTAACCGTTTCATTATGAGCGGGTAAGGGCCGAGAGGGCATCCCTTTCGAATTCCGGGTCAACTTCGACCTCGGCGGTGTGGTCCTGGAACCCCTTTACCGCGAAACTAGGATAGTCATAAACAGTAGAAATGAGTTTCAACATGTGTTTCCGTTATACTATCGAATCTACGTAGTGCTGCAAGGAGCGCGGAGTGGTCGACGGAGTCTCGAGCTTGTTTCCAATCCAAACACAGCAATGAGTGTTCTGATCGTGCGTGGTGCTCCGTTCCAGAGCCCTTCGTAGAATAAACAGAGGATGCTTGGTGCCGCGTAATGCCATACAGCCGCACTGAGTGGGACGGTGTGCACATATTCAAGAATTCAAGAGAAGCAATGTTGAACCATAGCCGAAAACACTTTGTATATGGTGTTCAATCGAGAAATAGCACGACATGAAGAAGGATCTAAATCCAAGCCCTTGTCCTTACAGATCGTTACCACTGAGGCTTTTTTCCATGCCGAAGGAACCTCCTCAGACTCCAACGCCGTGTTGTAGCATTTCAAAAGAAACTTCCCGCTTGGAGCGAGGGCGGGGCTTCTGGCTGTTGCGGAGTCAGGTCTTGGTCTTTGTGCCACTGTACATCCTTCAAATAGCTTCCGAATGCTTCATGCGTTTGTGAACATGGAGCCGGCTTATTATCCACTACCAAGTGAGACCGCTTAATTACCCAGAAAACCTTCTGTTGTTTTCGCATGGTATTCCGGCAGGATCAGATTGTAGTTGTTGGTGAACCCAAATCATGAAGTCTTCTCTTGCTAGTTATAATTGTGCTTTCTGGGGTTACACGCGTCCGCCTGATTATCTGCTTCCTCTTGTCTTGCCTGTGCCAAAGCGGAAAGAATGGCATGGCGTCTTGGATCTCCATGCGAACCCTCCAGCTGCCGCTGCCCTTACAGTTTCGGGAGTGCTCAAGCTAAGCGGGCTGGTCTGTTCCGGTTGGAAGGGCAGAACTGCGTCCTCCCGTCCCTTGCCTTGTTCAGCCAACTTGCCGCCGCGTTCGTAGCTTGCGCTATCGCTGTCAGCTCCCTGTGTTATTGGAGCCCACTGTGGTTCCAAGAAAAGCGGAGTGGTCTGGTGTTGTCTTTCGCGGAGTGGTCCAGAGCAGCGGAATTGGGCAGTCCTAGCCAGAAGGTCACCCGAGTCACGATTCAATTACAGTAATCACCGTGGCTGCAGGTCAGGCCTCCACCCTTCGCCAAAGCGAACCGCCGACCACCGCCCGGACCGAAGATGCGGGTGACCAAGGCGTGCTCCTGACGTAGCTTATATAGGGCTTGGGCCTAGAAAAGCAAACCCCTTAAACAGGGTCCTTCACGTACGCCATGTGCGACGAGCTCACCTTGTGAGCATCGTCCCATACCTTCGAACAAAACAGGCACTGTCCACCCCACGTGGCGGGCGACCCAGCAAGCTGGGCCATGTGCATCCGTCAGGGGCTGGCGAAGCAGGTCACGGACCTGCAGCGCTGCAGCGCCCGGTGAAGCTGCTCCTCCACAGAAACGACGGCATGATCAGCGGATTCTTTCATGAAGGCATCGAGCAAGTTTCGATCAAATACCGTTGATGAGGATGGTCCATCATATCCACTTGCGGCAGCACGCCGCGCCTTGTAGCGCTCCCTCACTTTGTTGAGCTCCTCCAGTTTAACATTCCAGAAAGCCTGCATGGCCCATTCGGCTGCATCGGTTTCCTCATCAGCCGAAAAGGCCGATGAGAGCTTTTCTTTCTTGGAGGTTCTCTCCTGGATCAGTCCACGCACTCGCCCCAGGTACCGGGGAGTAGGCCCCATGGAGCGCAGGGCAGGAGCGTGTACGGGTCGTGGGAAGCAGCCGCATGAAACTCAGTCCATAAAGCCCTTGTCCTGATACCATGCTGACTAACTGTCTGGAGACTTGAGCCGAAACGGGTATAGGGTTACGCAAAGTCTTTCTTTGAAGGCGACAAAATTAGAACCCCTAAACCTTAAGTAAAACCCAAATCCTTCGGGATCACTAAACCTTAAAACCACAACCCTAAAGTCTTCGACACTATGCTTATAATCCGAACAAAGTCTAAACCCTAAATCTCAAACCCTGGACCCCTTGCTTGACAAACTGTTCATTAAAGACTCTTCAAGATGAAAACACTAGAACTCCAAGAATGTTAAGGCTTCGTATCGGAGGAGTGGCTAACCAGCTTGGTCCTTTAAAACCTAGCAAAAATTCGTTCGTAAGTTCCTCTTCAGCCCAATAACATACACTGAACCTCTAAACCCTAAACCCTCAGCAGAGCCCAGCCGCTGCGAGAAGCTAAGACTTGGAGCTCGTGGCACTGCGCCCGTGTACCTGAGCTCCAAGCTGGGCATTCAAGGGTCACAGGGTTTAGTGCATAAGGTTTCGGGATTGGGGTTTTGGGTTTAGGGCTTACATTGTGGGGTGCAGGGTTTAACGCTCAGGATTTTAACTAGGTTGGCCCCTCAAAGCCTCCGAAAAATATTCGTAAATAGGGTCCTACTAAACCCAATAAGGGAAAATATACAATGTCCCAAAGGCCTACCTAGTTAAGGTTAGGGGCTTGGGGTTTGGGGCTTAAGGTGGGATGAGGGCTTGGCTTTTGCCTGCCAGGGCCCGCAACTTAGACGAACCTTGCACTGATCGCTGAAGACTAATGTAGGGGCCCTGATAACTAGAATAGGGTTTTGGAGCGGATCGGACATACGTCTGAGGCGAACGAAGCTATGTTATAGTCATAGTTATACTAAAACTATGATAAGGAACCCCCAAAATGGTATAGCTGGAACATCTGGGTGGCCCTCCTAAGCCCGAAACCTTTGTATTAGTTCGCAAAAATTTAGAGCATCTTGGCTCAGGGTCCCTAAACCCTAAACCCTAAGAAACCCTAAGAAACCCTAAGAAACCCTAAACCCTAAGCCCTAAGAAGCTCCAAAACCCGAAACCCTGAGCCGCAAACTCCCAAAGCCCTAAGAAGCCCGGCCCAGGAAACTCCCGCGGATAGGGCAGTCCCCCAAGGCATAGATGCCAATATACAGAATCATCTAGGTTGGCCCCTTAAAACCTCTGAAAAATATTCGTAAATAGGGCCCTACTAAACCCAATAAGGGAAAATATACAATGTACCAAAGGCCTACCTAGTCATCAACCAACACGAAAGGTGCGCTTGTGGGAATACCGGTTGGGAGTTGTTTTGGAATCCTCGCAGGCATTTCACGACCATCATCAGCAACAACAACATCATAGTCTTCGCAGCTATACATCCTCGCCGCCACCTGGAGGAGCATCAGCGTTCAAGCTGTCATCGTTGTCGTCATGCGCACCATCACCATCATTCAACACCATGGGCATCGTCATGGTCATCACCATCACCACATTGCCACGCCCTTCATCACAATCCCCATAATCGCCACGATGATCTCTTTCTTCGACTGCTACCACACGCATAGTAATTAGCCAAAATGAACACCTCCGAGGCACTGCACTTGTGGGCAACTCTGAGAAAACGAACCTCGCACAAAGCAAGCGACGAAGCTCTTTAGGGCGGCTTGGAATTTGGCGTTCTATATGGGTGTAGGGTTTACCCTAAGGCTCCATAGTAGTTCCTTTTTGGGGTTCATATTTAGGATCCTATAAGGTAACCCCCAAAAGGCAACTACTTTGGAGCCTCTGGGTAGGGTAAATCTGCGAGACTGCCCCAGAACCTCCAATCATGTTTTGCCCCATGCACTGCTCCGTTATGAACCTGTACTGATATGGCTACTCTGTGCTGCTGTGCTCTTGTATGTTCCGTGTCTGTATCTATGCTTGCACGTATCTTCACGCTCGTGCTTGTTCTATTCATACTACTAATACTCATACTACTGCTACTACTACCACTACAATTAGTGCTACTGCTACTGCTACTGCTCCTGCTCCTGCTCCTGCTCCTGTTACTGCTACTACGAAAACTACGACGACGACCACTACTACTGATACTGCTGCTGCTGCTGCTGCTGGTGATGCTGCTACTACCACCGCAACCACCACAACCACCACCACCACCACCAACACCACCCCCACCGGGGCCCCCACCACTGCAACCACCCTGGCACCACCACCACCACGACATTCAGGGTGCATGCATGTGTGCACAGGTAGCTTGTCTTACACTGCGCTGCATTATGGAGGGCACCGTTGCATTCTGCTCTCAATGACTGAGTGCCTACGGACACACCCTTTGATCCAAAACGTACATATGCACATATACTACATACTCACGTACTTGCATACTTGCATACTTACACCCTTGCATACTGTCATACATGCATGCTTACTTGCATACATTCCTCGTTTTTCTTACATACCGTGATCTTTCGTTTTACCTTTGGTTAGTAGGGAATGGAGGAATGGGGTACAATTATAACTACTATTACTACCCTTCTTCCATTCCCTACTACTAACCGAAGGTAAGTCCTGGGATTCTTTGAAACCTAGACCCAAGAGTAGCCTAGGAATAAAAAGGGTGCCCATTTTAGTTTAAAGGGGCTTGTAAGGGAACCTGAACCCCCAAAAAAGGGAATAAGGGCCTACTCCAGGTCCTAGAAACTACCCCTATAGATCCCATTATAAGGAACCCCTATAGATCCCAATAAGGAGCCCTACAGATCCTTTAAGGAGCCCTACAGTCCTGGGATTCTTCGAAACCATCAGAGCCCAGGCACCCCGAGGATCGGTCCATCGGTGGTCGTAAAAGCTCTGCTGCCTTGTCTCACCCGGCGGTACTTAAAGGATCTATAGGGAATTCAAAGGGATCTACAGGGTTCCTTAAAAGGATCTATAGGGTTTTTAAAGGGATCTATAGGGTTTACGGTTTAGGGTCTACTTGAAGGATCATGGGAGTTAGTAACTAGGGTTGTCAATAAGGTAACTATACTTATAAGTACTTATAACCCCAATTCGGGTACTCATAACCTTACTTACTAAGTCCTTTGATCCTTCAAGCAGCTTTAGGCCTTTTAGGCTCCTTCGAGGGTTCCTTAAAGCGATCCTTTGGGGCCCATGCTAGGGATCTACAAGGGTTGACGGTGTTGGGCTTAGCGGTTTAGGGTTTAGGCCCGATTGTTGAGGCTGTAGGGTGTTAGGGTTTAGAGTATTTAAGGCCCCCAAAATATCCCAGATAAATCCCCTTACAATGAAGTCCAATAAGGTAGGGGTATCCCCATAAAATGCTTATGCTTATGTGCTGTTTTGAATCCATAAGCATTTAGTGCGCCAGCTGATAGCACCTTGCGATGTCTCTCCGGCCTGCCTGGCCTAACAGATTTGGGAGTTTCCGAGATTTAGGGGTACCTTATGGGGTCCATATAATCAGGATCCTACCATTTAGGGTACTATGATAGCAGGGTCTCCTATTTTCGGAAATTCCCGTTTGACACGATTTCACTGAAGTGCCACGTGCAACAAATCGCTCGGCATGGCTCTCATCCGTTCCTGTGGAGAGGCTTTGGGAGGGAAAAACCTGAACTCCAAGTCTAGACCCAAGAGTAATACCTAGGAACAAACCAGGTGCTCTTTTTGGCTTACATGGGGCTTATAAGGGAACCTTAACCCTAAAGAAAAGGAACAAGGGCCTACTCCAGGTCCTAGAAACCTAAACCCTAAACCCCAGGGTGTCCGGGGCCAGAAAGGGAACAAGGGCCTACTCTAGGTCCCAAAAGTTCTGCAAGCAGGCATCTCCGGGCGAGGTTGCTCCTGTGGATGCCTTCAGCGACGGCTGAAGCTGCCACAATTCATATAGGTTTCACAGCTTTGTGTTTAGGTTTCAGGGTTTAGGGTTTTGAGTTCTTAGGGTTTGAGGGTTGAAGGGTTGAAGGGAGCTTACTAATATAAGGGCCTTGATAATTAGAATAGGGTTCCTTTTATGTAAAGCGGTCTATAAAGGCTACCATAAGGGATCTATAAAGGTATTACAATATAGGTGCCCTTTTGATAGGGTTTTGGGGCCCATGATACTATAATTACAATAAGGAACCCCCAAAACGGTACTATACGAAAACAAAGTCTGCTTCCACCCGAGCCATTGACACCTGGTAAACACAGACTCTCGAAGCCACTAGCCGCCCAAGGGGGTAGGTTTGCATGGTTCCCCTGAATCCCAAAACTCTTACAGAACCGGCATAGAGCCCTTGTAGATCTCTTTTAAAAACTGTATAAAGCAATCCTTCAAGAAACCTCAGCCTTATACCCCAAACCCGAGGCAGTGACGCAATCTTTCGGAAATGGTGGGCCCTACTAATGATGATGTAAATCCTGCATTGCCCATAAAGAATATACCATAATTCCCACAGTCTAGGGTCCTTACTTGGAGGATCAGGGACTTAATAAGTAAGGTTATAAGTACCCTAACTGGGATTATAAGTACGTATAAGTATAGTTACCTTATTTATAACCCTAGTTACTAAGTCCCATAATCCTTTAAGTAAGGTAGTGCCGGATTTATATCATCAACCCTAAACCTTAAACCCCGTATAGATCCCTTAAAGCAAGCCCTTAAAGGTACACGTATAGATCCCTTTAAAGGAACCCTAGGATTTAGATCATCAGCCGTATTCCCCCCCTTTCGGGGCCTGCAGGCCGAACTCAGCATGCTGTACCTAGGAATGGAAGTTTAGGCACTACATGGACCCCAAATGGGAGTTTCCGAAAATTCGGGGTACCATATTTTGGGATCCTCATAATAGGGATCCTACTATTTAGGGCACTATATTAGGGGCCCCTATTTTCGGAAACTCCCAAATAACCTACCATTTTAGGGTTCCTTATATATGATATCCTTATATAAGTCCTGAAAAGTCAAGATAGGGTTTAGGGTTCCTTCAGGAGTTCCATATGGAATCCTATCAGGGTTCTATACAGGTTTCGGTTTAGGGGTTTCGGGGGTCTAAGTGTTTAGGGTCCGAGGGACTCAGGGTTTATACACTACAACTTATGCATGGGGGCTTAGGGTGCTAGAGCCCACACCCCTTAATTAAGGAATATAATTACTCTGGATCATACTATGAAGTCCCCTATACTCTAGGCCATATTCCGTGATGTGGGGGTGCGACATGTGTGGGCGGGGGAGAATTGCGCCTGTTCATGATGCCAAAGGCATCCCAAGTCGCGTTCGTGGTTTCTTGGTGTTTTTGGACCTTGTTGTTATACCACTTGTAGATTGAAGTAAACTTGCGCCGAACTATTCATATGGTAGTACGGACCTAGTACTGAAGACTAGATGCTAGAAGTGATCAGCCAGAACATAGGAGACCTCGCAGGGGACTTGAACAATCAAACACGATCAATAATTGTTCATACGCCTCGATTGCACGAGGATCTGGATATGGCATGGCATGAAGCAGTGCCACCTCTGCCTGCGAATAAACGTGATGCAGGATCTATGTTGCTGGTCGCCTCCATGCATACACTGACCAGATCATATACACTCACTTTTCACCGTTACCCTACTTCATAGAAACCACTGCATTCACATAAACCCTACAAGCCGCTACCAAACCTGTTGAGGGGTCAACACCTCAACCGCTGAAGCAGAGCCTGGTATGTTCGGAGGACTGCAACTTCTCATGATTTGGGTTTAGGGTTTTGGGGGTTTAGGGGTTTAGGGTTTGGGGTTTAGGGTTATCATAAGTCCCTGCATCGGATTTCTTGTTGACTCCAAAGCTCTGTACTCCATCAAAACAAGCGACAGCCTAATATAGGGGCCTTCATAATTCGAACAGGGTGTTGAAGCCCGCTGTACTGTAACTGTAATAAGGAACCCCCAAAATAGTAGAGGTAATTATTAAGCCCCCCCTACTAAACCCTATAGCAATCCTTATATAGACCCCTTCAAAAGGATCCCTTTAAGGAATCCTTAGGTAATTTATTGACGTCTCCATATGAGCGGCGTCGCGGCAAATAATTACCCATACTATTTTTGGTGGTTCCTTATTGGAATTATAGTATGATGGGCCCCAAAACCAACGGCCTAATGAGCTGCGTCGAGGTTGCCAAGCCTGCTGCACCTTCACAAGCTCGGAGAGTTCATGGCAGAGCCTGTGTTGGCCCTTTTTAAGGTTTAGGGTTTAGGGTTCTTTACTAACCAAAGGCAGGTTTAAAGCCTCTGAGAAATACCCGCAAATAAGATCCTCTTAAGCCCCAACGAAGCAAAACATTTAAGACCCTAAACCCTATATTCCCTAAACCCGAAAAGTGCCCGAAGCCCTGCCCGATACTCAAAATCTGCGAAAGGCCTACCTAGAAGCATCGTCTGCAGCTGCTGCTGCGTCTGCTGAGGCTGCTCCAGTCTTCTTGGAGCTTCAGGCGATGAGTGGCCGCAGCCATAGCCTCTGAAGAAGCCGCCTTGTACCTTACAGTAGAAGCCAGAAAGTTGGAATATCATTATCGTAATCCCTTTAAGGTAAATTATAGGGGATCCTACCATTAATCCATATTCCAACTTTCTGGAGTTCCCTTAGTATCGTGGCCCGAAACAGTCTAGTAGAGTTTCGGGTCTCCGGGCTGAGGGTTTAAATGGGGGCCCAGTCTCGTAGCCCCAAAAAAAAATGTAGGGTTTAGAGTTTAAAACATCAAGGTTATCCTTTCATATTCTGGTGGCATTCTAGAAGCCCCAAGAACGTAAGGGTTTAAAACATCAAGGTTAACCTTTCATATTCTGGTCGCATTCTGGAAGCCCCCCCCAAAAACTACGAAAAAAGGCTACGTAATCAGCTCCTAAGTTTCGGGTTCCGCGATTGCCTCGGGCGCTGAGAAGGAGCCCAGTCTTCTGGCAGTCGGCAGCTCCGGAGTCCGCACAGGGGCCACTCCTGGGATGAACCAGGGGTTTAGGGTTTAGGGTTTAGGGTTTAGGAGAAACTCAATATGGAAGTTTCCGAAAATAGGGGACCTTAATACAGTACCCTAAACAGAAGGGTCCTTTTTGTAAGGACACCAAAAAAGGCACCCCTAATTTTCGGAAACTCCCATATAAGTTTCTATTTCATCATGGTTCCTGTAAGGAACCAACCCAAAAACAAGTGCCCAAAGTATGGTACTGTTTCATTGTTAAATCAAAGGAGCAGGTCGAGCAGGTCAACAGCAATGAAGAGAAAAGTATGGTGCTCCAAACCCACGCACTGTTTAGTGCCCCTACAAACCCTAACAGCCCTATAAGCCCTATAAACCCTATGAGCAGAGGCCATGGTGCACCAGAAACCTCGTAGACCCAATTTACAAAAGGGCTTGCCGATCTATAGAAAGTTTCTGTTGAAGGCTCCTTGTAAAGGATCTACAGGGTTATTTTAGGGGCTTCCTTAAACTGGCGGGGTATTATAGAGGCCTTAACAACTAGACTAGAGTTTCGGGGTATATTACGCTACAATTATAAGAAGGAGCCCCCATCATAGAAAAAGGTACGTAAAATACTTCAGCCCCTATACCAGCCCTTAAAGTAATCCTTATATTTCAAAGGAACCCTTTAAAGGGGACCCTTCGGCAATTCTTTCAGCCCCTATACTACTTGTGTCCCTTTAAAGTAATGAGGTAACAAAAGGGGCCTTAATAATTTGACTAGGGTTTCGGTGCTCACTATACTATGGTCAATTTCTAATAAGGAGCCCCCGGATAGTATAGGTAATAGACAAAACCCTATCATAGCCTCTATGGTGATCCTTATAGACTAGACCCCTTTGGAGGAAGCCTGTATTAATGCCCCTACACTAAACCCCTATAGTAGCCCTTACAGACCCTTTTTAAGAACCCTTTAAAGGGAACCTCTATTCTAATTATTCGGGCCCCTACGTAACCTAAACCCTAAGCCTTAAGCTAACCCTAAAACCCCATTAGAGACCCCCTTATAGAAACCTTTAAAGGAACCCTATATCCCTATCATTGTAATTTATTAAGGCCCCCCCAAAACACCCCTATAATAGCACTTATAGTAATCCCTACAGACCCCTTTAAAATGAAGCCTTTATTAAGGTGCCTTTAATCAAATGTGCTACGCCAGAGCCGAGCCTCTGGGACCAGGATTGCGAGCCTTTCTCTCGCGCTCGCTCCGCGGCTTCTGCAGCTTCTTAAAACTCTGCTCAAGACCTTTAGGGCGTGGGGTTTCGGGCTTAGGGTTTGGGGTTTTGGGATTTAGGGTTTAAGCTTTAGGGGTTAGGGGTTTAGGGTGTCTTGAAGGCTTTGAAGGTTTAGGGACTTGAGAAATGGCCTTTTAAAGCTCTGCTGAAGACCTCTTTTCTTTATAAGGGCTTAGGAGGTTTAGGGGTTTAGGGGTAGCGGAGCCAAATATAGCCTTAAAGCTCTGCGCAAGACCTTCTGTCGGGGCTTAGAAGGTTTACGGGTTACGGGGACTAGGGGTTTTAGGGTTTAGGGGTTTGAGGGTTTGAGGAATTTCGAGACCCTTGTTTGTGGGAGTTTCCGAAAATAGCAGGATGCTAATATAGCCTTATAAAGCTCAGCTCCAGCCCTCTTCGTCTTGAGGGCTTCGAAGGTTTTTCGGGTTTTGGGGTGTAGGGGTTAGAGTTCAAGGGTTTAGGGGTTTTGGGGTTTTAGGGTTTGGGGCTTTAGGGGTTAGGGGTGTGGGTTTAGGGAAGTTTAGGGCTTAGGGTGTTAAGATTTCTTAGAACGATTGGCGGCCTTATCTTCCGGGCTTAGAAGTTGCTTAGAGGATCATGGGACTTAGGGTTCCTTAAAGGGCTCCTTATTGGGTTCAGGGTTTAGGGATCTATAATATAAGGGTTCTATAGGGGGTAGTTTAGGTTACTTAGAGGATCATGGGACTTAGTAAGTAGTAGGTTATAATTGGGGTCATAAATCCCCTAAGTGGGGTTATCCTAATTGAAACCTACTTATAACCTTACTTACTAGGTCCCATGAGCCTTCAAGTGGGTACTGCCCCCATAGACCAACAGTCTATAATGAGCTATTCCTTTTTGGGGTTCAAGTACCCACCAACCATCTAAGATGTTACCCAACTATGACGAATTTTTCTGTAGGGCTTATAGGTTTTAGTTGTTGTTGGAGTCTTGAGGCGTTTTGGCTTGTTGGGTTTGGCGTGGGGCCTCTGATTAGGGGGAATACAGAAGCCGCTTATCTTCTTCACAAAGGCGGGCACAAAACTTCAAATTGTCTAAGATAGACCCAATATGCAAGGCCAAAACGTGTGAAGTGCTCCATTGGCCATATAGGTCTTTGCCGAGTTAATTATCCCCAAGACCTTAAACTTTCAGTTCTGGAGGGAGTTATAGCAAAAAACGAACATTTCAAAACGATGATAACACATTCTCCCTATTCTGCCAAGAAGTGCAGAGTATACTCAGATCCCCATGTAGGGCCTTAGTACTGAGCGTATCCTTTCCTTTCTCCTACTCTTCGGTTGAAATGATGGAACCCGAAAAGAAAAAGGGCAAAAGGGTACTACAAGGGAACCCTAAACCCTAAACCCTAAACCCTAAACCCTAAACCCTCACCCTAAACCCCTAAACCCTAAACCCTAAACCCCTAAACCCTAAACCCTAAACCCTAAACCCTAAACCCTACTACAAGGGAACTTCGACCAAGAGGCTCATCAGCTGTTGAACTTGCTGCTGCCAATGCTGGGGCACCGAGCGAGAGGATTGCGAAGTCTCCGAGTCTGGGGCATCGAAGTCCTGGGTTCTTGTTACGGAGCGTAAAGTAAGTAGGGTTTAGGGTTTAGGGTTTAGGGTTTAGGGTTTAGGGTTTAGGGTTTAGGGTTTAAGTAGGGTTTAGGGCTTAGGGTTGAAGCTACCGTTTAAGCATCTGGTAGATGTTGGCAGGGTTTCTAGTTCTGATAACTCAAAGCAAGTTCCTGGAAAAGAGCCCAGACTCGCGTCGACTGAGGAAGGACTTTCTGTACACCCCCTTCCCATCCTGGCTGCAGCTCGGATCTGTCCCTGCTTTCAGCTTGAAGCGAGGTAGCGGTGGAGAAGACGGACAGCGCACAGTACTCTCCTCAGACGTTCCATCACTGTCTGGCTGGTGGGCTGCGCTGCTCTCACTTTCCGATGGACGAATTCCCGATGCTCCCTTCCTGGGCTTTTAAGTAACCAGGGATAATAAAGTATAAACCTGTATTTCATAATGGTTCCTTTAAGCAAAAGTATTAAAGTATGGTACTCCAAAGTCCAGCTTCTCCATGAAGCCTTGCGCAAGCCACTGGAGGGGCGAAAGCCACACAGACTGCGTGGACTTCGTGCACCCTTCTGCTTCCTCGGGCACTGCTGTCGGAATCGTCGTTTCCGGAACTTCCTCAGAAGGCTCCTGTAATCGCGGCGGCATCTCCTGGCAGGAAGTTTTCTTGATAAAGCAGTGGGCATTTTGGGATCCAGGTGGGGCAACCCTAAAGCCCTGCATCCCTGCGCCCCCCAATCCCAGACCTGTAGAACCCTAAACTTTGCCCCAAGCCCTCGCGGCCCTAAACCCTAAGAGGCCCCAACCCAAACCCTAAATCCTCACCCCAAACTAGACCCCATAGGCCCTAAACGGCCCTAAACCGTAAATCCTAAACCCCGAACGCTATAAAGCCCAAAAGGCCCTAAACCCTAAACCCTAAACCCTAAATTAATTCCTAAACCCTAAACCCTAAACCCCTAAAGCCCTGAACCCCCAGACTCCTTAAGGCGCCATTTAACGGTACTACCGGGGAACCACACCTCCGCTGGCGGGTCAGCAGGGGAGCTGAACTCCTCCAGCCTGCTTCAAGCTTTGGGGTTACAGGGAACTCCAGAAAGTTGGAATATGGATTAATGGTAGGATCCCCTATAATTTATCTTAAAGAGGTTACGATAATGATATTCCAACTTTCTGGCTTTTACTTTAAGGGTTTAGGGTTTAGGGAGCCTGTTACCTTTGGTTACAATTACCTATAACCCCAATTAGGGTACTTATAACCTTACTTACTAAGTCCCCTGATCCTCCAAGTACTTACCTTTGGTTAGTAGGGAATGGGGTGGCTTCAGGGGACCCAGTAAGTACGTTAGGACTAGATTTACCAGTACCGTATATGGAGTTGCTCCAATTTTAACCCATTTATACCGGACTTATTTAAGAGCACATCTAGCATAACACCTCTGGCAAATATACAGGTCATGAACTTTCATGAACTCCTGTCCCGGAAGGTGACAAGTTCCGATGATACACGGAACCATGAAATCAAGCTCACCGACCTACTACATTTAGGGTTGGGGGTTTAGTAGTTTAGGGTTAAGTCGTTTAGGCTGCTAATAGTAGTTTAAGGTTACAGTAAGGGGTTCAGGGTCTAGGCGCTTATGGTTTAGAGGCATAGGCTTTTAGGCTTTTAAGGTTGAGGTGTTTGGGGGCCTAGGGTCTGCGGAAAGGATCATTGGACTCAGCAGCTAGAGTCATAAAGAAGAGAACTATACTTACGATATCTGAAAACCCAGTTACAGTAATTACATACATAATCCACCGTTCTGAGGCGCTGTAAGAGGAACTCCAATAAGATTGAAGGTATCTTCCTCACTCAAGGGGTTTGGGAGTCTCTGAGTACAAGCTTAGGGCAGCTTGCGGTCTCTGGAGGGTGCAGGGTTTGCGCCTTGGGGGCTTTCACGTGTTCCTTTAATGGTTCCTTTAAGGGGGGTTTTGGGTTGAGCGCTTTGGGTGTAGAGCTTTGGGTTCAAGGTTCAGGGTTTAGGGCTTCGGGTTCAGAGCTTTAGGTTCAGGGTTTAGGCTTTGGGTGTAACTTACAGTAGTCTTTAGGCTTCACCTTCTCTCTGACAGATCGATCTCGGCATTCTTAATGGCCACAGAGTCGAACTTACATGAGAAGTGGGACTAAGCACAACAGGACCCCGACACAGGTGCTAAACGGAACCCCCAATAAGCTTTGAACCCTGAACCCCTAAAGGACGCTAAAGAGCGTCCCACCCATAGTGTCTTGAAAGCCCACGATCTGAACCTATGTAAACTATACTGAACATAGAACCCTAGCAACAATTATGATTTTAGCTGCTTCTTAGGGATTATAATAACCAAGATTAAAAACTATTTCAAAGTACCCCTATGTAGAGGTCTGACTTTTTCTTGATACTATCCCTGTGTAGTAGTGCCGTTAATACTTATAGTATCAACCCTCGTCTAACTCATGGGAACCCTACATCACGGTCACTAAAACCCTCATAAGATGCTTATGAAGAGCCTTTACACCTTTGTGAAAGCCCGATTCTATTTACAAGGCGCGGCAAAGCCCTGAATCCTAAACCGTCGACCCTATATTGTCTTCAAGCTCCCGTGCCACCCACGGCCTGCACAATGCCGTCCACTCACCGTCTTCCACCTCAGAGTTTAGGGCATCGGGGCCTTAATCATTAGAATCCTGTTTTCGTAGCGGGGGAATGATATGGGAGTTTCCGAAAATAGGGGTACCATACTTTGGGTTCCTTATAATAAGGATCCTACTATTTAGGGTACCATACTAGGGTCCCCCTATTTTCGGAAACTCCCATATACCTTTAAAAGGGAGCCCTAGGGATCAAGATTGTAGTTCTCCAGGCTTCGAGCTTACGGGTTCAAGTTGAAGGGTTCAGAGGTTTAGGGTTCAGAGGTTTAGGGTTTAGGGTTTAGGGTTTAGGGTTTAGGGTTTAGGGTTTAGGGTTTAGGGTAGGGGTTGGGCATTCAGATTGATTGAGATTTAAGCTTCAGGCACCTCCGCAACTTCCGCACTTAACCACTGAGCATCTCCGCTTCCACTTTCTTCCGCACTCACCTCAGCCAGGCCAACAAAGCGAAGACTGAGGCAGGGTTTCGTGCTCAGGGCTCTGGATCAAATTAAAGGTTTAGGGTTCGGAGCTTAGACCTCAGGATGCAGGGCTCCGGGTTTAGTGTTTAGGTTTAGCGGTTTAGGCTTTAGGATGCCCGGCTTCAGGTGTAGGGTTTAGAAAACTAAAACTGCCAATCGCTGCAGCCGCCCTGGCTGAGGGACCTACTGCCATGATCTCAAAGTCCGCGAGCTCTCCTTGCGCAGAAGTTTCGCACACCTAAGGGACCCCTCTTGGAAGGGCAGGAGACTTAGTAAGCCGTTTATAAGTAGGGTTATAATTGGGGTAACTCCATTTAGGGTACTTATAACTCTACTTATAACCCACTTACTAAGTCCCCTGCCCCTCCAAGCTGTTGTTGTTCCAACCAATGAGGACAATGCAGCGATCTTAAGAGTTACACCAAGGTTTTGGATATGTCATAAAATACTGTTGATGATATAAATCCTGCATTACCCATAATAAGGAATATACCATAATTCCCATAGTTTAGGGTCCTTAAGGTAATGCAGGATTTATATCATCCACCGTATCACTTGGAGGGGCAGGGGACTTAGCAAGAAGGTTATAAGTAGAGTTATAAGTACCCTAAAGGGAGTTACCCTGATGATAACCCTACTTATGACCTGCTTACTAAGTCTCCTGCCCCTCCAAGCATACTATCAATAGACTATCACTATGTACTGACGATAAGGGCGCCATATTACCAAAGACTCCGACCTTTGACTATTTGGGGTTCTGTTGGGGGGTCCCTGTCTTCTCCGAACAAGCCCTATCTGCACTCGCCACCCAAAGAGTTTCGGATAGAATCATCTCAGATTTTAAACCCGAAACCTCTAGAAGTGCCAAGCCCGTACCCTGGACTGCCCATCTCTTCTAGGTCCATCTCTTCAGAGCCCCAAATCAGCAATAAAAGCATGAACCCGGATCAAACTCCTAAACCTCTCTGCTGACATAAGCAGACCTCCTCCAAGCAGCACCTTTCTCTCCCAGGCCTCCTGCCACGGAGAGGCAGAATGACCCCATTGATGATAACACTGGTAATGATCAAATAACATGACAATACAGTAGAAGCCAGAAAGTTGAAATATCATTATCCTAAACCCTTTATGGTAAATTATAGGGGATCCTACCCTGAATCCATATTCCAACTTTCTGGAGTTCCCTTTAATTTCACTATATGGCAATCACCATATTGCTGTTAATCATCATAGTACTGATAGCAACACCACAACTGGCACCGACACAAACTCCAGCTCTGACTGTCGCACTGACGCTGACACTGTCACTGTCTCTGGCACTGGCTCTGTCACTAGCACTGACTCGAAATCTCACTCTGACACTGACATTACTGCTAGTACTAGATATTGTACTAGTAAAACTTTAAGTGTAACCGTGCCAGTGCTAGGACTGTTACCACTAACTTGGTGCTAGCGCCACCCGAACCCTTAAAGCTTAGCCCATCGCATGTTTCTGCCTTTTGGAATCATGCTGAACCAGTGCCACGACTTATAGTTGTGGCAGACCCTGATGTAGGGGCCTTAACAACTAGGATAGGGTTTGGAGGCCCATTATACTATCATTATTAAAAAAAACCCAAAACAGTATTGGTAATTATGTAGGCCCCGATGCTACATGCAGCGCCTGAGTGACATGGCTCCCTTCTCTACTCCCGATAAAATCTGCTGCCCGACTTGCCACCACAAAAAACTCCTTTGGCTGAGTTTATATATCCGCTCAAGGATCCCTAGAATCCCCCTACAAGGCCTCATGGTCCATAGTCATATATCCGCTTACGGGTCCCTAGAATATCCCTAAAAAGCCTCAGGGTCCATAGGCATAGATCTGCTTAAGGATCCCCAGAATCACCCTGAAAGGCGTCAGGGTCCACACTAGGGGCCCAGATGTCTGACCTTAGACTTGGGCGTCAGCCTCTCCGGCTATGCTAGCCTAATGGGACTTTCCGAAAAAATTCGGGGTACCTTATTTTGGGGTCCTTATGATAAGGATCCTACTATTTAGAGTACCTTATTAAGGTCCCCGATTTTCGGAAACTCCCACATAGCAAAACGGCAATACGATCAGACAGTTATAGGATTACGGTATGATGGTAATGGGACACTCCCTAATCCACGCTTCTACAACAGCGGCCGACAAGTGCCAGCAGTGTGACTCGGGTACTCCTGCTGAGACCTAACTCGGAGTTTCACAGACCAGGGGCCTCAATACAGACCCCTGAATGAAAGGGCCCCTAAACAAGGCACCCGGAATTTTCAGAAGTCCAGCCTACCACAGCCTACCTACACAATTCGAAGTGAGGCGATGTCTGCGAACTCGCTTCGCGACGAGTTCGGCTTGGCAAAACGTGTAGGACACTGGCTAAGATGCAGAAACCCCGAGCTCTTAGTACATGGGTGGTTGTCAAAATTAGGGTCCCTGTTTGGGTCCCTAATATAGTACGGCACCTAATATTTAGGGTGCCCAGAAAGGGACCATAATTTTGAGAACCACCCACATGTAGGGTGCTTGATGACTGTCTGGTTCTTAATAGGGAATGGGGGAATGGGTTAGTGGGACTACTATAAAGGGCCATCATAGGGATCCATTCCCCCATTCCCTACTATACAGGCACCAGTTATTGGGACTGCAAAAAAGGACCATCACAGGGATCCATTCCTCCATTCCCTACTATACAGGCACCAAGCGGATGAACGTCGGTCTTGGTATCTTGATGGTACCACCTCAGAGCATAACAACCCTGTAAGCCAGCCTTAGACACTGAACCCACAATCCTTCGTTCTCAAAGCTTGGCATCATCCCGAAAGAATCCAGCCTGGTCATGAGGAGGTGGGCTGCCCGCGCTAGGCCTCCGAAAAGCAGCAAGAGCAAGGCACCAAAAGTAGGGTTTGGGGTTTTAGGAGGTCTTCTTCTTATTTATTCCCGCTGCTCTCATGCTACTGCTGGTCTTGCTGGCCAGTCAGCTACTCGCCCTGCTGATAGCTGATGGCAGTGACCGAAATACTCGCTCCAGGTCCTCCTGCAAAGGCTTCTAATGTAGGGGGATTAATCATCAGAATAGGGTTCAGAATAGGGGGTTGGGTGCATAGCCTACTGGAACTACATGAATCAGGAAGGAACCCCCAGAACGGCCTTGGTAAGCAGTTAGGCTCGCATATTACTTGCAGAGTGCCTGGCCTCCCCTCCCTTGGTGGCACCGTGGTCGGCCCTGGCAAGTGGCATCCTACTTGTCCAATATCCTGCGGAACTAACGCTTAACCTTTGGGAGTCGAAGTGTATTGTGGTTGTATAGGGATCATAGTCCACCAACAAACAGGTCAAAGGTTACCTTTTCTACTACGGCTCTTTGGCCAGTAACGGGCTTTACTGGCTCAAACTAATGGCTGCAATTAGTACATCCTGGTGATCACCTTCGTGCCAAACATCACCGAGAGAGAGGTCACCGGGCAAATGCTGATGTTGATGATGACGACAAACCCTAAAACCTAAACCCTAAATCCTAAACACTAAACCCTAAAACCCTAAACCCTAAATCCTAACCTCCAGCAGTCCCAAGGGAGGAGGAGGAAGCAGGAGCTGAAGCGAAGCGGGAAACCAGATGACGATGACAGTGATGCCGGCGATGCCTCGATGGCTGCAAATAGAGTATACTAGGAGTAGTGGTAGGAGGTAGAAGTAGGAGTCGTAGTGGGAGTCGTAGGAAGAAGTAGAAATTAGAGTGCCTGTAAAGGAGGAGTGGTTGGAGCGGGAGGTGCAGCAGGAGGAGGGGAGGCGTAGAAGTAGAAGTAAGTAGGAGTGGGAGAACGAGTGGGAGTAGCAGTAGCGATAGCGGCAACAGCAGCACTAGTAAGTCGTAGTCGTCGTCGCCGTCGTCGTAACTGCAGCCGGAGCAATAGTAGCAGCTGTACTGGAGGAAGAGGAGAGAGACAATGTTTGGATGGCCGCAGCAGTGCTCACCGCGACCATGGTTGCGGTGGCAGTTGTAATTAGCATGCCGATGCTGTTTCTGCTCGTCGTCGCCCTGATTTTCACAAGACAGGGAGAAGGACGAACGGGAAGCCGATCCAGCCGAGGCAGGGTAGAGAAGCCGACACCAGTAAGAGAAACACAAGCAGAGTGCGTCTGCACTCGCGGGCAATGCAAGTCCAGTGGTCCGCAGTTGCTCCACCAGACCTGCTGGTGAATGTTCTGCGACGATGTAGACGTATCAAGCCAGGTAATCCTCATAATATACGGGGGGTCATAATTCATAATAATAGCAACAAGAATGCAGATACTAAAAGTGAGAGTTAGAATTGAATAGGGTTTTGGGGCCCATGATACTACAATTTTAATAAGGACCCCCCCCAAGTAGTACAGGTAATGCTCATAAGTCGTTGAGCTCCCACACCCGCAGATGCCCCTCCCCTCCTCGCCTGGATGCACCAATTTCGTACTTGTTCGAAACCTGGCGGCTGTGAGGAAGCCTGCTTCTCACGGGCAAGGTGTTTTGGGGGGGTTCCTTTTTGTAACTATAGTATAGTGGGCCCCAAAATAACTGTAGTATAATGGGCCCAAAAAACACTCTTCTAACTTTTAAGGCCCGTACTTGCACATTCAAGTCAAACCCTTACCACATGGGGGGGTTTCCGAAAACAGGGGACCTTAATATAGCACCCTAAATAGTAGGATCCTTATTATAAGGACCCCCAAAAGGTGCCCCTAAATTTCGAAAACTCTACTTAAACCCTAAACCCCTCGTAGAACCCCTTGTAGATCCCTTTAAGGAACCTTTTCAAGGATCCCAAATAAGGCACCCCTAATTTTCGAACACTTCAATATCTGGTCATACTTGAAGGCTCATGGGACTTAGTAAGTAAGGTTATAAGTAGGTTATAATTAGGATAACCCCACTTAGGGGACTTATAACCGCAGTTATAACCTACTTACTAAGTCCCATGATCCTCTAAGTATGGTTTGCCTTTGTGAGTTCAGGCTCCGCCTTGGCGGGGAGGTGTGGACTCAGCCCACCTCAAGTCGGAAGCGGCAAGAATGATTTAGGGTTTAGGGGTTTAGGGTTTAGCTCAGGGGTTAGGGATTTAGGGCTTAGGGTTTGGGGTTTAGGGCTTTGGGCATTTGGGGTTCTGAATGAGGCAGAGAGCTCCCCTGCATGGCCAGTTTCTGCGATTTCATGGGAGATCGTTGGACGAACTCAGTTGACCAGCCTGCTTGATCATGGTGGTGCGATGGATGCTAAACACGTGCACCGCACAAGTAGTATCAGTATTACAAACAGGACAGATCACTCTGCCAATTCTGTTGGGGAGTGCAGCATACTGGAACGACGACACCAAGACCAGAATGCAACGAATGCAACAATGCTTGAAAATGGAACAGAATCGGAACTGAAGAGATGAGGAACACTAATCAGGATGGTGATGAAACACAAATACAACTGTAGAATCAAAACGCTTAAGCCTCCAGCCGGGTCCAATAGCAGCCAGGCGGCAAGTCTCTTGGTATCAAACGCTGGCGGCAGGCTGGCCCGAATGATCTAGCACATTCGCCGGCATGGCTGTCTGCTTGGTTGATGTGTCGCGTATCTGGCTGAAGTCAAAATGCATATATCTGTAGCGTCCTCTCTCAACACGGTGCTTTCGCAGCTTCCTATCCGCTTGCTGTTGTCGCCTACACCTACACAGCTGCAGATACGCAGGTGAATCTGTCCAAACCTCCAGGCAAACAACCTGAATCCAGTTTAACTGCTCATCCTAATCGCTTGAATGCAACAACCCCGCAAAAAACTTTGGCCGGGAGATTGCAACAAGCATCGATTTTGCGTTCTGCAACGGCGTGGGAGAAGTCGCATGCTCAAGATAAGGGATTCTTCCGATGTGACTCGGTGAGGCAAGCCATTGACATGCCGTGCATCTGCAGCGCATCATGTGCTTCTCAAGAGCGAGGAATATTACAACTACAGACCTGGACTCTGCCACGACATGCGACACTGCAGATGTGTCAAGATGAACGGCTGGGAGTTTGCTGTCCAATTTAACCGGAGGCTGTGTGATATGGTACTACAATACGCGAGGCAGCAATCTACCAAACCAAACGCAACTTGCCAGCTCCGTAGGGAGTGGACGAAAAAACAGGTGACTCATCGGATGACCTGCAGCTTCAGCTCCAGGGTACCTTAGGGTTTAGGGTTTAGGGTTTAGGGTACTACCTTGCACAAGAGACCGCAGAGAGAGTCCCGAAACCCGGATCGTCAAGACTCTACACCCCCAACACCCCATAACCCTAATCACCAAGACCCTCGAGACCTCAAACCCTAAACTCCTATAGATCCCTCGAAGGAACCCTTATAGACCCCTTTCAGAAATTCCTAAACCCCTGAAGAGAGACCCTGAACCTCAAGGAGTTGAGGTGTTCAACGGGTTTGGTTTAGGGAAAGCTTAAGGCTTTAGGGCTTTAGGGTTTTGGGATTTGGGGGATTTTGCATGGACATGGGGATTTTGGGTTCAGGACTTTCGGGTTTAGGGTTTGAAGGCGATACGTTTAGGAGTGCTCTCATAGGTGTCCTATGCACGGCTGCATATCATAAATCGTGAGCATCGCCTAATCCCTAAGCTAAAGCGGCTCTAAATCCCATGCCCAAAAGGCGCTAACCCAAACGACCCACCTGCAGGAGCATTACAAGTTCTTAAGTCCTATACTGTTGGAAGCTTGAATTCTACACTTCTTCAATCCCTTCTAGCACCCTCAAAGAACCCTGAAAAGAAACCGTATTCCCTTAAAAAGGACTTTTAAGGGAACCCTATGCTAACAAAACCATCAAAGCCCGAGACTGTTTGGTTTAAAGGGGCTTGCAAAAGAACCTAAACCCTAACAAAACGGGAATAAGGGCCTACTCTACCCATAGGCCCCAAAGTAGTTCCTTTTTGGGACTTCCTTATAGAATTCTATATATGAGCCCCAAAAAAGGAACTACTTTGGGGCCTTGGGGTAGGTCCCAGTCACTTCTGCCGCTGAAAGGCTTCATTTCTTCTCGAAGAATCCGTCATCCTCAGAGGCTCGGTTGGGGTTTACTTAGAGGATCATGGGACTTAGGGTTCCTTAAAGGGCTCCTTAAAGGGCTTAGGGTTTAGGGATCTATAATATAAGGGTTCTATAGGGGGTAGTTTAGGTTACTTAGAGGATCATGGGACTTAGTAAGTAGGTTATAATTGGGGTTATAAGTCCCCTAAGTGGGGTTATCCTACTTATAGCCTACTTATACCCTTAGCCTTCAAGTGGGGCTTAGGGCCCACGGTTTAGGGCTTAGGGTTCAGGGCTTCGGGTTTAGGGCTTAGGGCCCACGGTTTCGGGCTTAGGGCTTGGGGCTTAGGGCTTAGGGTTTAGGGTGTAGGGCTGAGGGTTTAGGGTGGTTCTTTAAATCGGAAGCGACATTGACAACTATAATGAACTTCATGTGTTAACAGGCCCTTGGAGCTTTTTTGAAATGCTAGGATGCCCAGTAACTTAAGAATAAAAAGGGCTCCCTTTTTGGTATTGGGTACCTTATTAGGAACCTAGGACTACAAAAAGGGAATAAGGGTACTACTGGGCATCCCAGAATGAACAAATACATCCGAAGAACACTACAGATAAAGGGCAGGTCCTGGTTTGAGGGCTTGGGCGGGCTGGGGAGATCTTTCAACAGGCTGGTTCAGGGATTCGGGACACGGGGCTTAGCGCTTAGAGTTTAGAGTTTGGGGGGTTCATGTTTTAGGGTTCAGGGTTTAGATGTTGGGGGGTTGGGTTTTAGGGATCAAGGTTTAAAAGTTTAGGGTTTGGGCCCCCATTATAACCTCGTCCCTCTGTAGGCATCACGCGAAGTGTGCCGTCATATCGGTGTTTCTCTTTTTACATAGATATGCAGTTTTACAGGGGGAGGGAGGGAGGGAGCGAGGGGGACAGGGAGAGCGCGAGAGAGGAGAGGAGAGAGAGGGAGAAAGCGTGTTAGTTTAGTTAGGCATACAGCACCCTTGACTGACTCATAGACAGCCAACCCCAAACCTGAATGACAAACCTCAAAACTGGAACCCTCAAACTCTCGAATTGCCACAGCCCCGAAGCAAGGATCAAGCGGCTGGGGTCTTGGAAATGGGAGAAGCTGACAACAGAATTGGGCTCGATTTCAACAATGAAAACCAGTACTAACTACTTAACATGGATCCTGATCCGGGTAACTGAACCCTTTTGATCCTTATTCTGGTATCTTAACTTAAGCTCGTGGACAAGAACCCAGAAGGGGCCGCGCAACAAGCCGGGAAGAGTCAGCTAAGGCCGCTGGGTTGGCGATCTTTTGAAGGGAAGCTGTCCACTACGGTTGATGATATGAATCCTGCAGTACCTCAATGACCCTAGACTTTGGGAGTTATGATCTTTTCCTTATTTTGGGTAATGCAGGGTTCATATCATCAACAGTATCTCAAGGGAACTAAACATGACACATTAAGGTCACGCTTTTTATGGTTTAGGGTAATACTCCAAAACATATTTAAGGTTACCTACTCCACTACTAGAACAGCGACCCGAAGGTAAGGAAGTCCCCCAACCCCGTAGAAAGCCTTGAAGCGCTCCAACTGCACAGTATGGTGTGCTGTCCATATACTACCCAGAACTCAAAACCCTAAAATGCAAAACCCCTAAACCCTAAACCCACAACCCTAAACCTGAAACCTAACCACCCCCTAAACACCCGAAAAGTCTGAAATAGCCCGAACATCCTTAACACCCCCTGACCCTAAACCCTACCCTATAAGCCCTAACTCTAAACCCGTCCTCATGGAAGGCAGACGAAGGCATGCCCGAGGGCAGCTTGACGATAGCCCAGGGCGCCCGATCCTCGAAGGCGATCCTGAAATGGGGAATGGAAGTCTAGGGCTTTAGGGGGTCAGGGGTTTAGGGTTTAGGGGTTAGCGCTTTAGGGGTTTAGGGCTTTAGGGCTTTAAGGTTTAGGGCTTTAGGGTTTAGGGGTTTAGGGCGGGGGTTAGGGCTTAGGGCTTGTAATCAAGCACGAGAGCTGCCTAACACGCTTTGCGCAACGCAGGCCAACCCAGCCCAGGCACTGGTAGATGGTTGTGAGCATCGGGAGCTTGTCACACAAGTTGTGCTTCTTCATCACTGGCCAGATCTCCTGGCGGTGGAGCGGGGGCGGGCTTTCTGCGATGTTCACACGGTTTAGCATTGCGGGTCTAGCCTTGCGAAGCAATACGTCAAGCAGATATACTAATCACGACAGTGGCTTAAGAACCACCGCAATGCCGTTTCCCTCGGGCAGGGAAACCTGAGAAATGAAAACCAGCCCTTGAACCCTAGAATCCCTAGAACCCCAAATCTGTAAAACTCCTGATCCCTAAACCCCTAAGCCCTTGAACCCTTCAGCCCTAAAGCCTTAAGCTCGTGAACCCTCAGCCCTGGAACCCTAAACCCTAAAAGCTCCTCCTCCCTAAACCCCTACTCCTACGCGAGTTTGTCGTTGCATTTCGCGTTTTTGATGTTTCCCCCATCTGCACACACGCAACGACTGGGGTCGCTGCAAAGTCCTTGCATTTGCCGTTTCCGCAAGAGCACACCCCGTGCACACCGTCCCCCAAGAGTGAACAACTCGTGTGAAAGCCGGCGTGGCGCGGTTCGTTTTTTTGCAGCCTTCTGCAACTGCACACCTCCGGGGACAGGTGAAGAACGGACCCCGACATGCATGCACTTATACCTGCGTGCTGCGGTTCGTTTTTGCAGCCTTCTGCAACTGCACACCTCCGGGGACAGGTGAAGAACGAACCCCGACATGCATGCACTTATACCTGCGTGTTGCGGTTCGTTTTTGCAGCCTTCTGCAACTGCACACCTCCGGGGACAGGTGAGGAACGGACCCCGACATGCATGCACTTTGACCTGCGTGTTGCGGATCGTTTTTGAAGCCTTCTGCATGTGCACACCTCCGGGGACAGGTAAAGAACGGACCCTGAGATGCATGCGCTTAGACCTGCGTGCTGCGGTTCGTTTTTTGTAGCCTTCTGCAACTGCACACCTCCGGGACAGGTGAAGAACGGACCCCGACATGCATGCACTTATACCTGCGTGCTGCGGTTCGTTTTTGCAGCCTTCTGCAACTGCACACCTCCGGGGACAGGTGAAGAACGGACCCCGACATGCATGCAATTATACCTGCGTGTTGCGGTTCGTTTTTGCAGCCTTCTGCAACTGCACACCTCCGGGGACAGGTGAAGAACGGACCCCGACATGCATGCACTTAGACCTGCGTGTTGCGGATCGTTTTTGAAGCCTTCTGCAAGTGCACACCTCCGGGGACAGGTGAAGAACGGACCCTGAGATGCATGCGCTTAGACCTGCGTGCTGCGGTTCGTTTTTTGTAGCCTTCTGCAACTCCACACCTCCGGGACAGGTGAAGAACGGACCCCGACATGCATGCACTTATACCTGCGTGCTGCGGTTCGTTTTTGCAGCCTTCTGCAACTGCACACCTCCGGGGACAGGTGAGGAACGGACCCCGACATGCATACAGTTATACCTGCGTGTTGCGGTTCGTTTTTGCAGCCTTCTGCAACTGCACACCTCCGGGGACAAGTGAAGAACGGACCCCGACATGCATGCAGTTATACCTGCGTGTTGCGGATCGTTTTGGCAGCCTTCTGCAAGTGCACACCTCCGGGGACAGGTGAAGAACGGACCCTGAGATGCATGCGCTTAGACCTGCGTGCTGCGGTTCGTTTTTGCAGCCTTCTGCAACTGCACACCTCCGGGGACAGGTGAAGAACGAACCCTGAAATGCATGCGCTTAGACCTGCGTGCTGCGGTTCGGTTTTGCAGCCTTCTGCAACTGCACGTAAAGAAGAAGCCCTGCGCCGCAAACCTAAAACGGCTCCGCTTTGCCTGCCTGCAGTTGCAACGCCTGCGCTGTCACTCCAGGCCGGGTTTTCACATTTTTATGCATGGGTTGAACGATACCCGGTCGTACATCAATAAATGGGGGTGAACGATACCCTCCGGTGTGATTTGAAGCCAGCCGCTCAAGAAGCACATCAGCGGCATCACAGCCAACAGCACATCAAAACCAGCCATTCCCGATGTAGACGCTCGATTTTGCAAGCAGCCGCTCAAGAAACACATCAGTGGCATCACAGCAAACAGCACATCAAAAGCACTCATTCCCCATGGAGACGCTCGATTTTGCAAGCAGCAGCTCAAGAAACACATCAGCGGCATCACAGCAAACAGCACATCAAAAGCACTCATTCCCCATGTAGACGCTCGATTTTACAAGCAGCCGCTCAAGAAACACATCAGCGGCATCACAACAAACAGCACGTCAAAAGCACCTTTCCCCATGTAGACGCTCGATTTTGCAAGCAGCCGCTCGAGAAACACATCGGGGGCATCACAGCAAACAGCACATCGAAAGCAGCCATTCCCCATGCCGACACTCGATTTTGCAAGCAGCCGCTCATGGACCCTGCAACAAACCAACACCGCAGATCATCATCTTCAAAGCCTTTCCCCCATGTGCACACCGAAACGCAACGACCCCGCAACAAAGCTTCCCCCGAAGGCTTGGCGCTGCCACGAACGAAACGCAAGGACTTTCCCAACTGGGAGTACCCAGAGTCTCCATTGTAGCTCCTTTTGTGGTTAACCAGTTTTAGGGTTAGGATCCTATAATAGAGTTGTTTGTTAACAAAAAAGGAACGACAACGAAGACTGTAGGCAAACATCCCTAAACCTTTGAGCCCTTGAACCCGTAAACTCCTCAAGCCTGAACCCTTGAACCTCGAAACCCCTGAACCCTTAAACCTCCCTTAAACCTGTAAGCCCTTGAACGCCTTAAACCTCCTGAACCCTAACCCTCTAAACCCTTGAATCCTTGAACCCTAAACCCTTCCTCGAACCTCTAAAACCTTGAACCCTTAAACCTCCCCTAAAACCCTTATTCCCTTGAACCCTTAAACCCTTAAACCTCCTGAACCCTAAACCCTTGAAACCTTGAACCCTAAACCCTCCAACTCCTGAACCCTAAATCCTTTCTTGGACCTCTAAACATCCCTTAACAAAAAACCCTTGCATCCTTGAGCTTCAACCCTTGCCCTCTAAACCTCCTGAACCCTCAAACCTGAAAAACCTCAAACCCTCGAACCCTTAAACGAAAACTCCCGAACCCCAGACCCCTAAACATTTCTCTAAACCCTTGAACCCTAAACCCTTAAACCCTTGAAACCCCTAAACCCTAAACCCCTAAACCCTAAACCCTTAACCCTTGAAACCCTAAACCCTTAAACCCTTAAACCCCTAAACCCCTAAACCCTAAACCCTTAACCCTTGAAACCCCTAAACCCCAAACCCTTAAACCCTAAACCCCTAAACCCCTAAACCCTTAACCCTTGAAACCCCTAAACCCTAAACCCTTAAACCCTAAACCCTAAACCCTTGAACCCCTAAACCCCTAAACCCTTCAACCCCTAAACCCTTGAAACCCCTAAACCTCCTGAGGCTCTAAGCTCCGCGTCTCCTGAGCCGTCAACGTACCCTGCAGCTTTTGACCTCCTAGGAGTTCCTTCTCGATCGTGTCCCAGCCTTAGGGGTCTACTTGGAGGATCAGGGGACTTAGTAAGTGAGGTTATAAGTCCCCTAATTGGGGTTATAAGTATAGTTACCTTATTTATAACCCTAGTTACTCAGTCCCATGATCCTTTAAGTAGGGTTTGGGAGGGTTTAGGGCTCCCACCCATAGGCTCCATAGTAGTTCCTTTTTGGGATTGACTTATAGGATTCTAAAGATGAACCCCAAAAAAGGAACTGCTGTGGAGCCTATGGGTAGTAGTTCCTTCTCGATCGTGTCCCAGCCTTGGGGGTCTAGGGTTTGGGAGCTTGAGGTCTCCTACGGTTGATGATGTAAGTCTAGGGTTTAGGGTTTAAGCTTTGATATAAGTCCTGCATTACCTTAAGCACCCTAAACTATGGGAGTTATGGTAGATGCCTCTTGATGGGTAAGCCAGGATTTATATCATCAGCAGTCGTAGTTCCTTCTCGATCGTCTCCCAGGATTGGGCTGAGCGTTGCAGGGTTTGGGGGTTTACGGGGTTTAGCGGGTTGGGAGGGTTTAAATACTTAAAGGATCATGGGACTTAGTAACTAGGGATATAAATAAGGTAACTATACGTATAAATACTTATAACCCCAATTAGGGGACTTATAACCTCACCTATCAAGTCCCCGATCCTCTAAGTAGGGCTTAGGAAGGTTTAGGGCTTTGGGTCCCAGCCTTTAGACCGCAGGCTGGGACTAAGTTTGTTTAATAGGGTCCCCTTTACGGGTTTGGGTTTAGGGTTTAAGGTTTAGGGTTAAGGGTTTCGGGTCCCCTTTAGGGGTCTGGAGTTCGAGGGTTCCCAGAGACTCCAAAAACGCTTAATCAAGGACTTTAATTGCCTTCATTCTTGTTGGGGTTCTTGTTATTCTACTTGAAGGAAAATTCCTGAATTGAAGGGTTTTGGTGGCGCTGGGATCAAGGGTTCAAAGCTGGGATTTAGCTGTTGGTTTTTCTGTTCGCACGCGGCGGCTCTTTTGCCAGCCTGTGCTAGAAGGACGAAATTCCTATACCACGTTTGGGCCTTGGGGTGTGGGGGGCTTAGTAGGGTTTAAAACCTTCAGGTGTAGGGATTAGGGTTTCGGGGTTTGGGGGTTTAGGGTTGGGACTGAAAACTCCTGGTCCCAACGGTTGGGACCAGGAGTTTTCAACAATGTGCAGGTGTTCAGGGTTGCATAAAGGCTTTCCTGGGGCAAGGCTTTGTTCATTTACATACGGTTTTTGGGCTTGGGGTTTCGGGATAGAGCCACATTCAAACCCTGAAGCCTGATCTCAAATCTTCAACCCTCAGGATTTAATTGAAGCCAAAGTTCCATTTCCAGAGTGATCGGGCCATCTCTGTGTGTGTGTGTGTGTGTTCTGTTTTCTCTTGTAATGGTATTCTTTGGGGCATCTGACCCCGACCGGCGCCCTTTCGGGCGTAGAAGGCTCAAACATGTGCTCCACAGCCAAGAGTCTCTTGGTGCCCTTTGCCTTGACAAAGGCTTCGGCACATTTTCGATTCCTGGCGGCGATTAGAGGGGCCTGAAGAACGAGAAAACGGATTGTGCGGTACGGGTACACCTACAATGAGGTAGCCTGAGGAGTAGTATGCGCAGTTATGCAAGCTTCTATCTTATTTCTAGCTGGACATGTTAGGTGCGACAGGAAGCTTGACCGATTTCTGGCCCTCAACTGCCTCTGCTTGCCTCCTACGAATACATACTCGAAGTTAGATGCACACGTCGTTGCATACACACGCAAATGCGTGGATATATCATGCAGTCGAAGGTACTGTAATATAACTTAACTAAGTTAGTTTAACAACATATATAGTATTTATATACAGAATTACTAGTAATGTCGGCAGTCATGCTAACAGTCACTTTGAAGTCGGCAGTCATGCTGATATTCAAATCTACACTTATACAAACTATATAGTTACAAAGTATTGGGTTAATCGATTACTTAATAACGTCAACATCTGAATTTCTGTTTACATGCAGACATGCAAACATCGAGACATATGAACATGCACATGCACAGACGTAGAGACATATAGACATACAGGTCAGACCGACAGCACGGCAGGCAGGCGGGAGGGAAGACATCGACAGCTGAACAGGTAGATACCTGATTGATTCGTTGATTCATTGATTGATGACTGATTGACTGATTGATTGATTGAACCTGTAGAGCTGCGTTTCTCGGCTTCATGGTGACCTCTCTGGTTTTGTCTGCGAAAGCCCGCACAGGAGTCCTGCCGCCGAAGCAAGTGGTAATCAGATCCTGAGGAGCACGACATCAGCAGGCCAATGTAGGGCAACGCACAAAACCAGAGAACCCAACACCCCTTAATTGAGGAATATACCTTAGACGATAAGGGGATTCGTACTATGATTTAAGCTATATTCCTTAGTTAAGGAGTATTGGGCTCTCTGGGAACCCTGCAAGACCCCAAACACAAAGCCCTAAAATCAAAAAGGGTATTGATACAGTTCACCGTAAGCTTTGCCGCATTTTCGTAAAACCTGCACGGTTCAGACCCCGCCTGGTCAGTGGCTCCTGCGGCACATCGTAACTACAACAGCAGCCATACCCAGGCCCCCGGGAGGATCCAAAAAGTAGATCCCTTAATGGGGATTCCTATAAAGCACCCTTAGTACTATAGGGCCTCAAATTAGGGGATCTACTTTCTAGATCCTCCACGGGGTCTGGGTAGTAGCAAAAGCGAAATGGTGATGAGGGCCCGGCTGCAACGCCGCAGCTTTCCAGGAAGGTGGCATCTTTCACCTGTCAGAAGTTGCTTAGAGGACCATGGGACTTAGTAAGTAAGGTTATAAGCCCCCTATTTGGGGTTAAAAGTAATTATAAGCATAGTTTCCTTATGTATAACCCTAGTTACTAAGTCCCATGAGCCTTTAAGTACGGGGCACTTGGGGACGGCCTGGAAGTTTGGTTTCGGTGTCCACGGATTCATCATAACCCACCCTGTAGAACCTACAACGCTCTGATTGTAGCTTTGTACCACTTGCAGCAACCCATAAAGATTCCTTCTAGGTACCCTTGTAAGGCTCTCTAGCCTTGAGCTTCGGAACTTTGCGCGAGACCTCGTCTCGCCGCCGCAGATCATGTAATTGCAAAGTCCCTACCCAGTCCTACAGCTCCCTATGATAAGGATCCTACTAGCTCAGAACAAAATGTGGTGTATTCCTCATTACGGGTAATGCAGGATTTATACCATCAGTCCTATGATAAGGATCCTACTATCTCTGTTGGGATCCCCTGTTTCCTGAACCTCCTAGTTGAAACAAACTAGGCAGTCTCGTACCGTGCGTCTTCGTCTCAGCCTCGCATAAACGCTTAAGCCGGGCCCCCAAAAAAGCACATGAGCAAACATTAGGATAGGAATATCCCGTATAAACCCCTCGTAATGAAGCCCCATAAAGTAGGGACATCCCTATAAAATGCTTATATACGCTAATTAGGGTGTTGCGTTTAGGGTTGCGGGCTTATTTTGAATACCCTAAACCCCAGACCCTAAACCCTAAACCCAAATCCCTGCTGTGCCCTAAACCCTAACCCCAAACCCCTATTCCCCGAAACCCCCAAGCCTAAGCCTTGACTACTGGAAGGGCCTCTGGGTAGAAGTGTCGGATGAAAGTCTTCATCTCCTGCAGCCGCGGGTTTAGGGCTTAGGGGCGAGTGGGGTTTGCTTCCTTGGAGGGGCAGGGGACTTAGTAAGCAGGTTATAAGTTAGGGCTATAATTAGGGTAACTCCATATAGGGTTCTTATGACTCTACTTCTAACCTACTTACTAGGTCCCCTGCCCCTCCAAGTAGGGCTTAGGATTTTAGGGTTTAGGGTTTGGGGGTTTGGAAGGTAGGGTGTGCTTTTGCAGGGCTTGTTTAGGGCTTTGTTCCTTTAGCGTTGAGGGCCGGTTGGGTTTAAGGCTACTTAAAGGATCATGGGACCTAGTAACTACGGCTATTAATGAGGGACCTATACTATAAACCCAACCAGGGTACTTATAACCGTACTTACTAAGTCCCCTGATCCTCCAAGTAGGGTTCGTGCAACCCAAGACCAGAAGGATCCAAATACACTAAGGCCAAAGGCCTGAGGGTTTACAGTCTGGGGTTCAAGGCCCAACCTGCACCTGCAAACCCGAATTCCTAACATCCCTACTTGAACAATCAACGGACTTAGTAAGTAAGGTTATAAGTACCCTAATTGGGGTTATAAGTAATTATATGTATAGTTACCTTATTTGTAAACCTATACGTACTAAGTCCCATGATCCTTTAAGTACAGTCCTGAGAACGGTTGGTGATAAAAATCCTGCACTACCCATAAAAACGAATATACCATAATTTCCATAGTTTAGGGTCCTTAAGGTACTGCAGGATTTATATCATCAACCCTAAACCCTAAACCCGCTATAGATCCCTTACAGGAGCCCCTTAAAGGTACCCCTTATAGATCCCTTTAAAGGAACCCTAGGATTTCTATCATCAACCGTGAGAAGCCCAAAACCATGGTCCTGCAGGCCAATCCGGATCAGGGCTGCTTTGGTGTTGCCACCATAGTCCAAGCCATCGCAGAAGCCTCCGTAGGGAGTTTTTTTTTTTGCTGAGGGCCTTTTTGAGTCTGCATGACAGAGTCTGACAGCTCGTACGGAGGTTTAGAGCTTAGCCTTTAAAGCCGAGGGTCGAGGGTTAAAGGTTGGTCGATTCACCATGAGTCTTGGACGCGAATCTGCGTGTGATTCGAGTCCATGGTTGAGCGAATGTGAGTTGATATTGTCTTGCTGTCTGCGAAAGTCCTTAGTCTATACAAGACTATAGGGTAATAATTAAACGAAACCGCAAGAATTGGCTGGTGTAAGATCATGAAGGAGTACCCGAAAGGACAGTTCGTCGTCGTCGTGGCAGTAGCAGTAGCAGCGCAGGAGCAGGAGCCGGAGGAGCAGCGGTAGTGGCAGCAATAGCCGCCGTCGCCGTCGCCGTCGTCGTCATAGTCCCGGGTGTGGGAATCGGGATAGAAGAAGGAGCTATCAGCATCATGACCAAAAGACAACTGGGGCGAAAATCCAGCAACGAGTCTGGCCATGATATCGTCTCAGTAGCAGAGACACGGAGAGAGAGAGAGAGAGAGATATATATATATATATAGAGAGAGAGAGAGAGAGCGAAAGAGAGAGCGCAGTAGCAAGAATATGCACAGAAAACGTAGCACAGTCCCATATTCCGAATTCGTCTTCTGTCTGTCTACGCGTCAAGCTATGGTAGCCACATAGCGGTGCGCATTTGCAAAACCAATGTGGAGAATCTTGGGCATATATCCTCGTCGCAATGCCCACAGCGCAGCTTTGCTGAACCTTAAACCCCAAACGGTGAACCCTGTGGCCTAGACTAAACCCTAAACCCAAAGACTCCACACCTGAGCTTCGAATCTTGAAATTGAAAGCACAGGACACAGCAGCTTTGCCTGCTCCCAGCGCTACGACGTTCTTCAGAGCACCGCAAAGCTCTACCCCTGGCCACGGGTTTCGGCTTCAGGGTTTTGGGTCTTTGGGGTTGAGGCAGCGTGAACATCCCAAGTCAGGGAACTTGGAAGCTGCCACTCAGTGTGTCTTCTTTGTCCTCTCTCTCTCTCTCTCTCTCTCTCTCTCTACCTCCATGTAGAGGGATATATATATATATATATATATATATATACACACACACATGCATTTCTGTTAAAGAATAAGACTGTTAGAGCTCCTTTGGCATATAGTCTTTTAAGGCTTGTTCGCATACTAAGTGTATATAGTGCATGATGCATACATACATACATGGGTACATACATACATACGTACATACATGCGTATGTGTATACATCCTGTGTATTTGGATGTGACTTTAACAAATAGTGGGATTGCAGCCTGGGATATCGTCGACCGCAGTGACACGGAACGTCGCGCAGTCGAACCTTCTTGGAGGGCCAGGGAACTTAGTAAGTCGTTTTTACGTTACAGGGTTACAATTGGGGTAACTCCATTTAGGGTACTTATAACTCTACTTCTAACCTACTACAATGCACTATAATGTACTATAATATACTATAATATACTCTAATATACTATGATATACTGTACTACGTAACTCCACTTAAAACCTACTTACTCAGGCCCCTGCCCCTCCAAGTTCAGCTTCCAGTAAAAGCATACTACTATGGGGGCCTTCTAAATGGATCTGTAAGGGTTCCTGTAAGGGTTCCTTCGAGGGATCCCTGAGGGATCTCTAGGCTTCGAGAGTGAAGGGTCCAAGGGTTTCGGGTTTAAGGGGGGCTTCGAACCTGTAAGGGCCCCTTAAAGGGATCTATAAGGGTTCCTTTAATGTGCGGCCCTTTTAAAGGGCGCCCGCCCCACCCCCCGGGACCAACACTTTTGGCTTGACCGAGAGGTCGGCTTAAGTAGGTGGGGGTTTCGTGTTTAGGGAGAGTTCCCAGAAACTCCAAAACCCGTTAGTTAAGGAATATACCTTAAGTCATATCCGGAATTCGATTATAAATTAAAGTACATTCCTGAATTAAGGAGTTTGGGAGTCTCTGAGTTTCGGGGCTTTCAGGGCCAGCGCTTTAGGGCTTGGAGGGGGGCGCTCGTAGCCACCAAGACGATAGGAGCATGCGTCAGGGTCGCGTTATAGCTGCGAGCATGGACCATGTAGCTCCGGAGTCTGGCTAGAAGGCTGGGCTCACGCACCATGCTTTTGCTTTGTGTGTGGACGGTTGTCTTGCCCACCTTGATGTACCGATCAAAGACCAAGATGTGCACGAGTCCAAGGCCCGGCGGCGGTCCGCGTCCTTCTTTTCGCGGTCTGCTGCAAGCATCGCCGCGTGGAGAGCCTTCCACTTGTACCGCAGCACTCGCCTCCTCTTCAGGGCAACTTCACGAGCGAAGCCGCCGAGCTTCATGGGTGCCCACCGCCGGAGGCTGTTGGGTAGCTGGATGCTCTCCAAGTTCGAGCTCTAGTCGGCTGCGATCAAAGCACAACAGCTGCACGTGACGAGCCCCAGGCAAGCTCTCAAGCGCAAAAGAATCTGAGGCTCCGGAGGGTCGAGGGTTTGGGGTTAATTAAGGGGTTGGGATTAGGCTGAAGGGTGATTTAATGTTTAGGCTTAAGCAGGTGGGGTTTCGGGTTTGGGGAGAGTGGGTGCCTTAAGATTGACCATCAGCAGACAGGAGCAACCCCACCAAACAAATCCCGCAACCCCCAAACAAACGCACTAGTTAGGCCGCCCATTTTTTCGTACTGGCTCGAAAAAGGACACCCAAACGCATTAAATAGGCACACTTTATTAACAGGGCCTCTAGATTAGGGGGTCTCTAGGGCCCTAGGGTTCGTTAAGGGTCTAGCTAGGGGTTCTGGTTTATGGATAGGGGGTTAAGGGGCTTACTTGAAGGCTCATGGGACTTAGCAAGTAAGGTTGTAAGTAGGTTATAATTAGGATAACCCCACTTAGGGGACTTATAACCCCAATTATAACCTACTTACTAAGTCCCATGATCCTCTAAGTAGGCTTTAGGAATTTTTGGGTAGGTTCGAGCCCAAAGCCCCAAACCATACTACTATAGGGGCTTTGAGGCTTTAAAAGGGGGATTCCTTAAAAGGGTTCTTAAAGAAGGGTCTAGTAAGGGTACTCTATGGGCTACTACAAAGGGCTTAGTGTAGGGGCCTTAATTCTCAAAAAATTAGGGTTTTGGGGCATACTTTACTCTGGTAATAATACCGAACCTTCAAAATCAGTAGTAATGGTATTTATTGAGGCCCTATACTACAGGTTTCTATGAGACAGGTTGCAGCTTCACCAGGGTAGCTTCGTGCTTCTTGTCCTGTCAAGCCAGTCGGATGAAACATAGGGGACTTCATGCTAGGTTTAGGACTGACGGTGTGGGGTTTGGGACCCTCCACCCAGGGCCTAGGAATTATAAACAGCTTCCATGACGCCACAGCCCTTGTGTCACCTGCCTGTCAGAACCATGCAAACCCAAGAAAGCCGAAGCTCCAATGCTTGCCGTCTGGCTGCTGCTCGTTTTTGCAAATTAATGAAATATTGATCGAATAATCACAATAAGACTATTCATCATGATATGACTAGATGCTAATAATCATGCCGACAACATGTAAAATGTTGTAGAGATTATTCGTACCTGTCTCTGCAAGAGTTCTCAGGATCTCCTCTTGGCGTCACGCGCGGCATAGGCATCCGGCTACCAGGCCGTCAAGCTCCGCTTAGGGGTTACGATCTGCTTTTTTGTCGGACCTTTTTCCCTCTGCGAGAAAGGGTTAGGGTCTAGAGTCTAGGGGTTTAGGGTTTACTTGGAGCGTCAGGGGACGTGTAACTAAGGCGATAATGAGGTAACAATATTTACAGTCAGCTACTTGAAACCGTAAGGTTACTTACCTACTTACAAAGTAGTATCAACCAATATAACTAATTATAACCCTACTTGCGGCGTCCCCGGATCCTCCAAGTAAAGCGCGAGACCTTGAGACAAGACTGGCAAGACTGAGCAACAACCTCAAGTCCAGAATATGTGAGATACGTACCAGAAACTGGAAAGGACAGCCAAGATGAGATCGCTTGTGCCATTAGCGGACACAAACAAAGTCATGTGGCAAAGAAAATTGCCTGGCGACAACATCCCACAGCAAACATCTTCACCCATTCGCCCTGAAACCCTAACCCGGAACTCTAAGCCTCAAGCCCCAATGCCAAAACAGGTTCAGTTAGTTACTCACCCAAGTGCCCTGCCTTGAGGCCCAAGGTGGCCTCGCAGAACTCTCCGGCTGCAACCTCGTTCGCGACCTCTGGGCATCCGCCGAGTGCGTACCGCAGTACAGTAGGGATTCGCGTGATATGAAATCTATATATATATATATATATATATATATATATATATTTTATTTATATGCAATATATATATATATATATATATATATATATGCAATATATATATATATATATATATATATATATATATGCACACATATGTACAAATATATGTACAGACACACACGCGCACACACCAATCCGTAGAAATCTCGGTGCAACCACGGCATGCCTGCAGCACGGACACTTCATGCAATTTATGGACGTCATAAGTGCAAGTCTCAGGTTTGCTACTACAGATAGAGGACGATGAGGTGGCTCCCTAAAAACCCCAAAACCCGAAACCCGCAACTTCGTAATCCCGAAACCCTAAGCCCTAAACGCTAAACCCGAAACACCCCAAACCACCCAAGACTTAAGTCCCGAAACCTGCCCAAACCCCCGTGAGCTCTGTTAAACCCTGATACAACCCCTGTAATTAAATCCTGATAGGAAGTCTCACGGGAAACCCGTGGAACCCACAACAAAAACACAAAAAACTAAACCCTAAACCCAAAGCCCTAAACCCTAAGCCCTAAACCCCTAAACCCTGAACCCTCGCAACCCGGCACCCTCGAAGATCATCCTCGGACTCGAGCGTTGGCTCCCATGAGGACACCGACCTTCACTTTTCGGGTTGCAAAGGCTTAGTATAGGGGCTATAGGGCTTAGGGTTTAGGGGCTTTAGGGTTTAGGGCTTAAGGTTTAGGGGCTTTAGGGTTTAGGGTTTAGGGGCTTTAGGGTTTAGGGCATAAGGTTTAGGGGCTTTAGCGTTTAGGGTTTAGGGGCTTTAGGGTTTAGGGCTTAAGGTTTAGGGGCTTTAGGGTTTAGGGTTTAGGGGCCTTAATAGTTAGAACAAGGGTTCCTCTAAGGGTTCCTTTAAGGGGTTCCTTTTAAAGGGTCTATAAGGGTTACTACACAAAGGGATCTATAACAAGGGTTCTAAAATGTAGGGGCCTTGATAATTAGAATAGGGGTTCCGTTCAGGGTTCCTTTAAGGGGTTCCTTTTAAAGGGGTCTATAAGGGTTACTATACAAAGGGATCTATAATAAGGATTCTGAAATGTAGAGGCATTAATAATTAGGATAAGGGTTCCTCAAAAGGGCTCTTATAAAGGGATTATCATAATTAGAATAGGTTCCTTCAAGGGATCCTTAATGGGTTCCTTTTAAAGGGGTCTATAAGGATTACTGTAAGGGCGATGATGGGGGGGTTGAATATATAGGGGCCTTTATAAATAGAACAGGGTTTGGGAGCATATTGTACTATAACTATACGGGAACCCCCACAATAGCATAGGTACTTCATTAGGCCCGTATACTTACAGGGCTTCCGTGGTGGTTCATAGGGTTCTGCAATGGATTCACAACGGGCTCTGTAGGGCTTTGCAGACTTGTATATCTTATACCTTTTGTGCATATATGTCGATATCCGCATCTACATCTGTGTCAATATCCACCCCTGTATCTATCCGCGTACATATATATATATATATATACATATATATATATATATACATATATATATATATATACATATATATATATATATATATATATACATACATACACAATATGTACACATACAAATATATATGTATATATATACACACACACATCTATTTATGCATGAGCTCGCAACTGGTTCAAATTGCGTAAATACATGTACATAAGTTCTTTCGTACACATGCGTGTGTATGTGTGTGTGCATGTAACCTTTTACTTCTTCACATGGGATGTCTTCAAACATTGATACTGGTGCAGTCTCTGATGAGGCTTCAGGTTTCGCAATATGCTGGTTATCCATTGGGGTCCTTCATAAAGCCAGAAGGAATCACTCACACATGCCCGAAAACACTCTGCGGAAACCCGAAAAGCCTCAGGTAACCTCAAAACCTGAACTGTGAAAACCCCTCACCAACCAACCTCTGCGAAACCTTCCTGTCCAAACCCATACTTCACCTCAGTTCCCGGAAACCCTGCTAAAAATCCGCAGGACTCCATACTTCATGAAAGAAGATTAAACAAACCTAACCGAAATCCCTGTCCTCAACTCCGGCAGCTCCCAAGAGGGGCCCCTTCACCCCAAACCCAACATCTTCACACCCCTAAACCCCTGAAGCCCTGAAGCACCAAAACCCTCAAGCCCCAAAAAGCTCTCAAACCCCCAAAACCCTACAACCCCCCATTAAAAAAAACCCAAACCCTAACTTAACCGCTTGTTGAACCCCTGATGATCGCTTATGTCAGGGAACCCTTGAAGGAACCTCAAACTGATATTGAAACCTCTAATTGAAGCAGTTTTCCCTGACTCATAATATGAAGCCCCCCATCACTTAGGGTATCGTCCTTCATTAAAGGGGAGTTGGGATCTCAAACCCCTAACCCTAAACCCTAAAACTAAACCCTTCCAGAACCCCCAAACCCTTGAAGACAATCCTATGGTTCCTCAAAGGGATCTGCTCTCTTATAAGCAATCTGTAGAGGGTCCCGTTAAAGCCTGCGAGGGTCTTCAGGGTTCCTATAAATGGCACTACTTGGAGGATCAGGGGACTGAGTAGGTAAGGTTATAAGTACCCTAATTGGGGTTATAAGTAATTATATAAGTATAGTTACCTTACTTATAGCCCTAGTTACTAAGTCCCATGATCCTCCAAATAGACCCTAAACCCTAAAGATCCCTTGAAGGAGCCCTATAGATCCGTTTCAGGAACCCTAGTTACCACGTCCCACGAACCTTTAAGTAAGACCCGTGGCCCGTGGCCTCATGGCCAAGGAGTTTCCGCAGCAGATCCGAGCAGAGGCCGAGCTTGCCTCCCTCGAGCTCTAAGCCGCCCTTGATGAGGCCTCGGTCGGCGAGTGCAGAGAGACTCCAATATCCCTTAATTAAGGGATTATACCTTAAAATATGATAGGATCCCGAATATAAGAGATCGATAGCTCTATGCCGCCCTTGATGAGGCCTCGGCTGCGGTTTGGGGGTTAGGTTAGGGTTTTGGATTTAGGGCTAGGGTTTAGGGTTCAGGGTTCTATAAGAGCTCTATAGCTCTAAGCCGCCCTTGATGAGGCCTCGGCGAGTGTAGGGATCTACACAAGGGTTCCTTTCAAGGATCCATAAGGACTCCCTTAGAAGATCTATAAGGACTCCTTGAAAGGATCTATAAGGGTTCCTTTAAAGGATCAATAAGACCTCCTTTAAAGGATCCATACGGTCTCCCTCAAGAGATCGATTAGGACTCCTTTAAGGGTTCGAAAAAAGATCTATAGCTCCAAGCCGCCCTTGATGAAGCCTCCGCGAGTTTTAGGTGTTGAGGGAGTTTGGGGCATTTGCGTCCTTCAAAGGATCTATCAGGATCTAGGGCCCTTGATGAGGCCTCGGCTGTTGGAGTTGAAGTGGCTTTCGGATTTAGGGTTCAGGATTTGGGGCTTAGGGTTTAGGCTTGGGCTTTAGGCCCTTGGTGAGGCCGCATGGGGTTCGCTCAACAGATTCATCAGGGGTTTAGCTTTTACTTATAAAGGATCAAGGGACTTGGTAAGTATGGTATGACTATCATCTACTAAAACCTCCATTACGTTGCTATGATCTTATTTGCTAATCTCCTGATCTCCCAAGTATGCCTTTCAACTTGTTGGGGTGGAAACTCATGACCGAACTTGCAATCGTGCGCCATCATGTTCAGAAGACTAAGCGCCGCAACCCCTTAAGGTAAGGTCCCGGCTGACAGAGACACAAGTGTCCTTGATCTTGCCCATGTTCTGAACGGTTCTGGCCTCAACGAGCTTTAGCGATTTCCAGGAGGAAGAGGAGAGTACGTTACTACAGACGGCAGTACTGTAAACTCGAAACCCTACTACCCCCTAACCCTCAGACCCGAAGTATAGCTTAGCGACTTGGATGCTCTACTTACTAGATCCTTTCGGGGTCTAAGCCAAGCCCTAAACCCTAAACCCTAAACGCGAAGCCCTGAACCCCAAACCCTAAGCCCTAAGCGCTAAACCCTAAACCCCAAACCCTAAATGGGAGTTTCCGAAAATAGGGGACCTTAACATAGTACCCTAAATAGTAGGATCCTTATTGTAAGGACCCCAAAATAAGGTACACCTAATTTTCGGAAACTCCCAAATTGACCCTGAGCCCGGCTCCACAAACTGATGCGGCAGCACCCAAATCAGGACGTCGGCATACATCACTGCCTGGCCAGGGCTGTAGGGATTTCAAGGCCTGTATTAGGTTATTAGGTATCCAACTTAATTGGGAATTACTGTAATTTACCTTACTTGGAGGATCAGGGGACTTAGTAAGTAAGGTTATAAGTACCCTACTTGGGGGTATAAGTTAAATGTATTTAGATGTATAGCTACCCTATTTATAACCCTAGCTACTAAGTCCCACAATACTTTAATTACTGGGGATCTGGATGATATGGATTAGGGATTAGGATGTAGAACCCATGTACCACACTTGAAAACTCAGCAAACCCTTTCCAGGACCGATTCCAAACATGAATACTATTATAGGGTTTTGGGTTTAAGGCTTAGGAGGTTTAGGATATAGCACTTACTTGAAACCGTTAAAACACCCAGCAAACACCCTCTAGCACCGATTGAAAAAACCCTACAGGCCCACTATCTAATCGCCTTATACTGACCCATGTGCAAGACCCCTTCTAATGCCCTTGCTAGAACCTCTATCCACGGTTTTATACCGTTGCCATACCCTGATTTACAAAAGAAAACCTTGTGAGGCCCACTCTAGCCCCTTCCAAACCCCTCAGACTGCCCCCTTTGTTATATGAAACTAATGAAACCCCTAAACCCTAAACCCATAACCCTTAACCCTAGGCCCTAAGCCCTAAACCCTTAAACCCTAAACCCTCAACCCTACACCCGTAGCCCTAAAACCCTTAACCCCCCAACCATAAAACCTCATATATAAGAACCACAAATAGGCCAGCCTTCTTGAGGTCAGGCTCCGCCTTGACATGCTCTGGCAGGGTAATGCCCGGAAGGTACTTCACGTTCTCCTGGAGTGCTTGGTAGAAGCGGGCCTTAGGGTTGAGGGTATAGTTTCGGCATCGGGTTTGCGGTTTAGCTTGTGGTGTTCAGGGCTCGGAATTCTAATTATATTGGGGCTTGATGTTAAGTTTTTGGGCTTGCCTCCTGGTCCCGGTCATTATGGCGATAATCGAACCGGTCCTGTCAGCTTGACTCGCCATGTACCGGTCCCGACGCCCCTAAACGGGACACGCGCCCAACGGCCCGCAGCCCTTACCAAGCCTAGTGCCTAACGCAGTTCCCATCCTTGGTGTGCCTTTGTAAACCATGCACAGTGCGAGGAACCACAATGGCAGCCTTGTCATTGTCAGCACCTGAGATAACGACCATGTTTGTTTGAAGCAGCGCTTCAACATGTCCTTCGTCTCGTTGAAGACTTCCGACAGCTTGCGCTTCACGCCCTTGTGCTGTACCTCCTCGTCGAACATCCAGACCTCGAGAAGCAAACATCGGAAGCATCCAGTGTATAGGGGCCTAGCTAAATCATCCCCGATACGATTTTGGGGCTCCTTATTACAACTATACGGAAATTTACCCCCAAAAAACCTAATCCAATTAATGAGGCCCTTACCCAAAATGGCACTGCAGAAACGAAGTCTGTAAGTGCTTGCACCGTCCCATAAGTGCATCTGGGAGCCGTCAGGTTGTCCTCGAACTCAGGATGCCTGGATGTGTTGCCTGGCGAAGGGGAACTGAGGCAAAGCTCTCGAGTTTTTCCTGGCAATCCCTAGCCGTGCAGCTGTTGAAAGCTGCCCAAAAAATCACAGCCTTTGCGACAAAAGCGCATCTCAAATGCAGCCTGCAATGATCGTCGCGATTGCCATGCCCCAGTTGCCGCTGCCAACAACCTGACTGCTGCTCGGAAATCACTGCTCGCACTTTCGGGTTGACGGTTTAGTAGGATTTAGGGCTCAGGGATAAGGAAGTTTAGGGTGTAGTAAGGTTTAGGGGTAGAAGCTCCGACATCCGAGGTCCCGGCGGTAACATTTAGCTTCGCCATGTCTCAAAGGTGCGCTTAGTTGGGGGGGGACAAAACTGATGAGCCGTGGTTTCCAAGCTGCGGAGAGAACCAGTCGATGCATCTCAAGCTTCCGAGCTTCAGGTTCAAATACCCCAAACCCGGGTAGAGGGTTTAGCGGTGAGGGGTCTAGGCGTTTAGGGGTTTAGGGGTCTAGGGCTTTAGGGGTTTGGGAGTTCGGAGGTTGAACCCGAAATTGAAAAATTGACGCAACCTTCTGAGCATCCTCTCAGCAAGCATGCACTGGAACTGTGTGCATGTCCATAGCGAACCGACAACGTCCGCAAGCCTCTTGCAGCTGAACTCGCAGGGCTGAGGGCCTTGGACAAATCAACCCACATCGAAGCATGGAGGCTTCAAACATCTTGAATGGAAACTGATGACGGCTGTTCTGCTACTGCGATCTTTGTCGAAAAATCCCGCCACAAGTTCTTCGGCGCCGATTCATGTGGATCTGGGGCGCCGTTCTGCAGACGCTTGCCCGCCGGGCAGGATCGTCGACAGCAACACCTGCTGTGGACGCAAGGCTCAACATTTTGCACGTCATACCAATACTCTAAACCCACCCCAAACAGCCTGAACCCATCAACCTACAAACCTAAAGCCCCAACCTTTGTACTTTCTCCGAGAAGCCAGCCTGGCCGCCACTGCGGCGGCGCTGGCACCCACGGCCAACGTAGCCCCTCAGCAAAGAAAACGGTATGCCTTACACAGGGCTTCTAGGGCACATAATCCCTCATCCCGAAAACCCAAACTCCAAATGGAAAGGTTTATGTGGTTTAGGTTTTCGTGGTAGTTACCCAAAGGCCCCAAAGTAGTTCCTTTTTGGGGTTCGTATATAGAAACCTATAGGATAATCCCAAAAAGGAACTACTTTGGGGCCTCTGGGTAGGCAAAGACAGGGTCCGTTCCACCTGAGGTCGGGGCCTCTGTACCCCTGCGACGATCTTGCAGGCTCCGCGAGGCTGCGGCTTCTCTGGACCTCGTTGGGTTTCCCAAAGTTTAGGGAATTTAACCCGAGGTGTGATGATCTAGGGTTTGTGGGTTTAGGGAATCTAACCAGAGTTGTGATTTAATAAGTCTTTAGGGTTTTCAGGCCTTGAAAGCTGGCGAGGGAGCTCAATGCCTACTCTAGACATCTGAATAATCAGCTGCAATATGCATGGTCCCGAAAACCCATACTCTGAAATATCCCAGACCTAAACCCTGAACCCTAAAACCCTAAACCCCAGGTACTAAGACTGATGGTAGGCATCCTGAGACAAAAACCCTCAACTTACCGTCTTCTCCGACTCGCAGAGAATAATTGGGGTAACTCCATTTAGGGTACTTATAACTCTACTTATAACCTACTTACTAAGTCCCCTGCCCTGCCTCTCCAAGTAGACCCTAAACCCTAAACCCCATAGATCCCTCTAAGGAACCCTATAGATCCCTTTAAGGAGCCCTTACTAAGTCCCCTGCCCCTCTATAGATCCCTTTAAGGAGCCCTTTAAGGAGCCCTTACTAAGTCCCCTGCCCCCTCTATAGATCCCTTTAAGGAGCCCTTTAAGGAGCCCTTACTAAGTCCCCTGCCCCCTCTATAGATCCCTTTACTGAGCCCTTTAAGAACCCTTACTAAGTCCCCTTCCAACCCGTCTTCTCCGAGTGTAAGCGCTCCTTTTCTCCGCAAACCTCCGCTGCGCGCTGCAGCAGGGGCCCTTCCAGCCCGAAGCCACGGCCTTCTGTGGGGGGCTAGGGGTTTAGGGGTTCCTCTAAGGGTTCCTTTAAGGGATCTACAGGGGGTTTAGGGGTTCCGGGGTTTAGGGTTTAGGGTTAAGGGTTTAGGGTTAAGGGTGTAGGAAGTAGCACTAGCACTAGTATTCGAATTGGCCTTCTGTCGGGGCTGATACCCAGAGAGCCCCATACCCCTTAAGTATGGAATATACCTTAAATTATAGGGGGTTCATATTATGATTTAAGCTATAATCCTTAGTTAAGGGCCTTCTGTCGGGGATGGTAGTAGCACTAGCACTACGGTTGATAATAGAAATCCTGCATGACCTTAAGGACCCTAAACTACGGGAGTTCTGGGATATTCCTTATTATGGGTAGTGCAGGATTTATACCATCAACAGTAGCACTAGTATTCGTATTCGTATTTGTAATAGTATTAGTTGTAGTATTGGTAGTATATTAGTATATTAGTTTAGGGTTCAGGGGCTCAGGGGTTTAGGGTTTAGGGTTAAGGGCTTAGGCTTTTTCGTGAAATTTGGGAGTACCTTGTTATGGATTAGGGTTCCATAAGAGGGTTCTAGCAGGCCTCTGTAGCAGCACCGAGGTTTCTTCGAACTCGGGGCAGCGTACGCATGGTCTGTATGTAGAGGATCCTATCATTCAGGGTCGATACTAATCCCTAAAAACCTTGAACTCTAGACTCGAAACCCTGGGCCCTAAACCCTTAGGGTGAAACGGCAAGTAGCCAGAGCAAGAGTCAGCAGCAGTAATAACAGAGCTGGCCAGAGAACTCCCTAAACCCTATACCCTAAAACCTAAACCCTTAACCCTAAACCTTAAGCCCCAAAACATAAACCCTTAACCCTCTCAACCCCAAGCTCTGAACCGTGCTTTTTCGCCAGGATCGCGATGCAAAGACGAGACCCCGAGGTTTCGGCTGAGAGTATCTCAGAACTTCCCTGCCTTCGATGAGCACCCAGCCCGGGCCATGCATGGTAGCATCCAGCTGTGCCCAGAGTCCTGGCGAGCTTAGGCTGAGGGTTTGAGGTTTAGGGGAGTTTAGGGAATCATAGTCCTACTGAGTTTATGCTGTCGGGTTTGGGTTTAGGGGAACCTAAACCCTACATCCGAAACCTAAACCCTAAAGTTTCGGGACATGAAAGGGGTTTGGGAGAGCATCTGTCTGCCACTCTGTCAAGCAAGCAATGCAGCAGCCACAGGACCGAAGGTGACAAATGCTTGCAGCTAGGAGCATGTGAACAGGGAAATGGATAGACCTGAAAATCCAGCCTCAAATACTGGGCGTGTAAGCAACCAGGGAGAAGAAAGTAACAACTTGTATTTCAGAATGGCTCCTTTCAGAAACAAGTATTTGATGAAAATATGTTACTCCAAAGCCCAGAATAATACTTCAAACAAAGCGAAATATCCCCTGGCGGACGAAAGAACCATACACAGCAGTTCTGGGACACAGTACTTCGGGGACTTAGTAAGTAAGGTTACAAGTACCCTAATCGGGGTCCCATGCCCTTTAAGGAACCCAAGTTACTAAGTCCCATGGTCCTATCAGTAGATTTGAATGTACCGAGGACAGGAGACCCGCTAGTTCCGTTCTCGTAATAGAAGCGAGTTAGACTAGAATTGGTTTAGGGTTTAGGGGTGTTGGGGTATAGTCTAGCATGATGATGTTTGTGGATTACAAATGGAGAATTCTGGCCGCTTTATTACGTTGTTGAAGTTCTGACTGTCATCATCATCATCATCATTATCGCTGAAGTGCTGAGTGCAAGAAAACGAATAGGTGCATGAACAAAATAACAGCTGAGGCTTATAGAGATCAGCCTCTGCTGCCGCGGCCCTTCAAACAAATCTACAAGCCTGAAGCCCCCAAATCGGGCTAGAACCGCAGAGGGACCCTGAAAGAATGCCTTGTGCAACCCGCGATGCAGTCAACCCTAAACCCCATGGTTTTGGGGTTAAGGGTTAAGGGTTAAGGGTTAAGGGTTAAGGGTTTAGGGTTTAGGGTTTAGGGTTTAGGGTTGAGGGTTGAGGGCCTCCACTGGGCCCGCGCCAACGCCGAGCAGTGCAGTGGAGGGGCTCCCTTCGCTTGGCCTTCCTGAAGTAATGTTTAGATATGTTTTTTTTTTTATAAAAAAATATGTTTAGGGCTTAGGGTTTAGGGCTTGCGGTTAGGGTTGAGGATTTAGGGTTTACGGTTACAGTATGGGTTCCAGGCTCCATCTAATCATGATTACGGCCTAGGGTTTAAGGATTAAGCTTTGGGTGGGTTTCAGGTCTTTTGGTGGCATTTCGCTGGGCTCTCAGGAACTGCATGGGGTCCAAGCCTGGTGTAACGGCCGTGACTATCAAAATAAGGGTGTCTGATGCAATGTCGCGGGTTTGGGGTTTCGGGTTTATGGTTTTCGGGTTCATTTAAAGATGCCATTCAGGGTTACTGTAGGGGTTGCTGCGAAGGCTTAGGCTTTGGCTTTCTCAAGTGGATTCTCAAGGGCTTCTCAAGCTCAGGGGTGGGGGTTCGCTTGCGGGTGCGGAAACCCTAAACCCTAAACCCTAAACCCTAAACCCTAAACCCTAAACCCTAAACCCTAAACCCTAAACCCTAAACCCTAAACCCTAAACCCTATAAGAAACCCTAAACCGACCTGCGGCCTGGCAGCTTGACCTGCTGCGTCCTTAGATTTCCGAGGGCGTGGCTTAGGGTTTAGGGGTTTAGGGGTTTAGGGGTTTTAGGGTTTAGGGGTTTAGGGGTTTGGGAGTTAAGGGGTTCAAGGGTTTAGGGGTTTTAGGGGTTTTAGGGTTTAGGGGTTTAGGGGTTTGGGAGTTAAGGGGTTCAAGGGTTTAGGGGTTTAGGGGTTTAGTTTAATTATAGGGTTCAGGGTGCCGGGTTTTTGGGTGTCGGGTAGCTGCTCACAGCATTTGCACAGCTGATAAAGCCGAAAGCATACTCCTAAAAGAACGCTACAACCAAAATCCATCCTTAACCCCAAACCCTTGAAAAACTTAAGGCCCCGGCGTAGGGTCCTCTCCATCCTTCCGTATCCATACTCCTTGGAGGACGTTCCACCTCAGGACAGCTAGGGCAGCTCGGGTTGAGGGTCTAGGGTCTGGCCCGGTCTAAGGTATACTGTTCTTGGTTGGCCCTTTGGCGTCATTGAAACATGCTCGCAAATAAAATCCTCTTGAGCCCAATGAAGGAAAGGCTAAACTATCCCAAAGGCCAACCTAGTGTTGCTAACTACGCAGACACCGGAAATCACGAGAGCAGCCAAGACACACGGAGGATTCGTCCGAGTCAGCGAAGATTTGGGTGTAACCTCGCATCTCTTGCTCGGAGGATCGGGGACTTAGTAACTCATGTTAGAACTACCTGAATTTGGTAATAGGTACAACTAGCTGCCTAATTTATAACCCTAGCTAGTAAGTCCCATGATCCTTTAAGTGCGTTCTTGGAGCCTGGACCGTAAACGAAACCCAAACAGGAATAGGGTTCGTGTTTCGGGGTCGATCAAACTTAACATGTACACAGTAAAGTAAGGAGCTTCGCAGTAAGGCACAACCTTGCCAAATTTTCCAGGCCCCCGTAACATCCCCAACCTGGTCAAATAAGGTACCCTAATTCCAAGGCACACCCGTAGTAATGTATAGGAGCCCTCCACTACACAGAAAACCCTAACAAGCCTAAGCCCTGAAAGCCCTAAAAACCCTAAAAATCCTGAAAACCCTGAAACTAATTGTTCCACTTGAAAGACGAACCCTTATGGATCCCTGCCCCAAACTAAATGCCAAACGTGCAAGAACCCTCAAAGGAACCCTGATGGATCCCTACTAAACAGAACCAAGTTTTGGCCTCCTCCAGATGTCTCTTCTGCTGGAGCGGCAGGCTTCTGGGAGTGGCTGTTAGCATCGTGGCCGCAGACGCAGGTCAACCTGGAAAGATCGAACTTACAGTGCAAAAGAGGATAGTATGGGCAGGGTTTCGGGATTTTGGGAGTGTTGTACATATGTGCAGACTATACGGGGATACCGGTACTAACGATTCCGAGCCCTATCTTAGGCTTTGGGGTTTAGCGTTTTGAGTTTTTAGGGTTGGTGGCCCTCTGACAGCTCCGGACGCCCTAAGCCCTAACAGCCAACACCCTCAAGCCCCAAAAAACAACCCCAAGCCCAAAACCCTTATAGAACCCTTGAAAGAACCCTGAAAGGATTCAAAGGATCATTCTAGGTCCTCTAAAGGAACCCTACCAGACCCTAAACCCGGAACCCCGATCCTTAATCCTGCAGCAACCCGCATACCTCAAAAAGATCCGACCGAGACTCTGGTACATCGACTTTGCCTGGCACGTCATCGAGTGATACCTGAGGCTCCCTCTATTCACAGGGACCCTAAGGTGGGTTAGGAGGAGGCGTGGGGGGGCCATAATACCTATCACAAGGACTTAGTAAGGCCTATGTAAGGAAGGATAGTCCCCTACCCCCTCCCCCTAACCCCGTAAGGCTCCCTATGATCTATGGAGCAATCCGTTTTCGGGTCTAGAGTGTTTAGGTTTAGAGTCTTTGAGCTTTAAGACTTTAGCGCCTGAGAGCTTTAGAATTTGGGGTTTGAGGTTTTAAGTCCCTAGACCCGGAGATAGAGTTTCGGGGCTTCAGAATGTTGGGGATCCAGGTTTCACCTAGCACTGGAAGAACCAAGGATGGCAGCACTGATTCTTTATACAATTTATACCATTTTGTACATTTCTATAATTGCAATCGGGTCTTTCCGTGCCAGGTTGGTGAAGCCCCTGAATACTTGATGATTTCGGGTGCCGTACTAGCTTCCGGCTGGAATTCGCATTGAAAACGCTTGCTTCTTGTTTTCGAGTCCATGGCATACCCGCTTTCCGCCCAAACAAAGCTTCACGCCGGCACCCTCAAGTGGGCTGAACAAGCAAAAGCACATGTGACCCCTCGACCCCGTGGACTAGCAAAGCTCGGCAAGACTGAGAGGTTAGAAGGGCGGGAGTGGACGTGCCAAGGCTGGTACATCATCGTTTCGCATTGGGGGGGTCGAGGATCCGGAACTCAGACACATTCAAGGAATAACACCACAAAAACGAACCCCAAACCTTTAAACCCTACACCCAACAATTTCCTGAAAATCTGAAATCACGCCTTCAAACCCTACATCCTTACAATTTTCCGACAGTCTGAAACCACACCAACGGAACTTCGACTCCATCTCCTCCATGTCGATCCTTGGGTTAGGGCTCTGAGGGGCTCAGGGTCCTTGCGTCTTTGCGGCTTAGGCTTTCGGCTCTGTTGAGGGATCAGTCTATAAGGGCTCCTCTCCTTTGGGGATCCATAAGGGCTCATTCAAAGGGATCTCTTTCTTTTTTTTAAAAAAAAAGTGCAGTGGGGCCTTTTCTGCAAGAGGTCCAGCCGATTTCCGGCTTGCACTGAAAACAGTTCCCTTACCAGAACAAAGGGATCTCTATCTATATGGGTTCTGCTAAGGTTTGGTGTTGAGAATCCAAACTACAATGTTCAGGGCCCGCGGTTTCTAGGACTTCCCTAGACCCTTATAGGACCCGTTAAGGAACCCTTATGGATAGGAACTTCACCAGGAATCCTAAAACGGTAGCTGTTATGCGGTTCGGGTAGAACTGCAGAATGACCGAGGAGCCCATCTTCCTCGGCTTTGGCGACATCCCGCTGCGCTTCCTAAGGGTTCTGATACGGGTTCCCACAACGGTTTACAAAGTTGTTTTTGATACGGGCTCTTTTCCACCTGCAGGTACAGGTTTTCGGGTTTTTGGCTTTAGGGCTTCAGGGTTTTAAGGCTCATGAAAGGTGACCTATCAGGGTTCCTGTCAGAGTTTATGCAAAGGTTTTAGGGTTCATGAAAGGTGACCTATCAGGGTTCCTGTCAGAGTTATATAAAGGCCTAAGTTTAGGGCTTCAGGGTTCGCTTCAGGTGCCCTACAAGGATTCCTACAAGGGTAGCAGATAGGTTAGCAAGCCCAATACGCGCCCAAAGGTCCCTAAATCCAGGCATATCCGTTGTTTACAGTTGCTGGGTGCTATATGGTTTTACAATTTAAATGGTTCAAAGCATTTAAGGCATTTTTGCCGCATTACAGGGTATTGAGGGCTCTCTGGGTCTTCGCCGGGAGCAGAATCAAGGGGCACATAAGCACGAGGATCCCAGAAGCCAGGCCTCAAGTGAGTAGAATCTGCTGGAACTGGGCAGGCGACTAGGTGCTTACAATGCGTGCGCTCGCCACGAATGTGTGGAGGGTGGAGGAGAAGTTCGTGCGGATTATTCGATTATTTTATGCTAGAATCTTTGTTTTTTTTTGGGGGGTGGACTTGTACATGCGTCATTCTCCCGACCGGGGTCCGCTACTTCCGTCGCGGAAACAAGTGGCAGCACTCTTCCCACTCATTCTTAGAGGCGTCCCCCACTCTTCCAGAAAGAAGCCCCTGCCCATGCCATCCGGGGTAACCCCCCGCTATCTACCCACCTATCATTAGGAAGATGGGCATGTTACGATGGAGACAAAACGCTGATCCATAAAACCTAAAACCCCAAATCCTTGCAGGAACCCTTATCGTCATCCTTTACAGGACTGGAAAGAAAGTCTCTGAAGCCTGGAGGCTCGCAACCCCGTAACGAACCCTTTAGAATCCCAAACCCACCCATTGGACATTAAGCAAAGGAAAAGACTGCATCCACATGGCTAGTAGTCAAGTGCTAGAACCCGGTAACCCCAGAAACTTAAAACCCTGTAAGCCCTGAGGCGGCGGGATCTCTGCTTCCAGGCAGAGCTTGGGCTATCCGACAAGCCCTTAACCCCAAATAAAAACTAGACCCAACACCTTGAGCTTTAAATCCTAAAGCCCAAGGCCCTAAAACCCTAAAGCCGTTAGCCCTGTACGCTGGACTCTAAATAAACCATTCACCCCATACCCAAACCCTAAACCCCTAAAGCCCTGAACTTCTATAGATCCCTTGAAGGAACCCTTATAGCACCCTAAACCCTATACTTGAAACCCTAAACCCTGACTACACCCAAGAGTAACCTAGGAACAAAAAGGGTGCCCTGCTTGGCTTAAAGAGCGTTATAAGGGAACCTCAACCCTAAAAAAGGGAATAAGGGCCTACTACCCTAAACCCTAAACCCTAAACCCTAAACCCTAAACTCCCAAACCGTGACGAACTCTGGAGCTCATGAGGCGCTCTGGAAGTCCATACCTTGGCTTAAGGGTTTTAAACTGGGAGGTTTAGGGGTTCCTTTAAGGGTTCCTTGAAGGCTTAGGGTTTAGGGCTTTAGGGGTTTTAGGGTCTTGGGTTTAGGGGTTTTAGGGATTTTAGGGGTTAGGGTTTAATACCTGGGCTTTGAGGGGCTTTAAACACTTGGAGGGCTTAGGATTCGTTTTGGGTTTAGTGGGGATCTATAACGGCTCAAAAAAGCTTCTAAGCTTTAGGGTTTAGGGTCTACTTGAAGGACTAGGGGACTTAGTAATAAAGGCTTCTCGAAAGGTTCCTGTCAGTCTCTAAAGGAATCTTCAAGTTACCCTTACAGGACCCTGAAAGCAACAAAGTAAGGCGGCGGCAGGAACAGCCAGGCTCTGTGCAGTGGAAGCGATCTCTGCCGAAGATGTCTTTCACCATGGCTCTTGATTGCGTGGTTGTCAAAACTAGGGCCCCTTTTGGGGTTGCAGGTTGTAGGGGTTTAGGGTTTAGGGTCCTGTAAATTTTGGGTTGCCGAACTGCAGGGTGGCCACTAAGAGTAAAATTATGTCGGATTCCCCAAAAGGACCATGATTTCGACAGTTGCCTAATGAGGATGGCGGGTCTTTTGAGAGATTCTACGATTCCAGAAGTATTGCAGGCTGCTTTTCGTCGGCTGGCACCGGATGACGTGCCTTGATGAGCGGTTTGCAGAACCGCTCACCTAAACCCCGTGTGGGGTGAAGCATCATATGGCAGCGGCTTCGCAGGTCAGACCCCCAATCAGATCTCCACGCATACCGAAAACCACGGGCGCAAACTTCCTGTAGTTTTGCCTGGGCCCTGAGCTCCGGACCACAAGTGCACTGCCCGCAGACCATCCATGGCACGGCAGCATCATAGCCATTTCCGAAACTAAGAGCTTTTCATATAGGAGTTCCACGAACTAAGGGACTTCTTAAGCCCGAAACAGTGGGGTCCTTCTTAAAAGTGCAGCCGAATGAAGTTGCCCCACTGGTCAACAAAACCACAGTTTGAAACACGTGTCGGGATACAAAGCCATGTCAGCCCCTTGATCTCAAGCAAAACTGCGAGCCCAGCAAGCCGAATTCACGAGCGGCGGCACAACAAGGTCCAGCATGTTTCGGGTTTTGGGGGTTTAAGGTTCGCGTGGGACTTGAGCCCCATGGCTCGATTGAACCTCGAAAGTTTCACTAGGGTTTAAGGCTAAGGGTTTGGGGTTTAAAATCATGGTTTAGGGTTTCGGGCTGAATATAGGCGCCCTAATAATTACCTACACTATTTTGGGGGCTCCTTATTGTAATTACAGCATAATGGCCCCCAAAACCGTATTCTAATTATAAAACGCCCCTATATCATAGTACACTTATAGTACCCTTATACTATCCCCTGTAGGATCCCTTTAAAGGGACGAACCCCTATTCTAATTATTAAGGCCCCTATGCTAGGGTTCGCTTGGAAACCGTGGCTGGATTTAAGCTTGAAAGTTTCATTAGGGTTTAGGGGTTTAGGGTTTAAAATTAGGTTTTAGGGCTTCAAGGGTTTATGCGAACAGTCAGCAGACAATCCGAGCCAGAGTGACACGTGAATCCTTAGCCAGAAGTGTAGCCTGCGTTCGCACGGCGACGGGACCGACCACCTTTACAATAAATGTTCCACACCTCTTGTGGGGACATGTACGCTATCGGACACTCCATAGGCTCCTTATCTGGGCCAAAAACATTTCTCATGGCACTCGAGTATTTCCAAGCACCTAACAACGAGTTGACCGGTGACTGCCCTGCCGGTCTGAGACAGCGTGGCACTAAAGACAGACTAGGAACCATCTCGTGGCAACCGTAAACCGCCAAAGGTTTAGACCTGCTCAATTGAAATTCAATGCCGTGGCGTTTCGCCAAGAACTTCATAGCATGATAGAAAGTAATCGTTTGTTTGCCGAGCGGTTGCCTGCAAACACTAAGTGCTGGAGAATCCACTTCCGTCAAGATCTTTCATCAGCTCGATGCCCATGCGAATTTCCTGACGCCAGTAGTCAAGCGATTGAGTACAGAGAGAACACGGCCGACCAAAGCTTTCATGTCGACCAAGTTCAACAGAGGAGCCTTGGCATAGGCATGCTCACCTGCAAGTCGGACTTCGAAAAACCATGATTCCAAGCTTGCCAGATCCTTGACCTGAAAGACTGCTGACATGAACATACGAGCATAAATGGCGTCCCCAGTCAGTGCTTCCAGCATCCTGAGATAGTTCCTTCTGCCTTTGCAGACTCCAGTCGATCCAAAACGACCCCGCGTGTGTGTGAGCCGTCAAAAGATTCGATTAAATCAGAATCAAGCAGAATAAAGGAAGCAAAGCCGATGTTGGATTCAAGCAATCGTCCTTTACATCATTGTGCATTTCCATGTGCATTTGCTTGTGGTTCCCTTTGGCGCCCTCACTTGGTAAGTCAGGGACAGCCTCAAATGATTTAATGCTTTGGGTGTCGGGGTTGGTGGCAGGAATGGCTTTTCAGTTTTCTTCATCATGGACTAACATGTTCTCCTCAGTAATAATGGGGAGCGGTGCCCTCAATGATGTCTCAAGCTGCTGAAAGCCTGCAAGGCCAACTCGGAACTGGCAAGATATAAGACGTTTCTATTTTTCCGATCCTCTTGCGCCCAAGATGCCTCAATCTAAGGTCGAATGCAATACGCTTGAAGAACGGCAATGGGCGAATCCTGACAACTTCTACAATGGCGCCGCGGTCATCTCTTCTGCCGCTGGCCAAATAGTCACCGAGCTGGACCGAGACAGGATGGCCCCACGACCCCATGAATTTGCCATCGGGAAATTGAGCCGCAATCTCCTCATCCACTCTGATGGCTGCTACACGCCTTGTTGGCTCGCAGCACCTGGACCCCTTTCTGCGAAGCTCCTCTGCATCTTCACGTGTTTGATTGATGTTGCGAGGACACTCGGAGTCGTACATGTTGGAGCTCTTGTCATTGCCATGAAGGAAGCTCCGACTAGACAGCCGGGAGACAGCAGAGAGTAAACATAGGTCTTTGGACGACGCTCCTGGCCTGAGGTTTCGAACTCGTGCTCCGTCATTGTCTTGATCTTTTCTGGTAGTTTTGCGGATCTTGTTGATTGTGGCTGCAACCATCAGGGCCAGATCCACTGAGACGGACTCATTGATCATGCTCTTGAAAATAGACTCGATCTCAGAATGGCTGGCTCCTATCCATGGATTCTCTTCTCTGATGAGGCGGTGTTCCATAAGGGCGAAACCATGCACTTCTCTCGCGTAAACTGATCCCTGCCCCAAAGAAGCCATGATTCTCATCACTGTAGCAGATTTGCAGTAGAACTTTAGGGCCAATGGATCAGCCATATGCTTTCCCTGCGAAATTTTGATAGAAAATAATGCTCCTCTGATTTCTGCAATACCCCAAAGATTCCTGACCGAACCGGTCTCGCGAAGTGTTGTTGCCATAGAAGAAACTCGCCGTTGGGAAGACGTTGGCAAACAGGTACACACCAGGTCTTCGTCCAAAAAAGGAAGGCACCATCCCCAAGCTAAATGCAGCAGGATTTGCAGGTACCTGCGCGGGAAACCCAGCGCTTTCTCCTCAGAGATGCTTAGTAAAGCTACCAGAACATTGCTGCCAGTGGCAACATTGAGGTAAACAGATGCAAGTACTTTGTTCAAACCTGTCACACAGCAAAGACGGCGATGCCGATGAGAAAATGCCTGGGTAGTTTTCCATGGGTGGATCTTGGACGGCAAAGCCTTGCACGACAATGTCTAGGTCAGGCGTGGTGTGTATTTCTGTGACCTCTTCCATAGCTTCGGCCAGGTGATTCGACACCTGATTGACGAACCCGTACCGGTCGACCAAGGATTGCCGGCTCATGCACCGTAGGGCAACGCGGCTCGGAGCATCCTTTTCGTCATAAAGCAGAAGGCCTGCTCGTGTGAGTTCAGGGCCAGCTCTGGCTATGGTCTTGCAGACATGTGCATGGAATTTGAAGTCAACTGGAATCATATCCACCACGACTTTTGACCATCCATCGGCTCTGTCACCTTGCGAAATCAAGGCAACAGTGAATTTGTCTATGAGATTTCGCCGAGCTTTCTCAGGGAAGCCACTTGAAACAGCGCGCAACTTGCGTCTAGAGCCATCATCGAAAGCAAGTTCGCCAGACCTGTCTCAAACTTGTCAGACATTTGATAGTCTAACACCGAGCGTGTTTCCCTAGCGAGGTCAGATGTCTTCTTGTCCATAACTAGACGGGCACAATTCAATGCCGGGCTGTAGGCACTTGGTGGCAGGTCCGCCAACATCGAGCAAGCTCCCTGCATTCCGACGAACGGGGGTCTGACTCTCAGTTCCAAAGTATCCAGCACTTCCGCCATGAGCAAATAGAATTGATAAACCTCCGTTTGCAGGGTTGGGGACGAACTCGAAGATCTTGATGCTGCATACACCATTGACAAGGAAGTTCCCAAAGGACCAGCACTTGGGTTTAAGAGTTTAGGGTTTAGGAGTTTAGGGGTTTAGCGGCTTAGGGTTTAGGGTTTAGGCACCCTTTCTTGAAAGCAACCGCCTTTTGAAAGCGCAAGTGCATCGGGGCTGGCAGTGAAGGTGCTGTCTGTGACCTACCGCGCAACAACTTTGTGCGCAATCTTTGCTTGGAGGATCGGTGGGCCTCGTAACTAGGTTTATCAATGAGGTCACTGTACTTATAATTTCTTATAACCCCAATTAGGGTACTTATAACCCTACGTACTAAGTCCCCTGATCCTCCAAGTGGTGATGTCCTGAGCCGCAGTGCTTCTGCGAGCCCATGCCTGCCATCTGGCGTTTCCTACACCTACTTGTCGGGTATCATGGGGAACTAAAGGTTAACCTTTTTGGTTGTAGAGGGAGTATACGGGGACTGTACTACACAAAGAGGTTAAAGGTTACCTACTCTACTACTAGGTACAGAAGCCTGATTACTGAGCAATACTATTACTTACTGTAGGGTTCCTCATGAAACTCTAATCATATGCTTTGCTCTAAAACCCTATTCTATGTATTGAAGGCTCTATGTTACAAGCAACTTCTGGCAAGCTGGGGGTTCGAAAAGGGAAGATAACCCTAAACCCTAAACCCCTAAACCCTAAACCATAAACCCCTAAACCCCTAAACCCTGAACCCCAACAGTTCCTGACATGGCTTTGGCAGCGCGAACTACAGAGCGAGTTTGAGATTCCTGGGGCTGCACACCACCTGACATAGTGGACATATGGGTAGTTGTCAAAATTGTGGTCCCTTTTGGGGTACCCTGAATATTAGGTGCCGTACTATGTACGCGACCCAAAAGGTACCATATTTTTGACAACCACCCACATAACATAATGGCCATATCGGGGTTTAGGGTTTAGGTTTGACCTTATCGACGATTGGAATAGGTTTGGGTCTAATTCTAATAAGGACGATAAGGGAAGGGTAATGCTAACGATTCCGACCCCCACACTGGGCCCTAAATCCCAAATCGCTCAAAAAAGCGGGCACGGCAGTGACCACCCCTGCCGGCCAGGCAGAACTTCGAAATGAATTCACCTTTTCTCGTCGGCAGAAGCTCCCTTTGGGACCTGCATTTCCGAAAGCACTCTCGCGCGGTACTCCTCGATGGAGATTCGTCCTGCCAGCGTCTTGGGTACCCAGATTTTCCAATATCCCTTGATTCCAGAACATTCCTTAAAGTATAGTAGGATCCTGTTCCTGATTTAGGGTTTGTATTCCTTAGTGAAGGGACTGAATGACAGTAGTAGGATCCTTAACATGATTCAATGCTTACACCCTGAATCAAGGGACTTTGGAAGATCTGGGTATCAACGAAGGAGTCGATAGCTCCTAACTATGCTGACTCCAGCTCTATCTCTTGCCTTCTGTGGTGGTAGCATCATTCCAACTTTCAAGGAACTGGGACTTAGAGCGTAGGACTCTGAACGAGCTACCTATTCTCACAATTACCTTTGTTTAAGGATGTTGCTAAGTCCCGAACCCCTGAACCCTAAACCCTAACTCCCTAAACGACATACCACTGGAGTGAACTCAACTCCCGATACTTCTCACGGCAGCCTTAATCCTAAACCCTAGACGTGAGACATTAAGCAATAAATCCTAAAGCCTGAACCCCACATCCAAAATCCTAAGCGGTCCTAAACCCAGAGCCCTGGGCCCTAAACCCCCTCAAAACCGAAAATCCTAGAAACCCCAAGCCCCCTAAACCCTAAACCCATAAACCCCTAAACCCTAAACCCTAAATCCCTGAACCCCTGAACCCTAAACCTTAAAGCCCCGAACCCTAAACCTTACTTAAAGCCCCGAAACCTAAAGCAACGGCCTGCAGCCACCAGATCTTCCAGAGATGATCCGTTGAGCTGCGACGCGGGGGCGTCCTTCCCAGAGACTCCAAAAGCCCTTAAGTAAGGAATACCGAGGGTTCCTTTAAAGGGATCTATAAAGGGCTCTATAAGGGCAGTAAGGAACATACCTTATCGTATAGTAGGATTCCTACTATATTTTGAGGTATATTCCTTAATTAGAGTCAGAGGATACTAGGGTCTCTGATTTGAAACTTCCGAAGGCTGAATTCAATCCCAGGGCTCCAACCAAGAACTAGGATTTGGGGTCTACTGTAAGGTTTTCAGGGTTAAGGATGTAGGTTTCAAAATTTAGGGGTTGATGTTTCGGGTCTCAAGTTCAGAGGGTGTAGGGCTTACCCGAAGGCCCCAAAGTAGTTCCTTTCTGGGGTTCATATATAGAATCCTATAAGGAACTACTTTGGGGCCTATGGGTAGGGTCCAGAAAGAGGCAGTGATGCCCTGCCTTGACGGGTTCAGCACTTGAGCCAGGTGTACAAGAATCCGAATAAGGGTCTATAACCCGTTTGGTGGGTTAGCTGCTGTGATCCTACATGTACAAAAGGAGCTACAATTGATCTAAACCATTAAACCCTAAACACTAGGGGACCTTCCTAGCAAAACCCATCACTGCCAGCAAGTCGCCATCTTGCTCCCCCAGTCTTGGCGAGGGAACACTCGCTTTGTAACTCAGAATCCAGGGCCCGCTAGGGCTTCAGGATTGCAGGGTTTCGGGTCTGCCTGCGGATGGTTTGGGGGTGGCAGGGTTTCCGGGTTTAGTTATAGTATCCTTAAGGGAGGGGGGTCCAAGGGGGGTATATAGCCTAGTGATCCCTAATTCTCCCTAGTACTCCCTAAGGTTCCCTTACAGTCCCCTAAAGATTCCTTGTACCCTCCCCCCTTGAACCACCCTCCCTTAAGGATCCTATAATTTAGTGGTCCAAGGGCTGAAGGCGTGGGGTCTGTTGACGTTGTCGCACTGCAACTCCATGCTGCTGTTGTTGCACCGCACAACTGGGCTTTGAATAGACATAATGGCTCCCTGTACGTAACTTTAACAGGCCCCAAAAATGTGAAAGTATGGTACTCCAAAGCCCAGAAAATAGTAAACAAAACAACCATACGGCGGTGAATAACCTCTTGCGGCTCTTGCGTGTCACAACATGATTGCGAGAGTCCTGTACGGAAAGTTCTTGAATAGCAGGGGCCTGCAAGCATGACAACACGTCTTCCACTCCGATAGCTGGGCTTAGGGTGACGCGACCCTGGAAAACATGATCTTTGGGTGGGACCCTTATGTTGAATTGCTGAAAACATGAAACCCTGCTCCAGAACGAGCCCCAAAGGCCACAACTAAGATCGAAGCAGGGCGACGGCGCTTGCTTATCAAAGGGCGAAGGACCTCGGATCAGACGTGTCCCCCAAACCTGAAGCCCCAACGAAGGCATAAACAACAAAACGTACGGTTCTATAGGGAGTTGCAGGGTTTCAACACGGGTATAGGGTCCTTACTTGGGGAAGATGCCTCAAACTGCAGGCAGCGTAAAAGTATGATTTAAGTTGTATTCCTTGGTTAGGGATACTCAAGGTGAACTCCTTTACAAGAGCCTAGGTATGCCGTGGACGAAGCCTCAGCAACTTTACTGCATCCACGGTTCACACTCAGCACAAAGCAGGCTAGGATCCGAGGATGATCAATGATGGCACCTAAGGAATCATGGGATTCACTAACGAAGGTTGGAGAACATGGTAACTATACTTATACCATCTTACCATCCAAATGAAGGTGCTGCCATCCTTACTTGCTATGTCCCCTGATCCTCCACAGTGCGCTTCCTGAAAGGGGTTTTAGACGGGTGCCTATAGCCCGATATTGAAGATGCTGCTGCCTAAAGTTTGTACAGTTTTCAGGAACCGCTCACGAATCCAAACCGAAAATCCTACAACCTAAGCCAAGGCTTCCAAAACCATTGCACCGAAAGTCCGACAAGACGTTGCGGGCAGAACCCTAAACCCCAAAGCCCCATAATCTAAACCGTAAACCCTTAAACCCTTAACCCAAACCCTACAACCCCTAAACCCCCTAAGCCTAAACCCTAAACCCCCAAAATCTTTTTCAGGGTCCCCGAGGGCCGTGCTGGAAACGATTCCCAGGCCGAGCCGAGAAAGGCTCCGCTCTGGACCACTTCCCTTCGGGCGAAAGGGCTCGGCATAGTGGCCTCGGAGGATCCGATTAGGGTTTAGGGTTTAGGGGTTTAGGGGTTTAGGGTTTAGGGTTTAGGGGTTTAGTGGTTTAGGGGTTTGGGGTTTAGGGTTTAGGGGTTTAGGGTTTAGGGTTTAGGGTTTAGGGTTTAGGGTTTAGGGGTTTAGGGTATGGGGCTGGGTATGGGGGGTTTAGGGTTTCGGGGCTTGGGTTCAGGGTTCAGGGGCGCCCAAGATTACTAGAGTTACTAGAGTAAGATCTTGGGGTATATTATGCTATAGCTATGTAGAGGCTTCCATGGATACCATAAAAGTTTATTTCGACCACTCACAGCAGATTGGTTATCTGCATGTATAAGTCTGTATGCATGTCAGTGTGTATGTTGCCTGCCTGCCTGCCTGCCTGCATGGATGCCTGGATGGATGGACGGATGGACGGATGGACGGACGGATGGACGGATGCAGGATGGATGAACGGATGGATGGCTGCATTGATAAATGGAAGGGAAGGGAGGCAATCTTGTCACCCCACCTCCACCCCCGAAAAACAAGACTCCTAAAGTCAAGAAATCCCTAAACCGTAAACTCTACACCCCGAACCCTGATCGTAAACCTTAAACCCCTACAGATCCCTTGAAGGATCCCTGAGATCCCTACCCTGAACCCCAAACCCCTAAGCCCTTAACCCCTAAACCCCAAAATCCTGGATCCTAAACCCCTATAGATCCCTACAATAAGGACCCCTCACGGCTGAATATCAACACTTTACTCCTTAACATGCCTATACCAAACCCTAAACCCTGACCCTAAGGTGCAAACCCAAACCTCATAAACACCCCTACCCAGAGAGCCCAATACCCCTTAATTAAGGAATATACGTTAAATTGTAACGGGATTCATATTATGATTTAAGCTATATTCCTTAATCAAGGGTATTGGACCCTGTGCCAAAGTTAGGCGCAGACTTCTGTAGGTGCTTGAGAAGGCGCCCGGTCCCTGCCTGGGGGCCTCAGTGGGAGCCGATGGTGAACTTAGCTGCTGTCTTAAGCCCCCCCCCCAAAAAAAAAAAAGTGTACACTTTTAGTTTTACTGTGGGTAATATTATCCCAAAAAGTGTAAAGTGTATCCACTCAGCTACTGAATTAACAGGAAGCTGAGGTTTTGAGGGCCTTTCGGGTTTGGGAGCTTTAGAACTTTAGGGTTTAGGGTTAGGGGGTAGCAGTTGAGGCTTTGTGGGCTCTAGGGCTTTAGGGTTTAAGGCTAGAAGCTGAGGCTTTCAGGGCTCTAGGGCTTTATGTTGTGGGTTTAAGGTTGGGGTTTAAGGTTGAAGTTGAGGCCTGGAGGGCTGTACTGTAGGGCTTTAGAGCTTTGCATGTTGGGGTTCAGGGCCAAGGTTTGGGTTGAAGTGCTTCAGGGCTATAGGAGCGTTCAATGTTTCGGCGGTTTCGGGGGATTAAGGTATATAGTTTAGGAGTTCAAGCTGGATCTAAGTTGAGCTTGGCATGTACGTCCATGAACAGTCTGATGTGGGTTTTGTTGGTGCTGTTGTAGTGCGTTCTTAATGTGTTGGCCTTGGGGGTGGTTTGAGGGGCTTGGGTTTGGAGCAATTTGCTGGTTTTTGGGGAGCTGTGTGGCCTTGCTGTTTTAGAGGTTTATGTGCTCCAGGAGTGCAACTTGGAGGATCATGGGACTTTGTAACTGCTGCAAATAGCTAAGAATTATAACTACTTATAACCCCAATTAAGGCCCTTATAGCCTTACTTACTAAGCCCCCTGAGCCTCCAAGTAGGGCATTTGGCGCAAGGGATTTTGATTCTTTAGCAGAGCGGGTTTGGGAACTACTCGGCTCCATGAATCTTAACGAAAAGGGCTTTGGCGATTTTCAGAACCCCTAACCATGAACCTGAAATACCCTAAACCCTAAGTCTCAAACCCTAAGCCGTCTTGGGCTTTCGGGGCTCAGGGGGTTTTGTGTCGAGCCGAGTTGCTAGGAAGTTGGGCTTGTACACGAAGCTCTCATATCGCGCCATGGCACCGGGACCCCCCGTGCTGCTCGCCACTACCCAGGTTGCCAGAAGAACTTCAGTGACTTGGTGCCATGATACTGTTGAAACTTTGTATCGGCTATATGCGCATATGTACACACAGACATAGATATAGATTCAAACTACCACTGCTGACTACTGGCTTTTGTCACTATCTTGAAACCATAGCTCGAGTGAACTAGCAGTCCGGGGCGTAGATCTAGAGCGTCCTGCGAGCACTTGAGAGAGCGAGTTGTGCGCACGCGACAGAGCACAGGAAGCTGCATCTGGCATATGAAAGGAGCCTATGCCCTATACCCTTTAAAGGCTTACGATTTAAGGCCGTTTAGGAGTTCGCCTGAATACTTCAAGTGAGTAAGCATGAATCAGGCACTCGAAACATCAACGTCGATATCTGCCCCAAGAGTTTAGGCACAGAGGGCCTGGGGCCATGAATAGGTTGCTTTTGGGAGCATCGGTAGTTCTCTAAACTTGGGTCCCTTTTTTAGGTCCCCCATTTTGTACGACACCCTTATGAAAAGGACCCCAAGTCGGGACCCTAATTTAGAGAGCTACCCAAATCGAGTCTTGCACACCCCTAACAGCGGACCCTCATTCATACAAGACAACCGGGCCGCAGATACGTCTACACAAGGAGACCTCCGTATTATTCATTCGTGGAAGTTGCAAAGACCTGAAGACAACTTTGGGGACGCGGTGGAATGTCTGCGCTAGGAAGTGGGCGTGCGCTGCCGTTTCAGCGGTGAGCCCAGCTGATTCTCCGATGGGTGGCTCTCTAAATCAGGGTCCCTTTAAGGGTGCTTTGTATAAGGGTGCCCGTACCATTTTGAGGACCCAAAGCAGGACCCTAATTTAGAGAACTATAACTACCCATGTGTCGCTGGCCTATACCGCGCAATCAGAAGAGGGGTCCAGATTGATCCAGCATTCCGCAGCCGAGCGCCCCACGCGCAAAAGCAATCATCTTCCACAAGACGTTGACAGATCGTCGGGCTCTTCCGGTCTGGTGCCAAACACCCCACACTGCTCCAATCCGCTTCTGGGAGCGAGGTCGGCTGCGGCTGCAGTGCTTCTTCTCAGTGCCGCCGCTGCTCCAGGGGTCTGGGGTCACACCAAGCTCCGAAACTCCAAGGAGTCGATCCTTGGAGTTTCGGAGCACATGGAGTTCGCGGACCTCCGAACCGTTTCTGAGCGCATCGAAGCTCGGCTCATCTGCGGCGGCGCTTCGCGGGAGGCTCGGCATTCTCCTCTCCCTTCGGCAGCTTACCTGGGTTCTTGCGAATGTTAGTAATTCAAGTTACCATAATCCCAAACCCCGATAAACCCCTATACACCCCTATAAACCCCTATACTCCCATATAAACCCCTATAAACCCCTAGAAACCCGTATAAACCCCTATAAACCCCTAGAAACCCGTATAAACCCCTATAAACCCCTATAAACCCCGGTAAGAAGAGCCCAGTTACGTAGCCAGCCCACCGGCCCTGGCTTTGGGCCCAGGCCGCCGGCTCGGGAAGGCTGCCCGCAAGCTTTCGGGGCTTCGCTTTGGGGCTCGCCAACGAGGGTCTCCTGACACGGCTTCTGCACGTCCTTCCTTGGCTAGGATACCCAGTCACCTCGGAATAAAAAGGCCTCTCTTTTTGGTATTGGGTAACTTTATAAGGAACCTAGGACTACAAAAAGGGAATAAGGGTACTACTGGGCATCCTAGTTGGATTCTTCTCAAGCAAGAAATTTAGCTTAAGTTACAATGACAACAAAATCAAGCTACTGCTGATGGACAAAATCCTGCATTACGCTTTATAAGGAATATACCATAATTCCCATAGTTTAGGGTCCTTAGGGTCATGCAGGATTTTGTCCATCAGCAGTATTTATGATAGATCCCGATTATGGTAATTAATTAACATAAACTTAAATGAAACTCTGTAACAAGAGCCCAGGTTCGTGTCCAGGAGAGCTTCTGACGCCTCCTCCGCACCATCGTTGAAGTCCCCGTGGTGATCTACCGCGCCAGTCCTAGAGCGAGCCATCCAGGTAAGCAGGGCCTCCACAGCGGTCCTCTGCCTTCAGGGCTCTTGTCAGGGGCTTGGTTTAAGGTTTAGGATTTGGGAGTTTCCGAAAATTAGGGGTACCTTATTTGGGGTCCTTATAATAAGGATCCTACCATTTAGGGCACTATAGTAGCGTCCCCTATTTCCGGAAACCCCCATTTAGGGGAATAAGTTACAAGAATTGATCCTTGTCGTGGTAACTTCAATCAAGCTCCTAATCCTGAACCCTTCGAAGCCTTCATAGGAAGCCAGATAATCGGAACCCATTCGTCTGATAGGAGCCCTACAAAGGAACCAGCACTTTGGGAAAGTTAAGTTCTTAAACCAAGAGTTAGGATTAGAGGGACCCGGGGGGACATAGACCCTCTTAATAAGGTACCCAGAAGTAGGGTGAAGAAAGGTCCCGTTTAAGGGAACCCCTACACGATCATCCCTCAGAGGAAAAGGAACCCAGAAAAGAACCCGAAGAGGGACCCTGAAAGGAACCCTTAAAATATTCTACACCCTAAATCCTAAAAGCAACCCTTAACAGAATCCCTAAACCGAAAACCCTAGACCCTTAAAGGAGCCATAAAAAAGAATCCGTAAACCCTGAACCATTAAAGGAACTAGGATACCCAGTAACCTAAGAATAAAAAGGCCTCTCTTTTTGGTATTGGGTAACTTTATAAGGAACCTAGGACTACAAAAAGGGAATAAGGGTACTACTGGGCATCCTAGGGAACCCTTAAGAGATCCTAGGATAGACCCAGCCTTCGAGTGGGCAGCGCTTGGAGCGCCGAGCGCCCTCCCAGCAGCAGACGGCTCGGCTCGGTGGAGCCTCTCGGGATCCTTTAAAGGGGATCCCCTACTCTCCTTAAAAGGCTCCTTAAAGGGTTTAGGGTTTAGGGATCTATAATATAAGGGTTCTATAGTATAGGGGGTAGTTTAGGTTACTCAGAGGATCATGGGACTTAGTAGGTTATAATTGGGGTTATAAGTCCCCTCAGTGGGGTTATCCTCATTATAACCTACCTAGAACCTTACCTACTAAGTCCCATGAGCCTTCAAGTACTCTAGAACCCTACGGGATCTGCAGGGTTTTGGTTTAGGGTTTAGGAGTTTAGGGTTTAGGGTTTAGGGTTTAGGGTTTAGGGTAGGGATCCGTTAAAGGGGGATCCTAGTATAGAACCCTATAGGATTCTGATTCGTTGAGGGGCCCTTTAAGGGATGTGCAGGGAGTTTGGGGGTTTAGGGTTAAGGGTATAAGGGATCTATAAGGGTTTAAGGGTTTAGGGTGTATACAGGGTATATGGGGTCCATAGGGATAGACTAAGTCGACTAAGTATGTAGTGGGGCCAAAAACCTCAAAGATCTCCCATTGCCGAATAAGGAGCTACCGCCACGGCACTCCCTGCGCACCTCCTCCGCACCACCTTTGATCAGAAGCATTATCGTTCTACCCGGATCCTTCAAGAACAGATCCTTTTTGCAGGACGCATATCAGAAAATCATGATGAGGGACCCTTGGACTAAGACTAAGGTAGGGCTTGAACGCGAACCGTGAAGGCCAGTCTCTCTGCCACGCCACCCCGCTCCAAGTGAATGGCCCGGTACGCGTAGCACTGGCACTTCAGCAGGTGACCTGTGCAGAATCCGAAACCGGTAATCCTTACCCCAAATAACCAACCTGTTTAAGGACTTATGTAAGTGTACCAGTAAGCAACTCGAAAAAGCTGGGTCTTGGGTCAGCTACACCCTATAACTCTCTTCTTCAACAACCGGGCCCTAAAAAGTTCAAACTTTCTAAAATAGAGCTAATATATAAGGCCAAGAAGTTCAAAGCTCCCCGGTTCACTATCTCAGATAACCCTAAAGCCTAAACCGCCCAGACCGAAGAGCTTCCCAACAGCGGCCTGTGGCGAGAATGACCTCATAGGACAGCGCCAGGTCTTCCGACTTGCCTTCCGCGGCCATGTCTAATGCAGGGATCGGATTAACTACCACGATCATCCCATATTCCTTATTATACATCAACTAGTAGACTGTAACATATATACCATTATATCTGCCAAAACCCTATTCTAATTGTCAAGGCGCCTACATTAGCAGGATGGGTGGCGTGAGAACAGTGCTTGCGCGCGGCTCGCAATCAGACCCCGGGGGGTTTCTACTTGTCAAGTATCCTGGGAACTAAAGGCTGTCCGGTGATTTTATGGTGGGCTTTTTTGAGGATTATAGTACCCCAAAAAAGCTAAGGGTAAGCTACTACGTACTCTACTACTAAGAACCCTTATTAGCCCTTATAGAACTCTTATGGATCCCTTATAGTACCCCGGAAAAGGTTCAAGGTTGCCTGCTCTACTACGGACTTCGCTAACCCCGCCGGAACCCTAAACCAAAAACCCTAAACCCCTAAACCCTAAACCCTAAACCCCAATCCCTGACTGGGGATTACTGCCGGGCAGCGAAGCAGCGGGCAATACTCGATCTGCAGCTCCCGCAGCCGCACGAGGTTCAGCAGGACCACCTCCCAGAGAGCCGAATACCCCTAATTAATTGAGGAATATACCTTAAATTATAAGGGATTCCTATTATGTTCAGCAGGACTACCTTGCCATTTGGGAGTTTCCGAAAAATTAGGGGTACCCTATTTTGGGGTCCATCTCATGTGGATCCTACTATGTACGGTAGTATGTTAGGGCCCCCTATTTTCGGAAAATTGCCATTTAGGGTTCAGGGCTTACTGTCAGGTTCTTAGTAGGACAATGGGGGAATGGATTATACGGACTACTATTGGGGATCATTTAGGGGCTACTATCAGGATCCATTCCCCCATTCCCTACTAAGAACCAGACACTTTAGGGCTTTGGGGGTTCGGGGCTAAAGGCTTAGGGCCCTTGAGGGTTAGGGTTTAGGGGTTTAGGGGTTTAGGGGTTTAGGGGTTTAGGGGTTTAGGGGTTTAGGGGTTTAGGGGTTTAGGGGTTTAGGGGTTTAGGGGTTTAGGGGTTTAGGGGTTTAGGGGTTTAGGGGTTTAGGGGTTTAGGGGTTTAGGGGTTCAGGGGTTTAGGGTTTAGTTTAGGGGTTTAGGGGTTTAGGGGTTTAGGGAAAACAGACTACCTCGTTGAGGAATCCGGGTTTAGGGCTGAGCAGGACTACCTTCCCCAAAATCTCCACAACTCCCTAAGACTACCTTTCCCAATAAATTCCACAACTCCCTGAACCCCCAACCCCAAAACCCTCAACCCTAAATGCAAAAAACGAAACTCCTTGCTCAAGGAATACCCCTCAAAGTAGAGCAGGAACCCTAGTCTGGTGTAAGGTATATGTGTTAGTTACTGTGTTTTTGGCGTCTCTGAGTATCAGCACTTCTCGCCCAAGCAAGCGTGCAAAACTCACAACCCTAAACCCTAAACCCTGACCCCCTCAACCCTAAAACCTTAAGTCCTAAAACCCTGAACCCTAAATCCCTAAACGGGTCCAGCCTTCTGGAGGGACAGGGATCCGTCGATTGCCCAGTCCTTCCTTGGATTCCCAGAAAGACACGAGGCGCTGCTTGAAGGGTTCCCTGTGGGATCCAGAAAGGCTCTGAAATTGTTAGGTCCAAAGGGTTCGACGCCGGCTTTACTTAAAGGAACATGGGAGTTAGTAATCAGGTTTCCTTACAGGGCTCCTTAAAGGCATCTATAGGGTACCTTAAAGGGATCTACAGGGTTCAGGGTTGCGGGTCTACTTAAAGGATCATGGGAAATAGTAATTAGGGTTATAAATACGGTAACTATATACTTATAACTACTTATAGTCCCCGTGAGGGTGCTTATAACCTTACTTGCTATGTCCACTGATCTTCCAAGTAGACCCTAAATTCTAAACCCTATAGATCCCTTCAATAGATAGTTTTAAGGAACCCTTTAAGAACCCCTACTAAGTCCCCAAGTAAGGTTTAGGGTTCAGGGTCTGCTTGGAGGACCGGCGGGCCTTAGCAAGTGACAGCTTGGCTTGTGCCAAGTCCCATGCTTCTGTGAGCAACATCGAAGCCTTAGTAGTACTCAGAAGAGGGTTTTGTGATCTATATATATATATATATATAATTCTACAAACCTAATGCGGACCCCAGAAAATACAGTTGGTAACTATTCCGGCTTCTTTCTGAAACCCGATCAGCTGGTTTACTTGCCTTGTGACCCTGGATTTAGCTTAGCAGCGTTATGTTCATGTTCCCGCCCCTGTCACGGAGGAAGCCGGCAACAGCAGCTTTGCAAATGTCCTCGCGCCATTTCACTGGTTTCACAAAAGATGACAACACACATGTCACAACGGTGGCAAAGATCGGCGGGAATCGGTAAGCTGCCGCATGACCGCATGAATACTTTGCATTCAAAGATGGCAATGAGCCCGAAACAGAGAGTGAGAGAGAGAGAGAGGGAGAGAGAAAAAAGAAGGAAGAACGAGAGAGAGAGAAAGAGAGAGAGAGAGAGAGAGAGAGAGAGAGAGAGAGAGAGAGGGAGGGAGGGAGGGAGAGGGAGGGAGAGGGAGGGAGTGAGAAAAAGACAGATAGAGATACAGAGCTCAACATACCTAACGCAAATCATGTTGTCGGTGCTCTGTCTGGTGCACACCGAAACCAGTCCTCCCTGCGCTGCACCGACAGGAAGGCCTCTCCATTTCTGGCTTAGGAGCGATTTCGGCTACTAGACAAACAGACAGATGGACAGACAGACAGATAGATCCAGAGATAGGTAACCACCCCCACCCCCACCCATCTCTCCTAAACCCTAAACCCTAAGCCCTAAACCCTAAACCCTAAAACCCCACCACTAAGTCCTAACCCAAGTTGATCTGCCCCTAACTCCCCCGAAACACAGAGAGCTTAAAGAACCTTGAACCCCTACCCTCTCTGAACCCGGTTGACCCCTCCAGAACTCCAGGGTTAAGGATTGCGGATTTACGAGTTTAAGGGTGGAAGGGTTTAGGGTTAGGGTTAGGCTTTAAGGTTTCACAGATTTGGGTTTAGGTTTCAGGGTTTTGAGGGCTGAGGGTTTTAGGGTTGAAGGGTGGAGGGGAGCTTACTAATATAGGGGCCTTAATAATTAGAATATGGTTTCGGGGCCCATTTTGCTGTACATATAATAAGGAACCCCCAAAAAAGTACTGGTAATTATTTAAGCCCTGAGATTATTAGAACCCCCACGAAGCCGGCCTCTTGGAAGCCTGCTTTTGGAAGAGCTCGTCGGATCCTCACCGAGGGCTCTTCTCCCTCGTTCTTAGTAAGGATTGGGGGAATGGATTCTTGTAGTCCCTATACTTATACAATGCCCCATAATAGCCCCCAATATCCATTCCCCACACCCCATTCCCTACTAAGCACCTGGGAATCTTTCACTGTGTCACTGGCCCGAATTACTCTGAGAGTCCGATACGTCTGAATCAAGGAATATACCTTCAGTTAGCAATCAATCAGCTCTCTGGGAAGGGGCCGCAAACAGCTGGAACAGTGGGGGTAGAGGTTTTAGCAATGTGTTGTACGGCGCCCTGAAGAGCTAGACTCAGGCTGAGGGTGGCACGTTCTGGTTCATGATGTGTTCATGATATGGGCACGGCAGATTCGAGCTTAGGCATGTTGGGTGTCGTGCGGGGGTCTTTCGGGCATAAAAGCCTTGGGAAACAAGATTTGATACGGTTGATGATATAAATCCGGCATTACCTTAAGGACGCTAAACTATGGGAATGCTGGTATATTCCTTAATTATGGGTGATGCAGGATTTATATCATCAACCGTAGGTTTAGACGTTTGGGTTTTTGAAAGCTTTAAGGATTCGGCGGGTTTGAGGACGCTGGGACCTGGAGTTTAGAGCCAAGAGAGGGGCTTAAACAATTACCTATACTATCTCGGGGGTCCTTATTATGAATCTAGTATAATGGGCCCAAAAACCCTAATTACTCGAATTATTCTAACCCCTATATTATGGGTTCAAGGAAATCGGGCTTAGCGGCTCTCCTCCTCTGGGACATTTGGGGCTGCGAAGGCAGCGCCCGCTCAAGTCCTTGGTCAGAGACATCGGTGGACAACTCGCTCATGTGACATGCTGTTGATGATATAAATCCTGCATTACCCATAATAAGGAATATACCATAATTCCCATAGTTTAGGGTCCTTAAGGTAATGCAGGATTTATATCATCAACCGTAGTAAGTTGGGTTACATAGGAAGATGGCTTCTTATGGGGGCCCAGGGATGATACTAACTAGGGGTAGAGGGAATGCGAAGTAGACTTATAGGCAGTCAACAGAGCCCCACTTAGTTGTCCTTCCCGTTGATCCGAGCATCTGTAGAAGCTCACGAGCAAATCGTCCTTGGCGTCATGCCCAACTGCAAGAAACCCTGCTATCCCCGGGTGCACTCCGCATGAAACGTGGCTCACAAACCTGGGCTGTTCCCGAGACATAAGCAGCAAAAATCAGCAAAATACATTGAGCAGCAAGGCCGTTTTCGGATGCTCTCAAGCTGTCTGTCCGTCAAGCCGCAGGCTATGGTTCAGATGTCTTCTCCGAAGGCCAATACCCCTTAATTAAGGAATATAGCTTAAATCATACTATGAATCCCCTTATAATTTGAGGTATATTCCTTAATTAAGGGGTATTGGGCTCTCTGGGTCTCTGCACCGCCCACGAAGGCCAAGCGGGGCCATGGCGGCTCACCGTGTCTTGCCTCGTCCATGCAAAGCTGTCCTGCTGAACCCGGCCCAATCCAGAGACTCCTAGAATACACCGTAAATTCTAATAGGATCCCCATGAAGATTTATATAAGGTATATTCCTTAATGAAGGCAGAAGTCATTATTGGATCCTTAACAAGATTTAAGGCATATTCCTTAATTAATGGGTTTCGGAGTCTCTGGGAATCATCCACAGCGCGAAATTTGCGCCTCTAAGGACGGGCAGGGCACTTGTTTTGGGACCTTCGCTTCTTTGAAGCCTTGCTTTGGCTGTGCATCGGCCAAGAGAAGGGCCTTTTCCTTGCATGGTCCGAGTAGTCCACACATCGGCACATCTTCATCCCACACTTCCGGCAAAAGTCACCTTGCAGCAGGCTCTGGAGCCTCAGGTCACCTTCTGACTGCTCGATGTCATAGTCAAGAATCTTCTGCGGCTGGGACTTCTCATAGGCGCCGTCCACTAGAGAAGCCGGCATCGGTCTCCTGACATGCAATGTCGCTGCTACGTCTACTTCAACTTCCACTGCTGCCACTACTGCTGCTTCTCACTTCTGCGACTACTGCCACTGCTACTGCTGCTGCTGCTGCCACTGCTGCGGCCACTGCTACTGCTACTGCTACTGCTCCTGCTCCTGCTCCTGCTCCTGCTCCTGCTCCTGCTCCTGCTCCTGCTCCTGCTCCTGCTCCTGCTCCTGCTCCTGCTCCTGCTCCTGCTCCTGCTCCTGCTCCTGCTCCTGCTGCTGCTGCTGCTGCTGCTGCTGCTGCTGCTCCTGCTCCTGCTCCTGCTCCTGCTCCTGCTCCTGCTCCTGCTCCTGCTCCTGCTGCTGCTCCTCCTGCTGGTGCGACTCCTGCTACTTCTACGGCTACGGTACTACCACTATCTACAGTAGCAGTCGCTCCAGGATGCGGAGCAACGATGTGACAACCATAGAACTGATCGTGTTGAAAGTCAAGACGCTTAAGATGACGATGCTCTTTATGATGATGACCACGACAACAATCATAGCAGTCTCAACTTCAATAACGATAGCTTGTAATAGTGCTAACGGTGCCTACGTGCTAGTGCAGTCCGCAGTCTTTGTTGCTCCCTTTTACATAGGGGTCTCCATAGTAAGCACAGGGGACGTGGTCGTATACATTATGTGGGCTCTGTAAGTGAGAACTTGTCCGAATGATTCAGACTCCCATAGCAGCCCTAAACCCTAAACCCTAAACCCTCCTAAACCCTAAACCGTGCATAGCACCACTTGTCGAATTAAGGGCCCCCTATACTAGAACTCCCGGGCCGCCAAAAAACCAAACCCCAACCCCCCAAAAGCCCTACGAAAAAAACAGACCTAAACCCAAAATACCCTTATAATAATAAGAAATACGAAAAAAACAAACCTTACCCCCTCCCCCCTACAACCCTAACTAAGAAAACACAAATCTTAAACCCGAAACCCTCAAAACACCGACACCTTCAATCATACAGCAGGCCGCCTCGTGTTCGAGAGCTGCAATACCGGGAACTCATCGTTCGATGGATCCCTCGACTCGGGCGGCTCGTTTGAGGTCTGGACCTGACTGAACTACCCAGATAAGAACGCAGGATGCAGGAATTACGCATTAGAGGTTTAGGGCTTAGGATTGGGGGTCTAGGGTTTAGGGACTAAGGGCTTTAGGGTTAGGGATTAGGGCTTAGGGGCATTTTCTCGGTAAGATGAAAGTGCTGCGTTACGATATGAGGCTTCAGGGTGAAAGGCCTTCGGCTGCCGGAGATAGCCCGGAAGGCCAGGACTCAGAGACTCCAATACCCCTTAATGAAGGAATATACCTTAAGTTATAGTAGGATCCCGAATATGATTTAAGGTCTATTCGCTTTTTTTAAGGACTATTGGAGTCTCTGGGGACAACCCGACGAACCCTGAGCTCGAGACCCAAAGCCCTACCTAAACCTCCCAAAGTAGGTAAAACAATGGCCCAATACCCATAAAAGGCTATTATTCTACATACTTTTGGGGTCCAGGTAGACCCTAAAAGAAACCTCATTAAGCCCTCAAGAAAACTAGCTAAATCCCAAACAAGGACCTAAACCCTCTAAACCGTAACGGCCCTAAACCCTTAAAACATGTGTACACCTTAACAACAAGCAAACCCTGAACCTAAAATCTAAACCCTAAGAGAGCAGGAGTTTTGGAATGAGTTCAAGGACGTGACATGATGGCAAAACACTTCGCAAGGCAAAACAAGAACCGGAGCCCAACCCTTAAAAGGAACCCTTGAGGACCCTTTAAAGGAACCCAAAATTCCCCCTAAAGGAACCCTTGTAGGAAGGCTTGCAGCAACCCGTATACGAACCCGTGTAGCAAACCCTGTGGAAGAACGATTATAGTAGCCCTTAGCCCTTAAGCTCCAACCGCACCTCGCCATCTGCAGCCGCCGTGGTGGACAGCTGCTCCTTGAACTTGATGTAGATACCTGATATCGAAAACGAGGGTTTAGCGTGGAGGGCTTAAGGGTTGGGGCTCAGCGCTTCCAGAGGGTGGAGTTCCGGGTTTGAGGTTTAAGCCTTACGGTTCGGAGATTGAGAACTTCTCTACTTAGAGGATCATGGGACTTAGTAAGTAGGTTATAATTGGGGCTATAAGTCCCCTAAGTGGGGTTATCCTAATTCTAACCTACTTATAACCTTACTTACTAAGTCCCATGAGCCTTCAAGTAGCAGCTCCAACACCGAGCTGAGCATTGCGTCCAAGTTGCGATTTAAGCTATATTCCTTAATTAAGGGGTATGAGAATCCCCTAAACCCTAAACCCTATAGATCCCTTTAATAAGGAACCCTAGGTGTTGCGGTCCAAGTTGCGGTCCAGTCCTTCAGCGTCCTCTGCACTCTCCTTCCCCAAGTGGGGCTGCAATGCCTCTGGCGTGGACGTCGCACATGGGAGAAAGGGATCCTATAAGGGTTCCTTTCAGGGTTCTTTAAAGGGATCTATAGGACATCGTTTAGGGTTTAGGGTTTGGTAGTTTCCGAAAATTAGGGGTACCGTTAAAGGGATCCTTTAAGGGTTCCTTTAAAGGGATCTATAGGGTTTAGGGTTTAGGGTTTGGGAGTTTCCGAAGATTAGGGGGTACCTTATTTTGGGTCCCTTATAATAAGGATCCTACTATTTAGGCCACTACTCCTATTTTCGGAAACTCCCACATGCTGTTGCGGGTTTAGGGTGACCTCGCCAAACAACGACTCGTAGCCCAGACATCGGTACCCGGCCGACGCTATACGCCGCTGAACCCTGCACCATCACCTTCCCCTCCACCAAAGCCCTATAAGCCCTAAACCCCAAATCCCATGCCCAAACCCTAAACCCCAAACCCTATAGATCCTTTTATCGAGCCTTTCCAAGGACCCAGAAAAAGAACCCTTACACTTGGAGGGGCAGGGGACTTAGTAAGTAGGTTATAAGTAGGGCTATAGTTGGGGTAACTCCACTTAGGGTACTTATAACTCGACTTACAACCTACTTACTAAGTCCCGTCGCTTTTTGGATCCTTAATATAATTTTTAGGGTACCCAAAAAGGGACCATAATTTTGACAACTACCCATATATAGAACCCTTATACCATCGTATACCTTTTGAAGGCTCCCTCCCAGCTTATCCCTCACCTGGAAGTCCAGAGGTTCAGGGTTTAGGGGTTCAGGGTTTAGGGGTCTTGGGTTTAGGGTTTTGGGTTTAGGGTTTAGGGTTTAGGGCTCTTATCCCTCACCTGGAAATCCAGAGGTTTCTCCAGAACGGGTTCGGCAATCTCCTCGAAGCTTTCCTTGGTTTAGGGTTTAAGGTTTAGGGGTCGAGTTTTTACTCGGTTCCTGAGTGGCCGCTTTATAGCAAGGGTACCCTTTTTCTGAGTATTCAGTTTTGATAATTTTCATATCGACTAAGGAGACCCTACCGGAACAGGGCAACAGGATACTTCTCAGGAAACAAGGCAAGAAGCTGACTGGGCTTTGAAGTAACCGGGGAGAAAAAAGTATAGACTTTCGATTTCATAATGGTTCCCTTGAAGTAACAGGTCCCAAAAAGGAACTAAAGTATGGTACTCCAAAGCGGAGTTGAGGCTTAGAGGGACTGCCTGCAGGGGCTTGCTCGCCTTCGTCTACGAGGCAGAAATCGACAACCAGGGCAAGCTACTATAGGGGCCTTAATCATTAGAGTAGGGGTTCCTTCTTAGGGGTCCTTTAAAGGGGTCTATAGGGGATCTACGAAAGGGTCAATATAGGGGGCTTGATAAAAAGAAAAGGGTTTTGGGGTCTGTTGTACTACAAATCTAGCAATGGTAATTTAAGTTTTATATTACATGGCGAGGGAAAGCAAGATGCCACTGCGAGATGCTGCAGAATCGCAAACAGCGGGAGACAGCTCAAAACACCGAGCGAGAAAACTCAGAAGGACGAGAGCAAGAAAGGAGAGCACGAGAAAAGCAGCGACAACAATGGCTTCAAGGACCCAGCTATGCCGGTGCAAGTGCAGGGGAGCCGTTCCCGCCTCGAATGTCTCCATCAAGCCCCGGATTTATGGCTTAGGGCTTGCGATGTAGGGTTTAAGGGTTTAGGGGGTTCATAGAGGGTTTAGTGTTTGGGGTTTGGGGGGTTGGGGGTTTATGGACATATTTACGGCGCGAAGCCAAAATACGTTCGAGAGGTTGACGGGCAGCGAGCCTAGTGCAAGCACAAAAAAAACTGTAAACGCCAGTAACCGGAGTTCGGAGCATTACAGGAACGCTCTATTCCTGTGTATCCTAAACCTTCTGCTCTCGAACCGAAACCCCTATACCCTATACGCTGAACAAAAACCCTGCGAAACCCTACAGGAGACCCCAAAAAGTTGGAAACCGGATGGAGGACAATTAGTACTGGGATTCCCTGCACATTAATCTTAAGGATTGAGGCTATTGGGTTTCCCACTTTTGGGCCTATACTATAATCTCAAACCTCTAAACCCTAAACCCTTAAAGGAACCCTAGGCCCTAAACCCCTAAAGGAACCCTCAAAAGAAGCCTAAACCCTAAACCCTTAAAGGAACCCCAGGCCCTAAACCCCTAAAGGAACCCTCAAAAGAACCCTAAACCCTAAACCCTTAAAGGAACCCTAGACCCTAAAGCCCTAAAGGAACCCTTAAAAGGAGCCCTAGGCCCTAAGCATCAAAAACATCCTTTTCTGTGACGAGGCGCATCTTCGGAAAGCGAGTCTAAGGCCCCCAAGGCATCCATCGCAGGCTCGCGCTCGCATGCTCTTCAGCAAGGCTGTGGAAACCTTCTTATTACTATATGGTAAGTACGATTATTGCTATGACTATATGGATATTATGATGTAGTGGTAGTAGTAGTAGTAGTAGTAGTAGTAGTAGTAGTAGTAGTAGTAGTAGTAGTAGTAGTAGTAGTAGTAGTAGTAGTAGTAGACGTAGTAGTAGTAGTAGTAGTAGTAGTAGTAGTAGTAGTCGTAGTCGTAGTCGTAGTAGTAGTAGTAGTAGTAGTAGTAGTAGTAGTAGTAGTAGTAGTAGTAGTAGTAGTAGTAGTAGTAGTAGTACTCTTTTTGTATTCTCACTATTAAGAACTAGTCTTATCATTCTTCTTAATTAGTGTTGGTGTCTTACGGGGCTTTAGGGTCTCGGGTTGTAGGGTTGAGGTGTAGGCTCTCCCAGTGACGTGGGACTAACTCTAAGGTTGTCGCAAAAGAATTCGATCCCAAAGAGCCAAAAAGCAACTGCGGCAGGCAAATGCGGGTTTAGGGTTTAGGGTTTTAGGGTTTAGGGGCGCAGAAGTCACTTCTATCGCTTCTGGCCGGATCCACTCCCTACCGTCACCCATGGAAGACACCTAATCCCCTTATCAAACCCTAGACCCGCCTGTAAAGAAGCGTCGGAACCCTTGCAACCCCCTGGACCCCCTTACCAAACCCTTGCAAAAAAACATAAAATTATGACCCAAAAGCCCCGCCGAAAAAGACTAAACAAACCCCTACAAAGCCCTTGAATAACATCACTCATTAGTTACAAAACCTGACAAATCCTTGGGCCGGGTCTGCCATCCATATAAAGGGAAGTCGAAGGATCCGCTTGGAGCCTTCCAAGTGGGTGGTTGTCTAAATTATGGGCCCTTTTTGATTACCCTAAATGATAGGTGCCGTACTGTACAGCAATAAGGACCCAAAAAGGGACCCTAGTTTTGACAACCACCCAAATGCTATGTCTTCAGTTACGGTTGAGCGTGGGGGCCTTCAGCTTGAGGTACAACGTTTACAGTTTTCGGGTTCAGGGTTGGCAAATGCTACTTAGGAGCCATCACATGGCACGTTTAGAAAGGCTGAAAGGATCTTCTAGAGCTGCCCGCACCCTTACGGATTATATTAGGGCCCTGTTATATTCCTATTATACCACTACTACAGGGTGGGGGCAGCTTCTAAAGTCTGGAGGTTTCTACACCTTCCACCTGTAGACACTTGAGGTTTTAAAGGTTCAGTGCGAGAAAGGGATCAACATGTACAAGATCTAACAGAAGTGACTGCAGCAAGAAACAGCTCACAGCTGTCACCACAAATACAGAACAGCACCCCAACGTTCACAAATGTTACATTGCAAAATCATGACGAGAATGACGGCTGCGAAGACTATCGCAGCGCTTGTAGTCCTAGTTTATGCGAGTGGACAGTGGACCCCAAACCCAGAACCCTAAACCCCTTAACTCTAAATCCCGAGCCCCAAGCCTTAAACCCCTAAACCCAAAAATCGAATCCCTACGCCCCTGCTCCCCTTAGCCCACGACGAGCACCTCTTTCCGTAGCCCCGTTGCAGAGCCGCTGCACAGCCCAGCGGGCAAAGCCAATGGCCGTGGCACCTGGCCTCTCGCATGAAGCTGAGTGAAGGTTTAGGGTTTAGGGCATTTTTTTAAGTTGGGTTTTGGGTTTAAGGCTTTGAGGTTTAGGGTTTAGGGAGCTTAGGGTTTAGGAGGTTAGGGTATAGAGCTTAGAGTTTAGGGTTTTTGGCTTGAGGGTTTGGAGCTTAAGGCCTAGGGGTCGGAAGGAATCTTCTACCTGGAACAGACATCCCGACGGTCTAGACTGAGGCAGGGAGCTCCATCTGAACAGTGGAGACAGGTTCCTTAGCGTAAGGACTATCCGTTCAGAGTGTGGGAAATTTCCGTCATTTCTTGCGTAAATCCACGAAAATTCCTGCACAACCATGCTGTTGGAGGACGGGCCTCGCAGGTAAGAGCTACACGTGCATGCAGGCACACCCCGACCTCCCCAATCCTCCAGACCCAAATCAAACAATCCAGAAGCAAACATCCAGAGGCATCCTTAGCCCACAAGATGTTCTGTTGGTGCCATCCATTATAGGGGTCTATAGTCATGGTTTCCTGATTATGGCAACTTTGATTAAATCCTCTGATGTAAAAACCTGATTAAGAAATCCTGGCCTTATAACCCCAAAATAGAAGGATTCATGTAAGGAACGCTAATAAAGGCCCAAGGTTGCTTAATCAGGTTCCTACATCAAAAAGCACCCAGCATCTCTATGGTAAAATATATCCCCAAACCCTATTCTGATTATTAAGGCCCTATATTTGGTGCCATCTCGCCTTGGGAGCACCATCAATAGAGCATCAGGCCAATTTGACCTGGACCGGATCTGACAGAATCTCACTTCAAGGCTTAGGGGTCATCTAGCGGCCTTAATAATTAGACTAGGGTTCCTTTAAGGGCTCCTTGAAAGGGGCTTTTGGGGAATCGGTAGTAGGGTTCCTAGTAGGGGCCTATAGAATCGGGTTTTGGAGCCCATTATACTATACCTACAATAAGGAACACCAAAATAATATTGGTAATTATTTGGCCCCTGTAGTATGCAGCACTACTGAACCATGGCACTGCGGGCAGCACTGGCCCTCATGGCAATACAAACTACGTGGTGAATCGAGCCTTGCATGCTCGTGACTGCACAGCAAGAGAATACACCTAGCTACGAACCCTGAGCCCAACAGCCGAGCTACTTGCAGGAGCATGGGATTCAGCGCCTACTATAGGAGCCTTAATGTTGCAAAAAAGTTTCGGCTCCGTTTTAGTATAACGATAATACCCAGGGGACTGAGTAAGTCGTTTATAAGTACGGTTATACGTGGGGTAACTCCATTTAAGGTACTTATAGCTCTTCTTATACCCTGCTTACTAAGTCCCCTGCCCCTCCAAGTAAGGAATAATACTTGTAATTATTTCGGTTTCGATGTTAGGGTTTTAACAGACGGCGTGACCCGGATAGTCAGAGATACTTAGAGCACCACTTAAGGAACTTTAGAGCCTGACTTACTCAGCCGAAGTCCCCTGATGCTCCAAGTACATTTACACCCGAGCTTAAAACAAAAACAATACCCGTACCCCAAACCCTAAACCCTAAACCCTAAACCCTGAAACCACAAACGTAGGGACCGGAACACTGGCCCATGCTTCGGGCCTGTAGCCTGCTTCCTCCTCGAAGCAAAGACTGTCAAACTCAGGGCTTTAAGGTTTCATTGGGTTTTAATATGAGAATTACCGAAAATGAGGGTACCTTACTTGGGGGTCCTTATAATAAGGATCCTATTATTTAAGGTACCATATTAGGGTCCCCTATATTCGGAAACCCCCATATGGTCATAGGGTTCTGCAGAGTTTTTAAACGGGTTCTGTGAGGATCATAAGTGTTGTATAGGGGTTTAGAAGGGTTGCATAGGGCTGGATAAAAAAAAGCTCCATTGTGTTTTAGAGTGGTCCGAAAAAGCTCTAAATGGCTGGATACAGTGCAAGGTTTAGGGCTTAGGTTTTAGCACTCGTGGGGATGTAGTTTAGGGTTCAGGGTTTGCGATTTAGGGTGTACCCAGAGAGCCCAATACACCGCAATGAAGGAATACAGCGCAAACCATGAAATGAAGCCCCTTACAATTAAAGGTAGGTTCCTTAACTAAGGGGTATTGGGCCATCTGAAAGAAACTGCGCCGAATCGAAGATGTCCGTGCATTCTTGGCTTCTCCGCCGCGCGTGTTGGGGACAAGAGAATTAGATTAGAGTACACTCTTTCGTAAATTGGCATAGTAGAGTCGTAGTAGAGCTTTTACCTTATATTGTATCATGAACTGGACGACAGATGCAAACATCAGCCCACTACGAAATCCTAAACTGACGAAAGCACGTGTATCAAAATCCACACCAGCGTTCTCGGGGTGTAGTATAGGGGCCTTAATAGTTTCAATAGGGTTAGGGGGCCCAGTATACTACAAGTATAACAAGGAACGCCCAAAATAGTATAGGTAATTATTGAGGCCCCCATTACTATGCCACTATAATAGCCTTTGTAGAAATTAACCCTGGAAGACCACTTTAAATGGAACCCTTAACGGAACCCTTACGTGATTATTTAAGCCTGTAGTAGAGTTTAGGGTGCAGGGTGTGCAGCCTAGCAGTTAGGGTTTACGGTTGCAGACTTCGAGATCAGGGATTCGGCGTGGTAGGGTTTGGGGCTTCAGGGTTTCGGGGTTTCAGGATTTTAAGGGCTTAGGGGTTCAGGGCTTCATGGGTTTAGGGTTTCAGGGTTCAGGGTTTCATTTAGGGTTACAGGGTTTCGGGGTTCGGGGCTTCATGGGTTTAGGGTTTCAGGGTTTCGTGTTTCAGGGCTTGGGGCTTCAGCGGTTCAGGGCTTGAGGGGTTCAGGGTTTCAACTTTTCAGGGTTTTAGGGCTTAAGCTTCAGGGTTTAGGGCATAAAGGGTTGCGGGCGTTCAGGGTTCTGTTTGGGCGTTAGGGTTCAGGATTTAGGGTTTTAGGGTTGAGGATTTATGTTCTTACTTGATGGGAATCTTCCATACTTGATCGGGCCTTTTCCATCTACGTGTTGCTGAGTTCATAGGCCCCAAAATCTTTTAGATCTATTCGGTGTTATAGCACCCCTAGAAGCCTTAGGTGTACTCAGTCAGATACCCAGATCTGCAGAGGTAAACACCAATCCCTAAAGTATAAACCCTAAGCTCCGGAAAGCCGAAGATTGGGAATCCTACATGTGACTAAGTAAGTAAGGTTATAAGTACCCTAAGTGGGGTAATAAGTACCTATAAGTATAGTTACCTTATTTATAACCCAAGTTACTAAGTCCCATGACCCTTTAAGTAGGGGACACATCATGGGGCGTAGTGACTTGGATCACAAATAAGGTGCAAGTAGCTTGTACATATAGTTGCTTGCAAGCCCAAT